TGGCATTGATCAGCGTCATCTCCCTAACCTTCTCATGCAGGTACTAACTTCTTCCTTCTTCCTTCTGACTTTTGTATTAACTTGCATGCCTTGTATATGTTTGTTGTCTATGTTCGCTAAGCATGCCCAATTCTTAGTTCATGATTCATTATGTCTATGCGCATATATCATTCTTAGATAGACAAGTTTTGCCTACATTTTTCTGCTAAAGTCTATAAATTTGTGGAAGTAGGATTTTTTAGATACCATGTAATGTATATTAAGATTTTTTTTTTTTTTTTTGTAGCAAGTCTACATATGATCAGTTATTTGGTTGCTTTTCTTCTTTCATTGGAAATCTTCTCTGCTATATTAGTGTGTCACCTTACGCTGTTTGATGTCTTTATAATACCTTTGGTGTTGCTTAGGGTTATGGAGCACAAACTGCTGAAGAGAAGCAAAGACTTTTCAAATTAATGAGAAATCTTAATTTTAATGGGGAATCGGCTTCTGAGCCGTATACACCCACTGGTCAAACATCAGCAGCTTTGCCCTCTTCGGATGGGTTTTATTCACCCGAGTTCAGAGGCGACTTTGGAGCTGGGTTATTAGATCTTCACGCAATGGATGACACGGAGCTGCTATCCGAGGTATGTTTGCAAGGGGAAATTAGATCAAAGCAGTTTCCTTTTTTGCCTGTATATGACCACAGATGGTAGGATCAATAATATCTTTGAGCTCCATGTTAGTAATTAATACCGTTTCTGTCAGAATCTCATTGCATTCTTATATGGGCTCACAACTATTGTATTGTTGGCTCCCGTATAATCATCTTTTGGACATCTAGACTTAGGTGACTTTAGATATTGGGTCACATGAACTGTTAGTCAATGTAATCATAAACTGCTGTAAAAATCTAATGTAGTGAAGCTTTGGCATTTAGAAGGAGCTGAGAATCTTTGTGGGTGGAATGTTTTCCTATATTTGCTGCTGCTTAACGATAATGATTTCATTATTATATCAACTCATTGCTTTTTTAAACTCATTCAATTCATGTTGCAGCATGTGATTTCTGAACCCTTTGAGCCATCACCTTTCATGCCTAGTGTCAATCAAGCATTTGAAGAAGACTTTAATGTGCCAGCTAACCGGCAACAGTATCAAGAGCAGGATGCTGAACCTTCGAGCCCATTTCCCAGGAGTGAAAAAGAAAGCAGTGGAAGAGAGACCAGTGTAGCCAAAATCAAAGTAGTGGTATGACATTTGTTTCGATCTGATACCTGGTTGAAATATCAAGCAATGGTCATTACCATTGGGAAATTTTATGTTTTTTACATCTATTTTAGGTAAGGAAGAGACCCCTAAATAAGAAGGAAACTGCTAGAAAGGAGGACGATATCGTGACCGTATCTGATAATTCTTTGACTGTGCATGAGACCAAGTTGAAGGTTCGTGTGTGTGCTTCATTAAAGATGACATCCATGATTCAGTGCAACGGGAATAAAGGTCATAGACCCTCTTCATTTTATATATGTTTTATCTGATATTGAATGAAACTTAATCTTTGTTGGTGCAGGTGGATTTGACTGCGTATATGGAAAAGCATGAGTTTTGCTTCGATGCTGTTCTGGGCGAGCATGTTTCTAATGACGAGGTAATTTAATACCCTTACGGATCTGTACTTCAAGATGCATATAACCTAGTTTAGTTTTAAATTAAACAAACCTTGTGAACTTTAAAGTTAGTGCAACAATCCTTAGCATCCATTTTCTAGTTTGAGTTGCGGTTTAGAGTAGCTTTGCTCTCAGTTTCTGAATTTGTTGGTTGTTCCTTTGATCAGGTGTATCGGGTCACTATAGAGCCAATTATTCCCACCATTTTCCAGAGAACCAAAGCCACCTGTTTTGCATATGGTCAAACAGGTATATAATGATACTTTTGTTCGTGGGATTAGTTTTTAAGGCCTATCTAACTGTGATTGCTCTATTATCCTTTATGCACTACTTCTTACTTGCTCTAATATTATCTTCATGCTTTTGTGACCCTGATGATGTTGTGCTTTAATTAGGTAGCGGTAAGACATTCACAATGAAACCACTGCCTATACGGGCTGCTCAAGATCTTATGAGAATGTTGAATCAACCAGTATATCGTGATCAGAGGCTTAAGTTGTGGCTCAGTTATTTTGAGATATATGGTGGAAAGTTGTACGATCTTCTCTCTGAGCGAAAGTTAGTGTTTCTTCTTCTGTTCTTATATCTTTTGAAGGCCATATTTGGTGTTATGCATTCTTTATTTCTGCTTTTGACAAAGTGACAATATCCTGGTCAGGCACAATCTGACTTGCTTTTTTCATTTGTATGCCATTGGACATACTGCTTACACTGCTTTCATTATTGTATTCATACTTAATATACATACTTGTCCTGCATTCAGTCTCCATGCTTTTCACTACTGGTTGCTTGTATTACAAATGCACGTGCAATTTTGGCTGACTTATTCAGTTGTTTCTGAGTAGGAAACTTTGTATGCGGGAAGATGGTAGACAACAAGTTTGCATCGTTGGCCTGCAAGAGTATGAAGTCTCGGATATTCAAATTGTAAAGGATTTTATTGATAAAGGGAGTGCATCAAGGAGCACAGGATCAACTGGCGCCAATGAGGAATCTTCTAGATCACATGCTATTTTGCAGCTTGTTGTCAAGAAACATGTGGAGGTAAAAGAAACTAGACGAAATAATAATGATAGTAATGAATCACGAGGGAAAGTTGTTGGGAAGATTTCTTTCATCGATCTTGCTGGTAGTGAAAGAGGTGCCGACACCACAGACAACGACCGTCAGACAAGGTACGGTAATGTTTGTCTAACGTATGAATAGTTTGAGTATTGACCTCCCCATCTATGTAGAATTACGACTACTCTTGATCTAAATCTGTTTTGTCTTTTCGGCGATGGTTTTTTGTAGGATTGAAGGTGCAGAAATTAACAAGAGTCTTTTAGCTCTCAAAGAGTGTATCCGTGCGCTGGATAATGACCAGCTACATATTCCATTCCGTGGAAGCAAACTCACTGAAGTGCTCCGCGACTCATTCGTTGGAAACTCAAGAACTGTGATGATTTCATGCATCTCTCCAAACGAAGGATCGTGCGAACATACCCTCAATACATTAAGATACGCTGATCGGTATGTTTTAATGAGCTAGAACCTTTCTTAAACAACTCGCGATTTCATCTCTTTAACCCATGTCTATAATTTACTAATTCAATCAGGGTTAAAAGTCTATCTAAGAGTGGAAATAGCAAGAAAGATCCAATTTTCAATCCGTTGCCGCCAACTAATAAGGATGTTTCGTTGGCTTCAAATGATGTAGAAGATGTCTTTGAGCCTCCACCGGAACCTACAGTACAGGAGACAGGGAGGAGAGTAGAGAAAGACAGCTACTCTTCTTCGGGTATTGAATTCAAGCAGCCTACGCATTACCCATCTTCATATCCGGTCAACTATAGAGAGGAAAGTGGAATACCATCAATATCAATGGACAAAGTACGATCGGATACGAGTAATTCTTTTGGCGGATCCACTAGTCAAAGGATTCAGTCATCATCTTCTTATTCTCAAGACACTTCAGATCAGGAAGAGAAAGTGAAGAAGGTATCACCGCCTCGTAGGAAAGTTTCTCGGGAGGAAAAACCAGAAAGATCTCAAAACTGGTCAAAAAGAGATGTTACCAGTGCGTCTGATGTCCCTGCCACGACGACAACAAACTTCAGACAGCTCAATCATATAACCACCAGTCAGCAGAACACAAGCGATGCTGCTTCAAGGCAATATGAAACAACAACAATAACAACGGAGCCTTCTCTTGATGAAAATATCGACGCATTGCTTGAGGTAAAATATCGTTTAACCCATCTGCTTCTAAGACCTGAGAGAAGTCAGTGAAGTTTGTTCAAGAACAATCTGTTAAATTATATTTGGTTTATACTCTGTCAGGAGGAAGAAGCCTTGATTACAGCGCACAGAAAAGAAATCGAGGATACAATGGAGATTGTTCGTGAGGTACTAAAAGTCATTTATTTACGTGCTTGGTATTTGGGTTGTCTTTTGTTTGTTTCCAACAATATTTGAGGGGTTTTTACTAGGAAATGAAATTACTAGCGGAGGTGGATCGGCCAGGGAGCATGATTGACAACTATGTAACACAACTGAGCTTTGTATTGTCTCGTAAAGCAGCCGGGCTCGTAAGCCTTCAAGCCCGCCTTGCGCGGTTCCAACACCGTCTGAAAGAACAAGAGATACTTAGCCGGAAGAGAGTTCCACGCTAGACGAAAGGAATGAAGCGATACTTAGTTTCGGTTCCGGTCAGGTGATCTTCTAATATCTAATACACACACAAATCTTCCTTCCTCTCGTGTTTTTGTGAATTGGGGAATGTGTTTTTTTTTGCTTATGTGAGGGGGGTTTTAATTTGTCAATTTTACATTTTGGGTGGGTTTTGATTTCATGTGTCCTTGGTCAACATTTGTATCTCAATGTTTTCTACAATATTGATAGTGAAATGTGAATTGAAGTTCTTTATTCTGCAATAACAATCATGAGCAACTCTAATTTAAGCTAACTCTTCGTTGTATATTTGTAACACATTTGTGTGTGTTTAACAGGGATAATTGTGCAGATCGATTGTACTTGTACATTAAAAAAACATTTGCTTTCTTCTTATTGAGCAGAGAGAAAATAAATGGACCAATACAGTGAAACAAAAGGTTCTCAGCTTTTTATATATCTTCATTCATTCAGACTAACCAACAAAAAATAAACACTAGAGAGATTAAACAAGCTTTCATCTACAATATCAAACAAAAAATGAAAAAAGAGCTAAGAGCTTTTGGAGATTGGCTCAGTGTTTTACCTCTTCACCGCCTAAAAGTTGTGGAAAATTAAGAGTTTGGACAAAATTCAACAATGGAAAGCAATATAGCATATTCCTAAAAGCTGAAACACACATAAAGCCAACCAACTTCAGTCCGCATGTAGTCTCAGAATCTCCTTTGCCGTTCTTAGCCTGAAGTATGGCATGTGTTCCTGCAACAAAGTAATACAAAGACACATCATGCTAAGTTTACTCTCAACTACAAATTCTTGAGGCATTACAAGGGATCTGGGTTCTGATTTAGCTTACCTGGCTGAAACATAGCCCCAGGCCTCTACTGAAAAAGTCTATGTATTTAAGCATAAACATTCCACAGTCATACCTGAGGAATGTAAAAATTGCAACAACCAAAAAAGTTAAAGAGTTAGCAGAGAGATAAAGCAGAGAACTAACTCTTCAACTTTGCTAAAACGTTTGAGATAGAGCTAAAACGTACCCATTTTGTTGTTGGGGAAGATCTTCAACAAATTCCATGTCCCACGAACTAGCATCAATGTTTTTTGAACTTTTTTCCTTCGCTTCGTCCCCTAAATATTTTGCCTGAAGCACATATCAGCTTCACCATTAGCTATAATGACTAGCAGGCACGATTATAAAATTCGACGAGTATCGTAGCTGAGCTATATTCCGAAGACCAGAAGGATAACATATACTACGTTCACTAGGTCTAAAGACAACTGGTATCTTTGAAGTGACTTCAATACGTATTAAAAGACTAGATAAAGAGAACAAGAGTTTGAAACTAAATTATACCAGAGCATTCAGAATCATCGGATCAACTCCATTCAGTGAGTCAAGATACAAGAACTTGCGATCCCTGTTATTAATAACTGCCAAGGTCCAATGTACACCCCTGTGGACCGGAACAAATATCTGCACAGGGAAAACACTGGTTTAATCGTGAATAAATTGGACTGTGTTTGTAAAACTAACAAAGAGAATCTAAACATTCAGCTTCTTCGGAAAACTTACCATGTCACAGTCAATGAGAGCATATCCCAACTTTCTCTGTGTAGTCCATCTCCTGACAGCTTTATAATTATAACCGGATTCGCTTACCAGCTGAAGAAAGAAAAATATAAGTCCAAGAGGATTCATCAACATGAAAAAGGCCACAGCTTGTGTTGGGAAAAATATAATAATCCAACACAAGAGCCTCATAGCAAATAAATCTCTTAAACATAGCAGCTTATCATAATCTGACACGAGGAAAAAAGGATCCATACAGTTCTCAAGAATCATGTGAGCGCAGAAAAAAAACAAACCTTTTTGTAGAAAAACGTATTGAAGAAATGACACTTCAAATACTTTTTAGGCTCTCTAGTTTCTCTTTCTTTGAGTAGTTCAAGATAGACATTGATAACCTACAAAACAGAGCAGAACACAAAATAAAAAATCAAAACGATGTGATTTAAGATCCCTTAACTGTGCAGAATATTATAAGGAACGAGTAGTACCTCGTCATTTAGCCATGAAGATGGTGTAAGACATTGAAGAACTTCTCCAGTAATATCAATATTTGAATTTTCATGAGTAGCCAAGACCTTCCTCCTGAAAAGAGTGACACATTAGGTTAGATTCATAACACACTCAAACATACTAAAGCCTCTAGAAAAGACGTACCTATTTCTCCCAGAAAAGGCACGGTAGACTTCAGCCTCTTCTTCCTCCGTGAGAGGTATAAAAGGTTCTTGCGGCACCTTCTTTAGATCAATACCACACAAAACAAACAACAGCAGAGTTGTTAACAACAACAACAGCATGAGTAATCTTCTAAATAAGCATCTCAAAGCTACGACTGTGTAGCTATAATAAGCAATAGTTGCAGCTTAAAGGCCAATGAGGCGAACACGCATTGTACTATTTTCAGTCTCATACTATAAAAACAGTAGGCAACAAGATGGTAGCCATTTTAGAGAATCAATCCAAATTCAGCATTGGCATTAATAATTTCCAATTCGAGAAAGAAAAGTATAAATCGGATCACCTTAACAGCCTTTTCCACAGGCTTTGGGCGAGACTGGCGTAGCTGAGACATACGCTTCTCATTTAACACAATCTCAAAACTCAAAGCTTCCAACTTTGAATCCCTTCTCTCTGCGCTTTGCATAAGCTTTTTATAAGCTTCGAGACTCGACGCATCCGTCGTCGTCATTTCTCTACCTAAAGACAACGAATCCATCATCGAACTAGTGTCATCAACTCTCAACTTGCTCTTCCCATTTCCAATATCGGAAGCAGACGAAGGCTGAAGATTCTTCTTCTTCTCCTCCACCAGCTTCTCTTCTTCATCATCACAGTCAATAACTACAAGTTCTTCAACGCTTGAATCTACGGAAACAGCTTCTTTTTCAGGCTCATCATCGACCAAATCAATCAACTCCTTATCTTTCTTAAGGAATCTCAAAGCATCCAAAGCTGTTCTCTTTGCAATATCATACTTGCGGAAGAAAAAACTCCCTCGAGAAAAATCGTCATTCTCGCAGTCATCGTTAGGTTTCGCTATCGAAGAAGAACGAGACGATGGCCCGAATCTAAGAAATCCTCTGCTCGGGGCGTGAATTTCTCGTCTAAGAGGAGCTTTCGCGTCGGGATATTTCGAAATCCTTGAGATGGTTGGGTTTGAAGACGAAGCTGGCTTACCGGAATCTTCAGACATGATACCGGAGGAGAATCTGCGTCTCTTGGGAGCTTGAAGATACGGCGAATGACGGAAATTTCCGGTTGATTGTTGATTGAAATTGAAAGTTTCTTCGCTGCGCTTCCGATTGATCGCGACGGCACCCATTTAGAGGGACGAATTCGGCTCAACCACTAAACCCTAGAGATTTGGAAATTGAAGAAAGGAGAATCATAAGAGAGAGGGGATAGTAGAACCTAAAACATGAAATTAGGGTTCTTCCCAAAAAAACTCGAAGAGGGTAAATAAAGAGGAAAGAGACGAATAATTTGTGTTTCCTTTTGTATTTGTCCAAAATTTAACTGTTACCTCCTAGTCTTCTTACATGAAGACTGAAAACAATATTCTTTAAAATATGTGAACTAAAACAATATTCAAATTAAAATTTGAAATACAAAACAATTTCAAACTAATTATTTTACATTAACCTGATAATTAATATTAGTGTTATTTCCCAGATTGATTTTTTTTTTTTTTTTTATTGTTACCACTGAATTTCATCTATCTCTAATTGATTTTTTTTGTTATTATTATTTCAAACTAGTTTATCTTGTTTTTGAACTCATTTCTGAATTTTAATTAATGCTATGAATTTTGCTTCTAAACCATCATACTCCCTCCATTTCACAATATATAATGTTATAGTTTTTTTTTATTCCATAATATATGATATTTTACAGTTTTTATTTTTTGTTAATTAATGCTAACAAACTACAAACTTCAAGAAAAGTAATTGAATTTTGAATTTTTATTGGTTAATATTTATTAGAAAAGTAGTTTATGTAAGAAATTGATGCATTAATTGTCAAACAATAATCCTATACTATAAAAGTTGCCCATCTCTAAAACTCTAAAACATCATATATTGTGGAACGGAAGGAGAAAACAGGTTCGATGATGGATTTGTACTCTAAAACATCATATATTGTCAAACAATAATTATAACTTATATAATTATATTTGTATTCCCAATCTATTGTAAGAAAACAAGTTCTACACTTCTACTACACTAAATGTTACAGTATTCAAAATAATAATAAGTTAATTTTTTTGCATTTCATTTGTTTATTTACCAGATAAACATCTCGAAAAAAAAAAAGATTTTTACTAAATTTGACTAATACTAATAATCAAATTCTAAAGTGATTAGCGCTCAAAATGGTGACACTCGATTCCATTCCCTTGCAGGCTTGCAAGCATAAAAAGAAATGAAGACTTCTTCAGTCGCTTGCTTTATTGCTTAGAACTTTTTTCTCTTCTTCACTTCCGTGGCTTTCTTATTTTTCTTGTTTGCTATGTCTCTCGCCGTAAAATCCACTATAGTCATCTTGGGTTGGGAAAAATGGATAGGGAACAAGCTTATGAATGGCTAAAATCCAGACCAAACTTTGTTCAGGATCAAGCTAAAAGGGGTCGTCTGATGAATGACATGACCGGCTTTGAGGTAAAGTAAAATAACATGACTTGATCTTCTTGTTTGAATAGTGATCATCAATCAAGACATGGTTAGTAACAAAAAAACCCTTTAACAAAAAAAAGACATGGTTAGTAACGCATGGATATAGTATCTAACAGGTATATGCATGTGGTCTTCATTTAAACTTCACCATCTATTTTTTTCCTTGTCTCTTAATGGAATAACAAAATTTGCAACAAAATTTAAGAAGCATCTCTCCACAGATTGGTGGGTTTCACATAATTCTCCGCTCGCAAAATGGGTCTTTTCATTTTTGCCTTCTCAGTCACGCTTGAAATAAGGTTTGAGAAAATGGAGGAAAGAATAGTTGAAGATGTAGCTGGTTACTTCAGGGCACAGTTTCTTTACTAAAAAGAAACTCTTGATCCAACTTGGTTCTTCTATGTATGATTCTCCTCTACACACACCTTGGAATATTGCTTTTGCGCATCTACTCACTGATAGCGATATTATACAATCTGAACCAAACTATAATATAATAAAGAACAAGTAAACACATAATTAGCTAATTTCATAGACAAGGGTTAGAAAATTCTGATTAGTGTTGTACAAAGGTACTTACTCTTTTGATAAACTCGGGAGTTGACATATCCGTTGAGATTAGCCCGGGAATAACAATTGTTACTTCTATATCCGGATTGAGCTCAACTCTTAGTGCCTCATAAAATCCTAACAGTGCTGCTTTGCTTGCCTACAACAATAACCCAAGTAATCAACATTATCCAATTATCAGCGATCAACAACTAATATAATTATCTGCGTCTACCAAAAGGCTGGGTTGTTGGTGCATGTCTAGTGGCGAAATGTGAGTGGTATAGAACAAATATCAAATCCTAACAACAAGGACCCTTATTGTAGGCTTATAGCTTGACCACTTCCACTTTAGACATTGTAGTTTGTTAGAAAACCCTTTTTGTTACAAGTTTTGAGATACAGATTAGTATGAATTTCGAGTTAAAACTTATCCATGTTTATAATGAATAAACTAAAATATTTATACTATTGTTTAAGAAGAGCAAATCTTACAGAATAGACCGTTGCCAATGGAACAGCCATCTTTGCAGCAGCAGAAGTTACCACAATTATTGTCCCTTTGCTTTTCCGTAGATGGGGAATTGCATAATAAGTGATGTACGTTGAGCCCCAGAAGTTAGTATCCTTCAAAGACACATAATTGAGTGATGTGAAACAGTGTCAACGTATGAATAAACAACAAAATGCTCTAGAAAACTTTTATACAAAATAAGATGTTTCTATTTTTGAACTTTGACCATATGGTTGACCTCAAATAAACTTAAAGTTAACATGTAAAGCATTTTATGATTTTTGTCTCGTTTATAAGAACTGAGACGACGGTCCAAATTCATGAAATGAGTATATAGAATGTATATTCATGTAATACAAAGCCATCAATATTGTTGATGCAGAAGATTACATACCATGACTAGGATGCAGTCTGGGTTTAATTTGTATTAATACTAACGCTATTAATCACTCACCATTATAGGATTAGCATCTTGAATCTGTGGGAAATCCTCAAACAAAACAGTTTGAGATACACCAGCATTATTAACTAAATGGTCCACTGCAAACATATAACAACTTGATTAGAATAATACAAATATAAATAAAGTATTCAATAAAGCACGTATAGATGTCTATATTCTAATAACTTGGTGTCAAATATTTCTTGCTATAAAAAAATTACTCTAATATAATAATAGCGGTTATAACTCTTTCTCATATGTAAAATGTCTACCATTCTTTGTCTGATCAATAAATTTAAAATTTCATTTTTTTTAAAACATAGCTAGAAATGTTGTTTTGTTACATATATTTAGACGTCTGAGCTTAGAATCAATCTAACACTTTAAAAACTTTGTGACTTAAAAAAAACAGTTACCTATTGTTGGCTTTTAAAAAAATCCAGAAACTTAATTCGCTATATGGTTATTCAAGAAATTCCAGAAACTATTTAGTGTAAAAAATAAAATCCTGTCTATGACATATTTTAGGGACTTTGAGTGGGGTTTAGGACGTCAAAACATGTTTGGAAAAAAATTAACTTCCAAAACTTTTTTTTTTTAAACTTCTAAAGCCTTAAAAGTTTCAACATCAGGCACCCTAGTTTGTTTAATAGTGTGTGCAAGATTCAGAGTTTAAGTTTTGGTTTATATCAGGCAAACAAATAAATATTTCCAGAATAAATGAAAGCATTAAAAAAAAAGTTATATTTTATAATCTAAAACCTTGCATTTTGGTCAACTACAGCATCGATCTAAAGATTCCAAACTCTTTAGATCACTACAAGTTTGATGAAACATCCAATCTGTGCATTGACGATTAAATTATATTGAAACATAAACAATGTATAACGTTTTCATTTGAGTACTTACGTTTTCCAAAATGACTTATCGTCTCATCGATGAACTTCTTGCAATCACTAACCTTAGTAACATCACCAGGTATGATAATAACATCACGTGAACCTAACTGTCTTGATGTTGCTGCTACTGTCTGTAGACGATCTTCTCTCCGAGCAACCAGAGCTAGATATGCTCCTTTCTTCGCATACTCATATGCAACATGCTTTTGCAAGCCAAGCAAAAGAACATATCAACCAAAAACGTGTCAATTCTAAAAAAAATAAAGGAAAAAGGTCCATTTACGAAAGCAGTTCTTTTTTATAAACAAAATGAAGGTTTTATTCTGTGTATTTAAATGTCCTACCAAGAAAATTATAAAGATTACTATCATTTTTGCAAATATATCTAATTAACAAGAAATTAAAAGAAGAAATCATTTTGCATATTTAGAAATATGAAAGCTCAATATAAAACTATCATTTGGCATGATGATTGCCTCTAGAGAGATATAGATCATATTGATCTAGAAAATGATGATATCGAAAGCTAACCTCTCCGATGCCGGAGGAAGCTCCGGTGATGAGAACTACTTTACCGGCGACATTTTTAACGCAAAGATGCTTGCGTACACAATTCAGAAGTTTGATGACAAGATAAAATGGGTAAAAGAGGAAGAGGAGGATGAGGGTAAGAGGGGGAAGAAGAATATTGAGAATCACATTAATCATATCCATGGTTCTTATTTGCAGGAGAACACCTTGTTTTTTTGTTTTTTTTTGTTTTGTTAAAGGGTCTTCATAGAACACCTTGTTTTTATTCTAGTTTTAATAATAGTTTCGGTCCAACGCAAGTGAGAAAAGGAACACCAAAATTTATGAGTGATTTCTTTCTTAAATTACTAGTTTCCTCGCCATCTCCGTAACTTAATACTATAGGACAAAATACTATGTCAGAGAAACATGTGGGCACCATTGGAATCTAACACATATATTTCGTTAACGAATCTAGATTATTTAAAATCTCATGATATGATAAAAATAATCAACTAAACAACTATCTTTTTTTTTGTTAAAAATCAACTAAACAACTATCACAACTCACAAGTGATTCACAACTGTAATTGAAAAGATAGTTGTGACGGATAAGCCAGCCATTAAAAGTCTTTTTTTAATAGTTTCATGTGTTTCATGTTAAGAACAATTTAGAGTTTAAATTTTGTTCCACAATAAGTGTTTCATCTTAAGTACCGTTTTAGTGTTTCGTTTTATATTTTCAATAAAAAAATGTTTTGATGAATTTCCAAATTTCTATTTGTTCATTTAACTTATTAAATAATTATATTCACTAATATAATATATTAATTAAATTTATATTTTTAATATGTGTGAATTTTTTTTAAACAAAATAAAAATGGAAGGAGTATCATTTTATTTTATGATATTAGTTCTGCATCGATTAATATTTTATCACTGACTAAACTAAATTAAAATTAATTTGAAATTAGAAGAAACAACAAGATATTATATTAAAATAAGACATGTCGCATCATTATCATAGATCGATCTCAAGTTACTTACTTTTTTGTTTTTTATTACGATAATGCATGATCAATGATGACAATTGTATATAGATTATAAAAAACAAAAAAAAAAAAAATTGTTCAGCACATTTGCTAGGAGATAGGCTTTACGTCTAAAGTTGTTTTTCCGAGCTAGTATGAGATAGGTAGGAGGAGCTAAGCCATCACTGACGACCAAAGGCTTTGATTGACTTAATTAATGAGCTTAACAGACAAACGAGAAAAAAAAAGAATCAAACTTTGAGTGAAATGGGTCTTTTAGTTTCTTTGCCGGCTCAGTCACGCTTGAAATAAGGTTTCATAAAATGGACGAAAGAATGGTTGAGGAAGCATTGCATTACTTCAGGACACATATTCTTCACTAGAAAGAAACACTTGATCCAACTTGGTTCTTCTATGTATGATTCTCCTCTGTAAACACCTTGGAATATATTTTTTGCGCATCTACTCACTGATTCCGAGAAAAAACAATCTGTACCATACTATATCAAGAAAACAAAACATACAAAAACTTATAATTAGCTAAACATGTCAATCGAATTACAATAGTTATGCTGAAAACTTAAAAAGTAATTGGATAATATAATGTTGTTGTATAAAAATACATGATTTTACTTACTTTTTCTATAAATTCAGGAGTTGTCATATCTGTGGAGATAAGTCCAGGAACAACAATTGTTACTTTAACTTCTGGATTGAGTTCGACCTTCAATGCCTCAAAAAATCCTACCAACGCTGCTTTGCTTGCCTATATCGATAACCAATTAGTGACATCAAAATTATCAATGACTTGACAATATAATTAGTATTTTTTAATTACAGAATAGACAGTTAACAATGGCATGTGTATCTTTGCTGAAGCCGAAGTGATGACAATGATTTTTCCTTTGCTCTTTCGAAGATGAGGAATTGCGTAATACGTTATGTATGCTGCACCCCAGAAGTTGGTATCCTTAAAGCACATAAATTAAGTATATTAGTCAACATATATTGAAAAAATGGAGCTTGCTCGATTTTGTCCTTGGATCATATACATAAAACAAAAAAATTCCTTAGCTGACTTCAATCCTTTATCAAACATTATCTTCGTACGTAAGTAATACACATACTGTTTGGTTTTAGTTTCCTTGTACTAATTATACATATTAGATACTAAGACTGTTTAACTCACTTCATATATCACATGACAACCTTGGAGATGGATAAATTGGAAATGTACCATTATACGAGTAGCGTCTTGAATTTGAGAGAAATCCTCGAACAAATTGGATTGAGGCACACCAGCATTATTGATCAGATGATCCACTGCCAAAATATGATTACTAAATAAGAATAATAGCCGGTTAAATATTGAATAAATTACATAAATTCTTTTGCTATGAGATTTCATTAGCTATGTCGAATACGTTTTGTTTAATTTTATTCTAATACTATGATCTAACTCAATTCAAAATTATTGATATATTTGGAATTTAGTACTTACGTTTCCCGAAATGAAGTATAGTCTCGTCGATGAATTTCATGCAGTCATTAGTTTTACTAATATCACCTGATATGACGATGACATTAGGAGAACCTAATTGTCTTGATGTCTCGGCTACTATTTGTAGACGATCCTCTCTTCGAGCAACCAAAACTAGACACGCTCCTTTCTTCGCGTATTCGTATGCGATATGCTTTTTTTTTTCCAGAAAAAAATAGTAAAATAACACAAAAATCAAATGATGCTAATTCCGAGAAAACGAAGAAATCAACATTTACTGTTAACTTTTTTTGTTAACAACTTGATTTTAAATTAAATTCTAGTATCGGTTATCCAATCAGGAGAATATATATAATTAGATGAGGTCCAAAAGAAAGAAATAAAGGAATGATATATAAAAGCTAACCTCTCCGATGCCGGAGGAAGCTCCGGTGATAAGCACTACTTTTCCGGCGACATTTTTCATTGTAAAGATGCTTACGAACACAATTCAGAAGTTTGATCAAAAGATAAATTGGATAAAAGAAGAAAAGAAAGACGAGGGTAAGAGGAGGAAGAAGAATATTGAGAATGATGTTAACCATATCCATGCTGCTTCTTAGATTGCAAGACAACAACATGAAAGCTTTATATTTAAACTTCGTTTCCATGATTATAAAAAAAAAGTTAAAATGTTCAGTGATTTCTTAAATTACGTGCGTCGACGTGAAACTCTATGGATTTCGTAAACTCAACACGTGGGGACTATTCTCAAGTAAGATGCTCGTGTATAACCATGCTATTTTTATCAAATATAACGAAATAAAATATTTTGACCAAGTTATATATTATTTATTTATACATGTAATAAACTAGGTGTTGGTTCCCATAGTGCGAAGACGTAAACAGTGAGTTAAAATAATTATGAGTATATAATTGAATTTAGGATTTGAGTTGATTTGTTTGAATGCAAGTGTGAATATTGGTAAGAAATCAACAAGAAGAAAAGATTCCAAAGAACTAGGTTCCTACAAATAAAGGTCTTTTGCTGTCAACAACATGAGTAAATTTAGGTTTAAACTCTGATGAGTCTAAACAGATAACTTAGCATTTTTGTTACTGATTCTCAGGGAATCAAATTCAGACCAGCAACCGGAGGAGTCAAGAAAAAACACATAACATAATTGAAACACAAGATGCATAAAATTTTTATATATCTAAATGAAAATATATAATATAAACAAGTCTATAGATACTGATACGTATCTTCTCTACTCTCTAGCTCACATCTATGTCGTGACTCAAGTATAGATATCCGCACACACATAGTTCAAATCAAAGGCACCACATCTTCAAGAAAATGGCTTCTCTCTTGTTAACAGTTTCTTTTCTCTTTGCAACATTGTCTTCTAAATATCTTGTTGGTTTATCACTAAATCCAGTTGATTCTTGCTGGCGAGGAAACCCTAATTGGGCGTCTAGCCGTCATGCCCTAGCCAACTGCGCGGTAGGGTTCGGGAAAGCCGCAATAGGAGGCAAACACGGGCCGATCTACGTGGTTACAAACCCGTCAGACGATCCTAGGCACCCTAAACCCGAATCCCTAAGATATGGGGCGATCCAATCTAAACCACTATGGATCACATTCGCACGTGACATGGTAATAGTGTTGAAATACGAGCTCCTCGTGAGCAGCTACAAGACGATAGACGGGAGAGGAGCAAAAGTGGAAATAACCAACGGGCCGTGCATAACGTTAAAACGTGTGAGTCATGTCATTATTCATGGGATAAGTTTCCATGGTTGTAGAACCGGTTTGGTGAGAAGAGGGTCATGGGATGGTGACGCGATACGCGTGTTTCAGTCTACACATGTTTGGATCGACCATTGTTCCTTTGCTCGGTGTCAAGATGGTTTGGTCGATGTGATTCATTCTTCTACGGCTGTAACTATCACTAACAGTCACTTCACACATCACGAAAAAGTAAGTACGTATATGTATATATTCGTTATTAGATTCCTTATGATTGAATCGATGATCTTGTCATTCCATTCATGAGACAATATATAGAGATTGATATACAAGAGAGCCGTTATATGCTCATAACTATCTTGCCTAATATATATAGAAGAATATATGCATTCCATATTCTAATACCCTCCCGCAGTCAGAACGTGAGGTTCCCGAACGCGAAGACTGGACTTGAACTCATTGAAGAGTGCTGAAGGAAGCCCCTTCGTGAAGATATCGGCATATTGTTGAGATGAAGGAACATGGAGGACTCGGACTTGACCAAGAGCTACCTTCTCTCACACGAACAAGATATCGAGTTCGATATGCTTGGTGCGTTGATGTTGGACCGGATTGGTGGACAAGTAAACAGCACTCACATTATCACAATAGACAAGTGTAGCGGTGGAAATCGGACAATGGATCTCAAGTAACAGATTGCGAACCCAAATCGTTTCAGCCACTACATTTGCCACACCTCGATACTCAGCTTCAGCACTTGACCGAGACACTGTGGGCTGTCGTTTCGAGGACCAAGAGATAAGATTATCTCCAAGATACAAGCAATATCCAGACGTGGAGCGTCTAGTATTGGGGCATCCTCCCCAATCAGCATCTGTGTATGCCGTGAGAGTCGTTGTGTTTGACTTGTAATCCTTGAGTGATTGTACCTTTGAGGTAACGCAGAATACGTTTGAGCGCAGTGAAATGAGGTTCCGTGGAGCGTGCATGTAGAGACATATTTGATGAACCGCATAGGCAATGTCAGGACGGGTAAACGTGAGGTATTGAAGTGCACCAGCGAGGCTGCGATAGAGTGTCGGATTGTCGACGGGTTTGCCAATGTCTGCACAGAGCTTGGCCGAAGTGTCAACGGGAGTACGACACGGTTTACAGTTAGACATATTCGCTCTGTGGAGGATATCTGCGGCATAGTTTCGTTGATCCAGAAACAATCCATTCTTGTCTCTGCGTACAACAATGCCAAGAAAGTAGTGAAGAAACCCAAGATCAGACATTGGAAATTCAGATTTGAGAGAGGATATAATAGACCTGAGAAGAGATGTTGTGGAGGCAGTGAGAATGATGTCGTCGACATAGAGAAGGAGATAGGCTATTTCAGTGCCACGACGTAGGATGAAGAGAGAAGTATCACTCTTGCTGCAAGTGAAACCCTGTTTGGTTGCGTATTGAGCAAACCGTTGATACCAGGCGCGGGGGGATTGTTTGAGTCCATACATGGATTTCCGGAGACGACACACGTAGTCCGGTTTCGTAGGATCAACAAAACACGGCGGTTGATGCATGTAGACTGTTTCCTCAAGATTGCCATGAAGAAAAGCATTTTTGACGTCAAGCTGATGCAGAGGCCAATCACGAGAGACAGCAACATCAAGTATTGTGCGAATCGTCGTCGGTTTGATAACGGGACTGAAGGTTTCTTGACAATCAATTCCAACTTCCTGAGATTTGCCATTTGCCACCAAGCGATCTTTATGACGAGCAAGTGTTCCATCTGCACGAAATTTATGAGTATACAACCACATAGAGCGCACAATGTTAGTATTAAGAGGAAGAGGAACAAGATCCCATGAACGCGCGCCGCTATTTGTGAATCGTATTCGGCGTGCATAGCACCATTCCAGTTGGGATCTTTGAATGCCGCAAGGTGGGATCGAGGCAGAGGAGAGATAATGTCGGAGTGTAGGGAGAAGATTTGTTTTGGTTTGACTATGCCACTGCGACTCCGAGTTTGCATTCTGGCAGGAGGCGGTGCGGCTGGAGCTTGAGTAGTTGACGGCTGAGATGATGATCCTGGAACTGTTTGTTGGGTGCGGTCCGCTGAACGAGGTTCAGTGGAGCCAGAGTCATGATCAGGTACCGTGGAGGAGGTATCCTGCTGAGAAGAAGACGCTATAGTGTGAGAAGACGTTGGCGCTGGAGGAAGAGAAGTCGGTGGTGGATCCGGTGACGGTGCCGGAGGAGACGGTGGTGCCGTCTGCGGGGAGTGTAAGAGCGACGGTGGATATGTGAGTGAGGAGGCTGATGTCAGCGGCAGAGGAGGAGAGCTTGGACCTGCAAAAGGGAAAACAGTTTCATCGAAAACCACATGTCGTGAGAGTATAATACGACGGGTGTTGAGATCAAGGCATCTAAAACCACGATGGTTTGGTAGATAGCCAAGGAAAACACAACGAGTGGATCGTGGTGAAAGTTTATTACGAGAAGTGGGAAGCAGATTAGGGTAACAAAGACAGCCAAATACTCTAAGATGCGTATATGAAACTGGTTTTTGAAAAAGACGAGTGAAAGGAATTTCATTATTTATGGAAGAAGATGGAAGAATATTAAAAAGATGGGCAGCCATATTCAATGCCTCAACCCAATATGTATTGGACAAGTTTGCCTGAAATAAGAGAACCCGCACAAGATTATTGACCGTGCGCAGAGTTCGTTCGGCTCTCCCATTTTGTTGTGACGTATGTGGGCAAGAAAATCGTGGCTGAATCCCATGAGTGGAAAAGAAATCCAGCATTTGACGATTATTAAACTCACCCCCATTGTCACATTGAAAAGCTTTGATGGGATGTTGAAATTGAGTTTTGATAAAGTTGAAAAAATGCAAAAACTTTGAAAAAACTTCACTTTTCTGACGAAGAGGATAAATCCAGAGGAAATGAGAGAATTGATCAAGAAAAATGACATAGTAATTAATTCCACTAACACTCGTAACTGGTGATGTCCAAACATCGGAGTGTATAATTTCAAATGGAGAAGTAACAAGAGTTTGAGAAGAAGTAAAAGGTTGCCGTAAATGCTTGCCTAATTGACAGGCATGACATAAAGAAAAAACATCAGTTTTTGAGTAATTGATAAAACCAGCAGTAGATAAAGAGCGTAAAATAGCATCGCCGGGATGGCCGAGACGCTGGTGCCATAGAGATGGCGATGTAGTGGTGATGAGAGCATGTGACAATGGTGCCGACTGAGGTTTGGTAACGGCATACAAAGAGCCACTGCTATTACATCGGATGAGAGGTACTCGGGTATTGAGATCCTTAACAACAAAACCAAATGGGTCAAACTCAACAGAACAAGTATTATCTTTTGTAAATTGACGCACAGAAATAAGATTTTTCAAAATTTTAGGACATAACAATATATTTTTGAGCAACAGAGGACGAGAGTTAGTGTGAATAGATGAATTTCCTATTGCAGTTGCAGGAAGCAAAGCGCCATTACCTACGGTGATGAGAGGCAAAGATGCCTGAGAGGAAAGGGAAGAAATATTACCAGGTTGAGCCGTTAAATGAGCGGTGGCACCGGTATCCATATACCAACCAGCATCGCCTGGATCTGAGACAGTCATGGTGTTAAATGCGTTGGCTAGAGCCGTCGAGATCAGGTCTGACGATTGGTCCGGCATCGAAGTGGTGGAGGAGTTGTGCGTCGCAACATACGCCGATCGTGGAGTGGAACCAAGGAGTCCCGGGGAAGGAGGCGTTGGAGTCGGATGTCGAGACGCGACGGAGGGATACTGATTTGGCCAAGACGGATTCGGCCAGTGAGGTTGATTGGGCCATTGAGGCTGTGAAGCCCAAGGAGGAGGCATGGGCCATGAAGGAGTGGGCCAAGCCCACGGTGGAGGTGGCCCAGAGTTCCAGTTTCCTCCTGACCATTGGTTATTGCCACGACCCTTCGAATTCCGACCTCCACGATTACCGCGATTGCTACGATTTCCACGATTCTGGTGAAATTGGGAATCCGTGGAGCCAGATTGCCGATGGGATTGGTATGGTGGAGGAGCCGAAACCACCAAAATCTGAGGAGATGAAGCAGTATCATGGTGAGATGCTTCAGCCTGTCGTTTTGTGTTCAAGCGGTCTTCTTCGTCTTTGAGCATGGAGCGAGCCATACTGAAGGTACACGCAGGAGACCGGTGCTTGATCACATTAATAATGTTATCAAATTTGGAGCTCAAACCATTGAGAAGATGCATGACGAGCTGCCTGTCGGTAACCGGAGAGTCCACATTGGCCAGAAGATCGGAGATAGTTTTAAGTTTCTGACAGTACTCATGAACGGGTAAATCGCCGATCCGTAATTGGCGAAGTTCGTTATCGAGTTGGATTGCGCGAGCCTCTTTGTTGTCACGAAACAGATCCTCGATCGATTTCCAGAGCTCCGACGCGGTGCTCTTAGTTTTGAGCACTGATTTGAGAAGAGATTCGGAGATGGTGTCGTAGATCCACATCTTGACGGTGCCGTCGGTTTGTGACCATGTGGTATCCTCTGGTCCGGTGGAGGGAGTGGTACCATCGAGATGGCCCAAAACAGAGAAACTATGGCAGTGCGTCTCAAATAGCTCACGCCATAAATCATAGTTCATCTGATTCATATCCAGAGTAATGGGGATATGAGCCTTGATTTGTGTGTGGCTCAGTGATCGATCAGTTGCAGCCGCTGTAGCAGCCATTGCAAATGTAAGAAAAGGAATCAAGAAGATGGAGAGAAAACGAGAAAAAAAGAAAAACAGAGGAATGAAAGTGACAAGAAAAAAAGGAGAAAGAGGAGAGCGGCGGAAGACTAAAATTCTAGGATATGCTCTGATATCATATTAGATTCCTTATGATTGAATCGATGATCTTGTCATTCCATTCATGAGACAATATATAGAGATTAATATACAAGAGAGCCGTTATATGCTCATAACTATCTTGCCTAATATACATAGAAGAATATATGCATTCCATATTCTAATATTCGTTACTTTTTTACATGATTGTAACTTTTATAATAATTTTCTGAATATTGATGATATTTTTGGTAATGTTATTACGAAAAGACAATGTTACTCGGACATGACGACACATTTGTGCACGATAAGAAAATGAAAGTTACCATTGCATTTAACCGTTTCGGACCGGGTCTCGTTTCGAGAATGCCTAGGTACGTATGTAGATTAAAAATACTGACGTGAATATGTTAGTGATGACGTGGATATATGATTGATGACGTGGCAGGGTGAGGAGAAGGGTATGCTCACGTAGCAAACAATATGTACGAGAACTGGCTTTTGTATGCGATCGGAGGAAGTGCTGATCCAATTATCTTTAGTGAAGGCAACTTCTTCGTCGCTGCTAATGCCCATAAACAGGTATATATATCTTTCTTTTTTTATTTAGAAAAATATCATGTCATATAAATTTTCATGATTATATTTTTTCTTTTAAATTGGTTTTAATGTTAAGGATTAAATTAAAATTTATATCTTCAATTAAGATACGAAAAGACCTCCTAACACATTATATATAATGCACTTGGGCTAAATGTAGTCATTCATTATCAATTGGATTTTGAGTCGAAAGAATGCATGAATGAATACTTAAATTGTGTCGTTTGTGTAAAATATATATATATATATAGGTGACGAAGAAAATGACTGGAAGATGGAAAATAAGTACGTCGTCAAAGGACGTTTTCAAAAACGGAGCTTACTTCGGGCCGTCTGGTGGAGCCGTCCAGCCGTTTTACAAAGGAGGAGAGTCGTTCCTGGTGGCCCACGGCTCTCTCGTCCCTTCTCTTACTTCCTCCGCCGGTGTTCTCCATTGCCTCGTCGGCAGGGTTTGCTAATCAATTGCTACTTATGAATTTTACAACAAAAATAATTTATCTGCATAAAGTTCAAAAATGATTCTCGAAACGGGAAATCTTTCTTTTTAAATCATGAATTTTTAGTTAAAAAAAAAAAAAAAACATCTAGTCATAAACTCATAATTGTAGGGTATTTATTTGCGTGGTAAACATATAATGAATCTTAATTATCGGGGAAATTTCAAAACTACACCTCTTGAGGTGCCAATTTTCAAAAATACACTTTTATGGTATCCATTTTCAAAACTACACTTTTTCATTGAGTAAAAGAACTCTAAACCCTAAAATATAAATTTAAAACCCTAAAATCTAACATTGAACCTTTAAATATAAACCCTAAACCCCAAAATCTAAACCCTAATATAGGATTAGTGAACCCAAACATATATATTAAAACTAGGAAAAAATGTATTTTTGAAAATTTCCACACTATAGGTGTAGTTTTGAAAATTTGCACCTCAAGAGGTGTATTTCATAAAATTTCTCTTAAATCTTTATATAATCATCATTTTGAGTGAATAGATCCATTTAACTGCATAAAGTTCAACAAACGTATCTCTAGTTTCTAAAAATGCATGTATATTCCGTTGCCAAAAGTCTTAGAGAATGTTTGATCTTTCAGGTATTCATAAAATACAATGATGGGTTCTTTTTTGATCCTGTCTCCATGAAAAAGAAATCTGACATGTTTCATGCTTTACATCCTTAAATCTGACAATGTTATTATAATATTCATCAGCATGTAGCTATACTCGACCATTGAGATTATACAAGTGATTGTAATTCAATTTAGCTTACTAAAGTAGTCATCTGAGATAATAGAAAAGAGCTTCGATACACAGTCCACCTTCCGTAGAGACACAGATCTTAAGCGAGAAGGCCATTAGTTAATGAGTTAAAGAAAATAGTGATTTCGTTGACAAAGAAAGAAAAAGTCAATAAATTACTTCTGACAAATTCCATTGAGCTAGCAACATGTTCTCTTCAGTAAAAGATTTTGAAACTGTATAATTAGTTGAAAATCATCAAAATTTAATAGCAATCATATTCCAAAATTTCAGATTTTTTTTTTTGAGGTGTCAGCATTATACTACTCTAGTCTTTGATTAATACAATGGATTCTTGGCCTCCAAGAACAAACCTACATATCTCTCAGAAGAACTATGCTTGTTCAGATGTCGTTACGTTTTGCTTCGTTTGGTTTGGTAGTTTCCGGTTCTTGAATTATGCTTAAAAGCTTGTCTTCTTTTACTCGGTGCTTCTGACTTAACCAACTCCTTCAGCTTCTCCGGGGCTGAAATGAAAAAAATGATAAAAAAATTCATCAAAACCATAATCCACTTTAGATAATCAATTTCCTGAAGTGTTTCATATTTATTGACTGACAAACCGGGTAATGGAGCTGGTTTACATAAGATTGTACCGAAGCTAAATTGAACCGAACCGAAATTGCAAACCCTATCAATGAACCGGAGACCCTTCAAAAATGTGAGAAACTATTTGTCTTCTTCCGCCTTCCATCTACCTCACCGGCAGCTGTAAGAGAGAAGCCTTGCAGTCGCTGCTTAACCGTCGTCAAGACGGAGAGCCGACTCCAGCCGCCAAGTCCGAGCCGGCAAACAACATGATCCCAGATCCAAGAGTAAGAGATCAATATATAATTTTATCAGCTACTTACCAAAGCTCTAGTTCCAAATTGTCCAATTGGTGACAGCGAATTGATATTCTTAATCCTGAGCCATTTTGATGATGATTGCAGGAAGACTTTTTCTGAATAAAATACTTACAGTCGCAACGTGAATGTTGGCACCACCACCTACTGTGGCAACATGCATGTTGGCATAGTGGGAAGCTGGATTTTGGCACATTTTGGCACCATCATCTAAAGTCGCACAGATAATGCGCATTGTAAGTATAAACACATATTCATATATGCAAAACCTAAATCGCAGATCTATGTTCTTTTATTATTCAGTTCATGATTGTATTACACTTGATGGATTAAACATATGTTCATAACCATGCTTTGATATGTGACAATGTTGGAGATTCATAAATTGAAAATCTATAAACAAAAGGAAATTATCTGATTCAAAAATGATTAATGAAACGGGAAATCTTTCTTGTTAAAATCTTAGTGTTGTTTCACAAAAATACCAAATAACCCAAGCATTTATTCATAATGGTAGGGTAGTAAACATATAATGAATCTTAAATCTATATGTAATTAATGTAATCATCATTTTGAGTGAATAGATCAATTTATCTGCATAAAGTTCAACAAACGTATCTTTAGTTTCTAAAAATGCATGTATATTCCGTTGCCAAAGTCTTAGAGAAATTTTTGATCTTTCAGCTTCATAAAATATAATTATGGATTTGTTTTTGATCTTGTCTCCATGAAGAAAAATATAAATCTGACATGTTTCATGCTTTACATCCTTCAATTTTATTTACACCTCCTAATCTGACCAATGTATTAAGTATTGATAAGGACCTTTTTTATATTCATGTATAGGGAAAATTGGAATTAAAGGATGTTTCATATGTATGTTTGGTGATCTACACCTTTTTTTTTCTACTTTGGGGGATTAGTCTTTATATGAGCTTAAAGTACAAATATACCCTAACTAATCAAAAACTATAAATTTTTCATTAAATATATATTTAATAAACAAAATATATAAAATTTAGGGTTTATTGTATGTGAAAAAGTTTTTACGTTCTTCTTCACCTTGTTGAGGCGTTAACCAAATAACACGGATTGCACCATTGGACTTGTCGTTAATAAATGATAGCAACATTAGAGAGGCAAGGATGAAAATTGCTAGTGATCTATGTGAAGCTGCAACTGACCCTATTCTACAAGAGCGAATGTTGCAGTACAAGCCTTCACAATTTGACGATATCATACCTGTGGAGATCGATTGAAGTTAACAAATCTTTGTTGCTTGCCTTCTTTTTTAATTGATTTTATTTTCTCCATTACTTTGTTACTCTATTTGTGTGCTTTTTTTTGGTCTTTCAATTTCATATATCAATGTCTTTTGAAATAATCGAGTAGTCAAGTTTCTCTGTTTCTCTCCATTGTTGGTCTTTTAATCTTTTAATCTTAGACTTGGATGATTTTGTGCTAACTTGTATTGCAATTTGCGGATGCGTTATAACTCCAAATGATGAAAAGTTATCTTCTGTGAATTCTCCGAGATGTTATCTTTCCATAGACATCTCAAACGTGGTCAAACTCATTTTTCTCCGGCTGGAATCGTCTTCCAAAGTAGGCTTCGCACACACTGTTTTCCTGAGAATAAATTGCAGGTTTCTCAGCAATTTCTTGGCCAGGAAGCAACGCTTGTAAAATGCACCTCCGGTGGGACTAGGGTTCCGACTTGACTTCTATGAACTCTTGGGTTGATTTAGAATATGACTAAACCGTCTGTGCATGAAATGGACATCTCGTGTGCCGACAGTAAGCCTCCAAAGTCACCTCATCAACACTGCTTTACATTGTTTGCTCTCTTCTTCTTCTTCACTTATCCACCTCTGTTTTTCTCTGGTCTCTGCTTCTACCTGCTCATTTACCTCTTCTCTTTAACGCCATGATCCATATCGGTTTAGGGGTCAAACCGATCGATCTGTGTTGATTTTAACAACACGAATTTGCCAAAAACGTTTAGAAATTAGACGATAGTACAAACCATATCATACAACATATTCGAACAAAACTGTAAGAAAAATACAAAGAAGCAAACAGTTGCTTACCAGCTGTGAAAAGGGAAGAGAATTTGAGCAGAAAAGAAGAGATGTTCAGTTCAAAAGAAACCTGACGAGAAGGAGGGAATGAGAAAAGAAGGAGATGATGGAGGAAATGGGAAAAGAATGGAGATATTTTGACAGATTTTTTGGAGATTTCGTTTCCTAATATTGATTTTCTTTTATTTTTAGAATCTAGTGACATAGAAGGTGCATTCTAGAGTTTTTAGAACATGTGTAATCTCTAGAATTTGCATTCTTAAAATCAAAGAAGACGCATTCTAAAAGTTTTAGAATATGTACAGACTTTAGAACACGGATTCTGAAAATTTTAGAATTTCTACGCATTCTAAAATTTGTACATATTCTATAAGTTTTAGAATATGAATTCTAAAGTTTGAACATATTCTAAAAGTTTTAGAATGTTCAATATTCTAAAATTTTAGAACATGCATTCTAAAACTTTTAGAATATGTTCAAACTTTAGAATTTACTTTAGAACGTAGAATGCGCATTCTAAAATATTTAGAATATGTACAAATTTTAGAATATGCATTCTAGAGTATTTAGAATATGTTGAAACATTAGAATTCATTTTCTAAAAAATTTAGAACGTAGAATGCGGATTCTAAAAAATTTAGAACGATAAGTAAATATTTTTTTTTTCAATTTTTGTTGTTACACTTAAAATTATAAAAATGTTACTATGGTGTTTTCAGTTTTTTATATATTTTTTCACATTTCACTGAATTTTTTAAAAATGATTTGATTATTATAATAATTTAGATAAGGCTAATTTAGTCAAAAAATGAACAAAATACTAAAAGATGTAGATTACCAAACATAGATATGAAACGTCCTTTAAATCCAATTTTATACTCGACCATTGATATTATACAAGTGATCATAATTCTATTTAGCTTACTATGTAATCGCCTGAGACACACAGATCTTTATATCTTTAAGCGGCAAGGCCATTAATGACTTCAAGAAAAATAGTGATCTCGTAGACAACGAAAGAAAAAAAAGGAACTACATACTTCTCCTACTCCTGAAAATTTATAGTGAGCAACATATTATCTTTAGTACAACATTTTGACTATAAATAGTTGACATCAAAATATAATAATAGTAACAATCATTCCAAAATTTTGTGAAGAATTGAGGTGCCAGCATTATACTACTACTCTGGACTTTAAATTAATACAGTTGATTCTTCGCTTTGCAAGAACAATCCTACACATCTTGAACCAGAAGAACTACGCTTGTTCAGATGTCGTTTTGCTGCGTTTGGTTTTGTAGTTTCCGGTTTTTGAATTATGCCCTAAAGCTCGTCTTCTTTTCCTCGGTTCTTCTGACTCAACCGACTCCAGCAACTTCTCCAGTGCTGTAATGAAAAAAATGATAACAAAAAAATCATCAAAACCAGAATCCACTTCAGATAATCAATTGCCTGAAATGTTTCATATATTGACCACAAAACCAGCAGAGGAAGAACTTAAAGCAGGAGAACTGTACATTCTAAAATTTGTACATATTCTAAATATTTTATATATTTACAAATATTTTAAACATTTTTGTCAAAGTATACAATTTTTTTTTCTGTATATAGGAAAACTGTCATTCATTAGGTATACTTTACATTTTACTAATTGTCATTATCGATTTCTTTTTTCTCTGTTTTTTTTTAAATTTCTAACATTTTTCTTTTACCAAAGTTTACATTTTTATAATAGAATTTCTAACCTTTTTCTTTTATGAAAGTTTACATTTTATCAATTATGCAATTTTTTTTTTGAACTCACGATCGAATCCGAAATTAATTGTCTTTCACAAACACCAAATTCACCGGAAAGTTATTATATATGCAGATTTTTTATATATAAATATCTTGGTTACTCATATCGTTTTTAACAACAATGTTTCTCGATCCCTTTTTTTTTATTCCGCTTTTGATTAACTATCCGCAACAACAAACCGTGGTTTAACCGCCATGAACGCGAACAAGCTCTTTGACAAGTGACTTGGAGGAATCAAACGATCCCAAAACTCCAAGAACGCAACTGAAAACAATAAACCCGAGATTCGCGACTCTCTTGAGCTTCGACATCCCGTCCCAGCAAATCTTCAAGTAGAAAGCAGACAGTAATATGACAGCGATCGTGACACTAACCAACGATCCCGTGAGGCTCAAGACATAGCCGAAAAAAGGCACGGTCAAAGCCAACGCGAGAATGACTAGTAGAATAGCGGAGCCAACAAGACCACGAGCCACGAGCTTGGTGCGATCGGTCATGTTCAAAGGAAGGCTGCGTTCGAGCTGGATGGCTAAAGGAGCGAACTCTAATGCGTATTTGGTCATTGGGGTTAGTACAGTGTGGCCCAGAGAGCGATCTTGCTTACGAGTGAATGTTTTGGAAGACTGAGGGTAATTTGGGGATTTACGCTTGGTCCGAACATCATCGCTCCTGTGATGGCTAGTGCCGTGTACAATGCCGTCACCGTAGCAAAGCTCACGATCGATACCTACGTATTCAATATTCACATGCAATCTATTATTTCAATGTTTTATGCGGACAAAACAAAAAAAAAGTGCTTTATTACACATTTTCAAAACCCATAACTTGTAATACACACATCGTGTTATTTATTTTGGAACATCCTAACAAACACACGCTACTACTCTAGTGTAAATTGGTAATTCCGTGTATATTTATATGAAATAAACTATTTTTTTTAGAAGAGAGAATTTTATAAATGATTTACTAAAAAAAAGTTAAAAACTATAGAAAAAGAAAGCTAACGTACCTTTGTGAATTTGGAGGATCTTTCATGGAAGTATAGATATTAGGAAATACGATGTGTCCACCGAAGCCGAACAGATAAATTCCCGAAACCGTTGGGATGTTCCCTAACCGGAGCAACGGAATCCTCCCGTTGTCACTAACGCCGCCAAATATTGCCGTGTAAACCACGGATCCGAATATAAGCGCCAACATAAGAATCCCACCGGAAGAAAGAAACGAGATCGAAGATAAGTCTCTTATCCACAAACTCGGCAGAGTTTAATTTGGTGCGACATAATGATATAAGAAATAACTGATCAAGTACGTACCAATGAGCATACCAACCATGAATAGTTGCTGATACAGTTAAGTTTTGTGGTTTAAAGGGATCTTAAATGAAATGAACGTTGAACGATGGATTTGTGTTAACCATTTTTTGAGGCAAAAAGGTGAACTAACGTCTGATTCTTCTGCAAGTAAATTATCATTATTAGTATGCTTGATTCTTCACTTCATGGTTGGGAGTGAATTTTTGGTCCTTAATAGGCTAAATTCTCTAATGAGAACAGGCATGTTAATGATTTTCATACTCTTATTAATTTAGTAGCATAATTAGGGTCCTCGGATTCTTCTTCATATTAGTTGGTCCCAATGATTCTCATACGTATCATTTTTTTTTTCTGTCTATCAGGGCGTTGGGATTTGTTAAAATGGTGCTTGTTTTATGGTCACCTGTTGTGATTCCATTGCTTCCAACACTTCTCCAGAGCTGGTCCACAAGTACTCCATCTAGAGTAGCGGAACTAGCTACTGTAGTTGGGCTCTATGTTGCTGTTTTCATTCTTGTTATGCTGTGGGGAAAGAGAGTACGAAAGTATGAAAATCCATTCACGCAATATGGGCTTGATTTCAAGGCATCACCCAAAAAACAGGTACTATTACCTTAAACGTTTAGACTAATGTGATTTTCTTTTCTTTTTTCTCCTTTTCTTCACTTACACATGCTATTAACGTAATCTTCACTTCCTTGCAGATTCTAGGGTTTTTGAAGGCCTTAGCAGGAGGCATCACAGTGGTTCTAGTAATACAGCTCATAAATACAATATTGGGAGCTGCCATTTTATCTCGGCCGCCTTACCTTCCACATCCTTATGATGCCATGAAGCTGCTCAAGGGAAGCGCGCAGCTGCTTCTGCTGTCTGCTGATAGTTAGGGGGTTTGCAACTGCGACATTTATTGTGTTTGTGGAAGAGTTGCTCTTCAGGTCATGGATGCCTAACGAGATTGCTATAGATATGGGATACCATCAAAGCATTATCATTACAGGGCTCGTATTTGCCTTGTTCCAGAGGTATTTATACAATAGCATGTAACATATAAGTCGCTCTCATCTCATTTGAGATTAGTAGCATAATAAGTGTGTGTTTCTTTTCTTGCAGATCCCTGAGATCAATTCCAGGGTTATGGCTTCTGCCGTTGGCGCTGGCAGGGGCTCGTGAGAGAAGCCAAGGGAATCTGATAGTGCCAATTGGGTTGCGAACAGGAATGATAGCAGCAAGCTTTGTACTACACACTGGTGGATTCCTCACGTACAACCCGAGTTCACCGGTTTGGACTGCAGGGAAACGTCCGTTACAGCCTTTTAGCGGAGTGGTCGGTCTTGGGGTCGCTTTTGCGCTAGCACTCGTTCTTTATCCAAGACCTTCTCCAGAAACCAAGATACAGAAATCTAATTAAGGAAAAGAAGTCAAAACAATAAGACAGAACTTTTTGTGCTCATGCTCTCTGTGATTTGCTAAACGAGGAGAGTGAAAGTAAAAGCTTCGGATTCGCAGTCTGTAAGTAGGAAGCGTAAGAGCCTTTGTGTACATCTTCTGTACCCTGTATAGTATATAGTGTTCTGTTTATATACAAATTATCATAACAGTGTATACGTAATATTATAGAAGTTGTATATGAGATGAAATCTAAAGTCGCTTTAGATCACAGAAGAAGAAAAGTTGCCGACATGAATTAAACATAAATGGCATAATTAGCATTAACATTATTATCTCTTACATGAGATATAAGAGTTTCTGATGAATAAAAGACCAAAACTTGAAATTAAAAAAAAAATTAAATATTATTCATAAAACCCACATTTAAGTAAAAAACCAAAAAAAAAATAATAATAAACTAAAACCACTTAAGTAAATAGTAGAAAAACTCTTTGATATCTCAGAAACGACTAATATTGAACTATCTTGTGAAGCAAAAATCGTTCATAGCTTTGATCCCACATAAGTCCAATTACATCGCCTTCTTGGTAGTTGTTGGCTCTAGCAAAAGGGCCCCATCCTCTCTTCAAAAAATAGGTGTTGTCAATGTCTTTAACTAAGATCCATGTGTAGTCATCAGCTTCATTACCTTCCTCTATAACATGGACCTTCACTTCAACACCGTTTTCTGTTCCTATCTGCTGGGCCATAGCCTGTCTCATCTGCGGAATTATAGAATCTAATAATTCTTTTCGCGGTAGGAGAAGTTTACCATTCATCGAAGTATCAGAAGCGGTTAACTTCTTTTTTATAACCCATGGATCATATTGAGATAAACTCAAATCTAAATCCGCTTCTTGAGCCATATTCTAGCTAATATGAATTTTTTTTTAAACTATGAAAGATGATGATAGCTACTAAGAATATTTTGGTTGAGAAATTAAGTTCATTCCTTATGTTTATATAGCTTTCAATCAAATCAAATTTCCCTTTTTCTATTAGTATTTTTCCTTTTCAGAAGTTTTTTTTTGTCATCTTACTACAAATATTTTAAACATTTTTGTCAAAGTATACAATTTTTTTTTCTGTATATAGGAAAACTGTCATTCATTAGGTATACTTTACATTTTACTAATTGTCATTATCGATTTCTTTTTTCTCTGTTTTTTTAAATTTCTAACCTTTTTCTTTTACCAAAGTTTACATTTTTATAATAGAATTTCTAACCTTTTTCTTTTATGAAAGTTTACATTTTATCAATTATGCAATTTTTTTTTGGACTCATGATCGAAACCTGAAAATGGAACATTACTTTATTCGTCCTCGGCACCATCTACGTACATGCATGGCTACAGGAATATCAAGATCACCGGATCCTTCCCGGTTTTCCTCGGGTCGGGTTTCCAGATCTCCGGCTGACACTGGTGGTGGTCCTAGTGGAGGGTTGGCTGTACAAAACTGTAAGTTGGTGAAAATAAGGACAAGTCCTAGAGTTAAGTGGTTAGATGAAATCTAAAGTCGCTTTAGATCACAGAAAAAGAATAGTTGGTGTCAGATTCAGGAAATTGGAAGTGCTTGGCGGTAAATCCGAAATTAATTCTCTTTCACAAACACCAAATTCACCGGAAGTAAATGTTGAATTCACCGGAAAGTTATTGTATATGCAGATTTTTTATATATAAATATATTGGTTACTCATATCGTTTTTAACAACAATGTTTCTCGATCCTTTTTTATAAAATAAACCCCGCGCTCTCAACCTCCATGAACGCGAACAAGCTCTTTGACAAGCGACTTAGAGGAATCAAACGATCCCAAAACTCCAAGAAGGCACCCGAGATTCGCGACTCTCTTGAACTTCGACATCTCGTCCCAGCAAATCTTCAAGTAGAAAGCAGACGGTAATATGACAGCGATCGTGACACTAACCAACGATCCCGTGAGGCTCAAGATATAGCCGAAGAAAGGCACGGTCAAAGCCAATGCGAGAATGACGTTTTCTAGTCATAACTCATAACTTCAAATTCAGATAGATTTGTCGGAAAAAACAAATTTCAAGGCGCCAAATCACGCGACGAATCAGCTGAATCCAAAAGATTTTAAATCTAAAAGCTCATGAAACGGAACTGATTAAAGATATTGAAGAAAACAAAGAGGAAAACAGAGAAATTGAGCAAAAATTCAATCTGATACCATGTTGGATTGCATATAAAAGAGGCTTTGATCTAAAAGAGAGAGAGAGAGAGAGAGAATAGTATACATGTAGCTCGAAAAATGAAATGGATAAATAAATAAATGAATGTAACTAGTGAAGCTTAATTCCCACACACACAATACTGTATATTCTTTATATAAAATCTCATGCGCAAATTCAAACGCTAAGCATCCAAGCAGGATGCTCCAATCACTGACCTGAAATGAGGATTGTAAGGTCAGAGAAGTTACTTATTTGTGGACAAAACAAAAATAAGACTATTCATGTGTGATTAATTAGGAGATTAGGGAGTGAAATGTGCTTACGGTAAAGACAAAACTCAGCGACGGAGATACTGAAATGCTTGCAAAGGGAAGTGAGTGGCGGCTTGGCTGAAAAAAGTTTAAATAAACATAAGAAAACACCGGAGTCAAAATTATAGAAAGTAGTTGAGAGGATCTTTATGAGGAGAACCTGACAAGTCCCACAAGAATTGCCAAGACCCAATTTTTGAAGTCAAGCCTAACGCCAGATATGAAAATCCCCAGGAACTGTGTTACGATTATCTGAACAGAAGGAACAAAAAAAGTGCATATATGTTTTAGTGATATACAAGTAAATGAGAAGAAAAGAAGATATATGTTTTGTTCGCTTGTTCAAAAGGACTTACCTGAAATAAAATAGTTGAGCCTATTGTAATGAGAAACATATTGTCTCTAAGGATTTCTTTCAAGGTTTGGTCTCCACTTCTGATCTCAAACTCACCAAAAACCTGCAATTTTTTTTTTACAAAAATAGAAGAAGATTAGAAGACAGAGATGATCAACTTAATTATTCTGATATGGACGTTGATTAAAAGAGTGCAAAAAATTCGAACATTACCAAGCAGAAGACCAAGGAATTGAATATAAATGTGTTCTTCACTTTTTCAGCATCACCCGTATTCCCATGCTTCAACTTCAGTAACGTGTCAGAATTTATGAGCGCCAGTAAATGAGAAGAAAAGAAGATATATGTTTTGTTCGCTTGTTCAAAAGGACTTACCTGAAATAAAATAGTTGAGCCTATTGTAATGAGAAACATATTGTCTCTAAGGATTTCTTTCAAGGTTTGGTCTCCACTTCTGATCTCAAACTCACCAAAAACCTGCAATTTTTTTTTTACAAAAATAGAAGATTAGAAGACAGAGATGATCAACTTAATTATTTTCATATGAACGTTGATTAAAAGAGTGAAAAAAATTCGAACATTACCAAGCAGAAGACCAAGGAATTGAATATAAATGTGTTCTTCACTTTTTCAGCATCACCCGTATTCCCATGCTTCAACTTCAGTAACGTGTCAGAATTTATGAGCGCCAGAATCAGCACTAGGTAAATCACCTGGAGGAAGGTATTTCATCACATAAGCATTTTTTCTAGAGGTCTCTACATTCAATAGTGCTCACACATGAAAAATCAAATATTTTAGGCGACATACCTGTATCACCAACTTGCACCACATCGTCGTGGTTATAAGATGGTCTCTGAAAACACGAAGTGAACACAAAAAAAAAAGTATATGATCAGTAGCAAAACCAACTGTTTCTTCCAGGATTTCGGCAAAGATACAACTATCTATAGTTGACTTATTAATCAATTCGTGTATCCTTAAGATTCTGTGTACCTTATACCAACTGGTGGCTTTCCCATTAGGTGCTGAGGTGTTGGTCTGTATGCCAACGCTAATGCTCCAAAGATGTCGACAATAAGATTAAGCAACAGAAGCTGCATCAGGGAAAAGCAAGGTTTGGATTAGGAAAAACAATTACAAGAAAAAAGAAGTAACAAAGGGATAACATTTTCTAACCTGGACGGCGAAAAGTGGAAATGCATCATAAACCACAACCTCAACCACACAGATAGCCACGGTTGATACAGTGACAGTGAGCCGGAATAAGACGTATCTCTGGATATTGGTGTATAGAGATCGACACCATTGAATAACCTGCATTGTCAAAACAATCCACTAGTATCATCCTGAGCACAATCAAAACGTTTCTAAGAAATTTCATTGCCACCTGCCCAAGTTCGTCATTTCAACCAAGCATATATAATAAACAAACCTTGAGAATCGTGACAAAACTGTCATCCAATATAATGATATCGGAGCTCTCTTTTGCTGCTGCTGTCCCTCCAATTCCCATTGCAAGGCCAACATCCGCCTGTGCAAGGGAAACGATAATCGTGGGTTCTAGTGATGTCTTTTAGTGTTTATAATTCATATTCTCTTTGAAAGTATGATGAGTTTATGACAGACCTCACGTAGTGTCATTGTATCATGTATTCCCATCCCCGTGGCTGCAACTACATGCCCTGTTTTCTTCAGAGCTTTGACAAGCAGAAGGTTGTCGCTGGGAGTGGCTTGAGCAAGAACCTTCACATATAGTAGTAGTGTGTTAATATTTGGCTCAATCCAGTTCTTGAACCAGACGGCTAATAATAGACCAGTGAAAAAAATTGTGTACAGAAAACCTAGCAATCTAACCAACATAGTTAGTTTCCCATCAAATAAATGTGAACAAGTAGTTCATTTAGCAAGGTGTGACAGTGTGACAACTGATACTGCATCCAATTATCTTATCTCCACACCACTCGTCGATGTATCATGACAAGCACAGATGGATTTATATGTCAAAGCTTAAATGTAAAAGAATGAATTCATACTAAGATGTTTTCGGCAATCTGATCTCTTTCTTCATCGGAAAGCTCCCGAAATTGAGCTCCTGTCCTTACATCATCAATCCCTAATGTAACCTCTAGTATCCCACAGTCCATTGCTATTGCTTGTGCAGTCAAAACGTCATCGTCCGTCACCATGCAAACCTGAAAGTCAACATATTCCACTTAGAAAGTAAACCAATGAAAGGGGTTGATCTAAAGCAAAATATCGATTATTGTCTTCTGCAAAAAGATATTAAATGGTGTCACCGCATATCATAAAGTACCTAAGTACCTAACGGTAGATGATTAGTGCTGCCACACAATTTATAAAATATAACTACGCCAAACTCAGTTAGAGATAAAAAAAAAAAAAAAATCAAAACGAGAAGAAAATTTCTCTCTCAACTAACAAAAGGTCACAAAACTTCAAGTGTCATGCAAGAGGAAGAATAGTAAAACAGTCTGTAGCATAACAAATACAAAAAAATAAACATGGCACCTTAACACCTGCGGAATTACACAGTTGGATCGCATCCCTTGTGCCTGGCCGGCAAGGATCCTGCACGTTATTTATAAAGCACTGGATAAGTAATGATAACGAAAATACTATAAAGGCTTTGAAGCAAGTGGAACCAGGTTCCTGTTCTCATTGCATATCCAAATATAACGACGGACTGGTTAAAGATTTAAAGTTAATGTCAAACGAATATCACTGAGCTGCAGAAATAATCATCGTAACTAAGGAATTCTTAATCCTGAACTTGAGTAAGCACGTGCCATAAAAAATTGATGAACAAGTGAATGCAGCTTTTAGACAGGACATGGGAGCAACACAGAAATAAAAGGGCCAACAAACGAAATTGTTTTTAACAGATCCTCCAGAAAGAGAGATTGTACATATTCTAGATTATTGACATAAACATAACTTTTGGAATGAGAGCTGGACATGTTACCTTTATACCAATAATAGCCAACAAAACAAGGTTCTGAGGTAGTCTAGAAAGTTCCTCAATGGTTGGAAGACTTTCCGGTTCATAGCGTCGATAAGCAAGTGCAGCACAACGCATGCGTCCCTTACACATGTTTTCAATCGTTTCTTCAAATAACTAAAGAGTGAATGGACCTTTATATTAAAAAAAACAAACCGAAGAAGATACAATAGTGTATTTGTGAATTAGTAATCTAGGCTCTTAAACAAACCTTTCGTTGCTGTTCATCAATCTCTCTGAGGTTGTCGGCCCCATCCACATATGATACGCATGAACTCAGAATAATTTTCGCAGATCCTTTCCAATGAACGTGGGATCGCAGATAAGAATGGCTTGTTCTGTTTGTGATCCATAAACCTCTGGTTCAACCACTCCCTATAATTCGTTACAAACTTGTTTATGATAATTCATACTAAAGGAATCTAATCAAATAGATCCTGTCCAACTCAACACCATGATCCAAGAGACAATTACCGTTTCAAAAACAACACTACCATTTGTGTTTTGGGCAATGCCTTCTATTAATAGCTCTTTAAGCAGTGGGGGCAGCTGTGAAACATCATCCATATCCTGCATTCTTATACCTCCAGCGCAAACATCAACCACCGACATCTGCTTAGCAGAAAATGAATGCTTAAATGGGTACTCAGGAAGATAAAGAGGAAGCAGGAAAGAGCTGATTGCATATAAAAGAAAAACACTTGCCTCATTCAAAGTCAAAATGCCAGTTTTATGACACAAAATAGTTGTAACCGACCCCATTGTTTCACAAGAAGAGAGTGTCTGCACCTGAAAGACATTTACAGATAACAGATGTTTAGCACCTGTTGATGCTCTAAGGACATAGGAGAATTTGGGGAATAGAAAAGTAGAGTACCAAAGCGTTGTCTGTCTTCATTTTTCTCGTTGTATTTGCAACGCTGATGTAGTGAGGAAAATGATAAGATGAGAAACAAGAAGAATTAACTGTCATGAAAAGAAGAAAAAATTAACTGCAATGACAAAACTAGAAGGATGCATACTTAAAGGTTATGCCACTCTCTGGATAGCAATAACGTGTGAAACCATATTACCAAACTACTTTGCCACAGTTACCAGAAACCTAGGTATTTACCACTTACCAGGCCCTTTCTGACACGAATTTTATCTAAACAATTTTTCAAAAGAAAAAGAGCCTTACTTCAAGAGAACAGCAATAGATAGTCCAACAGGCACTGCCACAATTATTGTCGCAATCTGCAAAAATCATGTTTTTGGCGACAAGGTTACAAAGAAATAGCATTACTGTAGCCACGAATGTAAAGTTCAGAATACTCGTAGAATACTCGTACCCCAAAACTCAGGGGTTTGATCACAAATTCTGCTGCTTCACCAGCAGTGGTTTTGCCGAGAACAAACATTGGAGTTCCATCTTTATTTTTGCTCTGACCATAAAAGTATCTGATATAAAAGGGTTGTTAGGTCCCCATTGCGAGGGTGAAGCTATAAATCTTAGAAAACGAATTCAGAACATAAGGCAATGGACTCATAAGATGGAGTTCCGGCATAATGAACAATACAGGCATTGAAGCGAACAAACGACTGACCAGCTAGCAGAATTGCAAGCCATTTCAAGTATACCTAGTAAAACGAGTCACAGATGATAAATGCTGCAAACTATCATAGGTAGCAAGGAATTAGTAATCAACAAAACAGACCTGAAAGGGCTTTTCTTCATCAGTCTCATGTGGAATCTCCATCTTCGACCCCAATATAGTGTTTATTCCCACACTTGTAACCTTAAACATGGGGAAAGAATAAAGTGAAACTAGAAGATCAAGAACCAGAAAGCAAGCACGGACGTCAATCTTCTCTTAAAGAAGAAATTTATATTTTTCCACACAAGAAAATCGAAAGTTAGAATTTTACAATGAATAGAACCGTGTTCATAGTAACAGAACTGTCGAGTCCAAGTATGTTTGCCAATTCCAAGTTTCAGAATTTGTGTTTTTGCTAAAAGCACTATAGTATCAAATAAGCATAAAATGAAATCAAGAGATGTGGCGAGAGAGCTTACCAGCATTGTACCTATGCCCTCTATCACTTTTGAGCCAGATAATAGGAATGGGTCCTTTAGAAGATCTTTTCGAACCTGGTAATTGAAAAGAGTGATTAGAAAAACAGGAGAATAATGATTTAGGTCGTCGACAGGGATAAATCATACAATTCTGTGTGAGCCAGTTATTTCTTGCTCGTCAATCTTCAATGAATTTTCAACAAACAGGACACCATCTGCAGGTACCTGCAGCATTGACCATACATACTTTAGAACAATTGTGAAGCTCAAGAAAACCAAGCTAAAGAATGATTACTATTACACGTTTGATGCTTACCTGACAACCATTCTTGAGGGGAACAATATCGCCCACAACAATATCATAAGTAGAAACCGAGACTCTTCTGCCACCTCTAATTACCTGCAACGAAAAACGTTCAGCAAAATTGTTGGCAACACCAAACAAAAATGACGGAGAAAACCGTCGGCAAGAACACACCTCCAGGTGCACGCTTCTCTTCTCCTCACTGAATTTTGCAGACTGACGAGACTGCTTGTACTCGGTGATAGCTGCAAAATGCAAGATGCAAAATAAATCAGACTGTTTCGTTTCCATAATCTCTCGCATAATAATTGAAGTACAAAAACAAGTTTTGAAGTTGGCTAAGCGACTCAAAAGCATCAAAAGATAGTACAGTATTACGATACCTCTCACGATAATGTCAAGGACAGTGGCCAAAATGATGCAAGCTTCTACATACCATCCATCGTGGATAGCCTGCAAGTATCATGAGAGTAAGATATAGGATAAAAATTCAGACGAAAAATTTAGAAGAGCCCAAATCTGAAACAATCCGCATGACAAAAAGCCACAAGATATGTGTATAATAAAAATGATGAATCTACACCAAAAACAACAGTGTTGTTGGTTAAGAAACCAGTGAGACAGAATTGCACAAGTCCATGAATTGCAGTCAGAGGTAGCAGATAATCTTAATGTCAAACATAAGTAGGAAAAAAAAAAAAGTGATTGTAGAGTAACAAGTCACCTTTTTCTTTATTCGCAGCAGCGAATTTATTACAGTGGCAAGCATCATAAATAGAGAAGGAGGAAATTGGCTAGCTTTCCAGATAAAGCTCTACAACAAACAAAAGAAAATATATATACATAAAAAACGATTTCAATTGAAAAGATTAGCAAAAGAATCTTGATTAATTTTTCATACCCAGAAACTCTTTCCGATTTTGCAAGGACACATGTTTGACCCAAATGCTTCCCGACGTTGCAGTATCTCATCGTCGCGCCGATCTATGCCCTTTTCCAGGTCAGTCTTCAGCTGAGTTGACAATCCTCGAACCTTTGTATCACCAAATTGGTAAATTAGAGAAAATCCTAATCAAATAAGCATATAATTCATCAACAAAAAAAAAGAAGAAAAGTGGTTACCCCATTATTCTGATTCAGATATTGAAGATTGCGATCTCTGACTATTTGAATGAGTTCGTCGAATCCAATCGCAAAGCCTCCAGAAGTTGAAGTTGTTGCAGGTACTACTGTTGAAATTTCCGGGTTAGGAAACAGGAGGAAGAGAAACGAAATCAATCCACTGAGAATTGGGAAATGGAATCCACATAGAATTGGGAAATGGAATCCACATAAAAATAAAAAATAAAAATGGCCAGAAGTCAAATTGTTCTCCGGCTTTAATTCTCAGGTTTAGCCGTTTGAGGAGTATAATTTGTTTTTGTCGAAATATAAAGTATTTAACTACGTATTATGTAAATCGAAAGATTTTTGCCTTTTATGTCGAATAAAGCTTAACATGAAAAAGATAAAATAAAATAAAAACTCCAAAAAGAAGAATAATTAGGGGAATGAATGAGGGAAGAGAATTTGAATTACCGTCTGCTGCTTCTGCTTCTGCTTCTGGATGGTGATCATGCACAGACTTATCACAGGAAAACCAAGATTAGAGAAAAAAAAGTTTATGTAATGGCCTAATGGGAACAAGACAAAGATACTACGCTTACTGCTTGATCACTTGCTATGTTCCTCCTTGTCAACATCAACGTCCACTATAAGAGGATATTCTTAGTTAGTACTGAAAGAAAAGAATCACGCGAGATTAAACGGATGCGTTGTATCAGAGGGAACTACGTACCGTGGAAAAAGCACGCACCCACCAAGAGCTCCAGCGATCATCTGACGCATAAACTCCGCCAATACCCATCTCCAAGTCGTGTGGAACTGCAACAACATCATGAGCTGGGGAAGTGGAATCGTAGGAGACGCCAAGAGCAACCTCCATATTTTTAGCCGCCCGCCCTATGGATGGACTCCTCCAGAATCTGTACATTGGCAAAATTGTGTGTGCGCTACTGTAAATTTTAGGAAATGTGTTTAGGCTTGAGAGAAGAAGATGGTTGCAACAATAGGTAAACGGAATGCTTATCTTTTATAAAAGATCGAGAGGGCCCACAAGGAAAAAAGTAAACCCTGTGAACAATGGAATGTAGATGTAGATGTTTGGCTTGTTTCTATATGTAGATGTTTTGCTTGACTGCTTGTTTCTAAGGTTGTGCGTGAGGAGAAAGTAGACCATATTAACTAATTAAAAAAGGCAACAAAAGGTTGCATATGAACTAATTAAAAATATAAAAAGTTAGGCATTGATTGTTTGTGGCTTTTGGTTTTTGTTTTTCTAAAAACTACTCATTTCTGAACAAAAACCAAAATCTAAAATCTATGTTTCTTTGGTATTTTCACCAAGAATTGCCGATTGAATTTTATTTTATCTTTTTATTCCCTCATTTGTTTTTTTATCTTCTACTGTCCACCAATGTTAATTCACTAAATAGCATATCATAAGAATATATATATAACGGTTACTTGACTCCTCCAGAATCTGTACATTGACAGAACGTGTGTGCAACTGCAAATTTTATGACATGGGTGGTTAAGCGTGAGAAAATAAATGGTTGGAAAAAAGTATTCCAATATTATATAGAGCATATTAAGTGAAGCAGGTTTTATAGGTATTTTTGTTTGTTAAAACAAAAGTATTTTACGATTTTACCCTTTGAAAATTGGTCAAAAGACGGTGTTTGATTAGTGTGGACGACTAGGCTGATCTGATGATAATGAGAGAAGACACACAAACTGACAAAAGCAACAACATAAAAAATTAAGAAATGTGTTTTGGCGTGTAAAGGTATATGGGTTAGAAAAAGCAAATTCACTAACAAGCCATGGGAGCAGTGGCGGATCTACATGGAGAGGGGGTGTGGCACGTGCCACATGCTACCTTTATAAAATTTAGTTTGTATTACATGTATTACAAAGTAAATGTAGCATTTTGGTTAGGATTCACCAATGGTGCCCCATGCTCATGGGTTCGACACCAACCTTAGCTCGTAAGAGTTACTGATCTTTTCTCATTATTTAATCTAATCACTTATTTTCTATTAGTTCCTTCAAATAATTCACCATATAATATATATTATTTTATTTGTTTTTATACTTTCTTATAGAAATGTCATTTTCAACTAATTATTTTGTATTTAACTAACTAAAAACAATTTTTGCATGTACAATGTATTTTATAATGAACACAATAACTTTTGTTAGTATTTCAAATAATTATAAATATATACATATGCTCTAACTGGTGACCCTAAAAGGAATAAAAAGAATAAAAAGAAATAAAATGAAGAGGAATAAAATAAATGGAATCCATTCCTTCCCATATTTTATAAGGAATAATTTAACACTAAAATTTCTTAATTAATATGGAATGAGAAGGAATAATATGGGATATGTATTCCTTGTAAATGGTGTAATTTTTAGGGAATGAGAGGGAATTGTATTATTCCCCTCATTCCTTGGTTACCAGTTACAGCCATAATATATCTATACATATTGTGTCCCATACAATATTTTTCTCTGGATAGTTTGCCTACGACGTTTATCAAAAAAAAGAGTGTTACAGTATATATTTCAAAATTTCGTTGACACCCAAGCAATTTCTTTTGTTGTCAACAACTTAGAACTACCACATCGCCGTATTAACAGTCCGTTTTTTAGTTTACTTGTTCCATGGCGGCAATCCCGTCAGAGCATGCCTAGGAATTAGAGAAATTTTATGAAATACACCTCTTGAGTTGCAAATTTTCAAAACTACACCTATAGTGTGGAAATTTTCAAAAATACACCTTTTCCTAATTTTAATATATATGTTTGGGTTCACTAATCCTAAAAGAGATTTTGGGGTTTAGGGTTTAGATTTAAGGGTTCAATGTTAGATTTTAGTGTTTTGGATTTATATTTTAGGGTTTAGAGTTCTTTTAATCAATGAAAAAAGTGTAGTTTTGAAAATAGATACCATAAAGGTGTATTTTATATATATGTTTGGGTTCACTAATCCTAAATTAGGGTTTAGATTTTGGGGTTTAGGGTTTAGATTTAAGGGTTCAATGTTAGATTTTAGTGTTTTGGATTTATATTTTAGGGTTTAGAGTTCTTTTAATCAATGAAAAAAGTGTAGTTTTGAAAATAGATACCATAAAGGTGTATTTTTGAAAATTGACACCTCAAAAGGTGTAGTTTTGAAATTTCCTCATTATTCTTCTTTGTCACCATTAATAATTGAGATAGCTTAACTTAGATTTTATAGTAAGATCCGTCTTGCTTGATTACTGAGACAATTCAGAATCAAAGAATCATTGAGGTGGAAAATATGAGAATCAACACTGAAAAAACCTTTTAAACTTACAAGTTGAAAAAGGGACATAAATACTCTTCATGAAACTGTTATGAAGTGATTGGTGATTTAGAAATAAACGAATTTTAAACCACAAATCGATTAGAGATACTTAAAGTGGACCACGTAAATTCAATCGTTCCATTTCACTACTATCATTGACAACTTTAGAGCTGTGTGTAATTTACATAAGAAATCTTGAATTGTTCTTCTTTTTTCTTTTAGTTTAGGCATTACTGCAAACATCTTGAGAATTATATGATTCACTGCTCAAGAAAGAAACAATCGATCGCTTCTGTTTCAAATTCTCAAGCTTTTTATCCCACTCAAATCGTGAAAACCAAGAAACTTCCAAATCCAAACACGTTCTTTTATCAAACCGACATAAATAAATTAAGAAGCCTGAGTATCTCACTCAGACAGACAAATTAAGAAGCGGCTGAGAACATGTGTAATGGTCGGTGCTTATAGTAGTGCTTAAAAGATTTTTTATTATTAAAATTTGGTTAAGCGCCTTTATTAAAAATTCTATGTTATCTCTTCTCCAATGGAGGATGCTTATAAGGGTGCTTAAAAAAATTTATTTTATTGTAAAATGTAAATTTAATTTATGAATAAAACATAAAATACATTGCATCCAACATAAAAACATGTGCTCTTACTTCTGCATCTGTTAGCTATTTCAATCTGCATTTGTTACTTCTGCTTCTATGTTTCTATGTCTACCACTGTTGATGAGGAACCCTTTCGGCCTTTCCTGCATAGTCAAACACTAATCTCACACGGATGGATCCACAAGAGATTTCGGGGAAGTAAAACATAAATTTGGGTAAGTAAGGAAGAACCTTTCTTAGGTGCAGAAGCCATTTAGATCCTGTCCGAAAGAAGTAGTTTGGTTGGAGAATGTCACTGTCCGAAAGAAGTAGTTTGGTTGGAGAATGTCACTGTCCGAAAGAAGTAGTTTGGTTGGAGAATGTCACTGGTTCCTTGACAAACTTGTCATCCACCACTGCATTTTCCAAGTAAAAAAACATAATCCTTGCTTAGAGAAACAAGGGATGTGTTTTGATTAATCTATTAGTGGAGGGAGGATTCATCTTTTTACCTGAGAATGGCTGAGTTTCCACAACCCCATCTCCCAGTAACCATACACTCCTCCGTTCTGTATTTGTTGAGCTTTGCCCTCCACGGAATCACGGACGCTGAAACGCTGTCTTTGCTGCGGTTTCTGCAGCTGCTTTTCCAGCCATAGCTTTTGTAGTGTTTGCAAAAAGATAAACATAATATCATACAGCAGAAGTTGTATTAATCTAATCAGTGAAACTTAGTTAAGAAACATTAGAAGTTATACATTTTGAGTTAACTAAAAGCAGAGGAGATCAACTGAAAGAAGGTATGATACAATGATGGTGAATAGAAGAAACAAAAAAAAAAAATCTTTCAAGCGATGGAGAAATGATGGTGAATAAAAGAAACAAAAAAAAAACAATTTTTCAAGCGATGGAGAAATGTGAGTGTGAAATCGGCAGAGTTTTCTTGAAAGTGCTAAACTTTATCGCTAAGAAGAAATATGATGCAAATGGATTCATCATCACTAACAGATGACAAAAACACCAAGACTTTAACAAATAAATTTCATGCCATAACCAATGACAAAAAAACCAAGACTTTAACAAAAGGTAACAAACTTTGATAGATTTCAGAGAACAAATGACAACAAGAACAATCAAAACTTAAAACTAGAGAATTTTGACCAAATCAAAAGCACAAAAAACACTAAAACTCTAAATCACAAGTAAACCAGATTTCCTAAACTAAATCGGTAAGATGAAAGCAATTTGCAGTGGTGCTTAATGAGCACCTGAGCCTTAATTGACCAGGATTTACAACCGACTGTTGAAGAAAATTTACCATGCACGGAGGAGACAGAATCGTCGATTGAGATCCTGTTGATCGGCGTGTCTTCTTCTCCGATTATCATCACCGCAGGGTGATTACAAAAGCCCCACAGACCGGAAGCATGAGAAACGTTTGATTCCATTTTCCAGAGAATCGCCAAAATCGCCTTCGAAGAGCCGCTGAGTGGTGAGAGAGAGGAGAGAGAAACCGAAAGAGAAAATGAAGAAGAAAAAGAGTTTTGTTTCTTCTCAATACCGCCGAGCCAATCAGCTCCTGCCACGTGGCACGTAAGCTTCGACGCTTCTCAAGCTTGAATAAGCGTCAGATTCTTGATTTTTATTTATTTTTGAATTAAATTTTGCTTAAGCGCCACCTGAAGCGTCCTGCGTTGAACGTGCTCTGAGTCAGTTTTGCTTGAGTATCTCAAACAGACAAATTAAGCGGCTGAGTCAGTTTTGGTCAAATTTAATTATATTTACTAAAACAATTGTTTAAGGTCTTTATTATATATTAATAATTAATCATTAAGAATAAGGATTTATTTCATATACTACTCATCCGTTTATTTTTAATGAATTTTCTAATGAATTTTTGTTATTTCATAAGATTAATGTTTTAACTTTTGATACACTTTTTCATTTTTCAAACGAGAACATATTTCTACGTTCTATCCTCATAATTGGATCACATATATTACGCAAAGTAATAACAAAACATGAAAATAGTATAATTGGTAAGTCCATAATAACAAATATTATAGTTATAACCTCAAATAATCCCTAACATATTAAAAGAGAAAACACTAACTAAATAACCTTTGTCTAATGTGTTATTAACAAGAATGTCATTGCTTATGTGTCATCACTAGGTTCACTCTTAGACCAATTTCTAATTAAGACAAGTTTTACTAGATAAATTACAATATATGTCATTGCATATTATGCTTACAACCAAATAATGACATTAAATTTATCATTCTCTTTCCTTAATTGGCAACTACGAAAATTAGTAAATAAGGAAGATATGAGATTCAATTTAATTCCATCATAATAATTTCTTTTAAAATCAGTATACATCTTCTATCATCTTTGTTTAAATTTATTTAATAAAATAATTTGAATCACAATATAAAAATTCTATCAAAAAAAATCTAAAACTTTTTCTGTACATGTTATAATTTGAATTTTTAAAAACAAAATAATATAAATTGTTTTGTATATAACCTCATGAGAAATGTTATGAAATACACCTCTTAAGGTGCAAATTTTCAAAACTACACCTATAGTGTGGAAATTTTCAAAAATACACCTTTTCCTAATTTTAATATATATGTTTGGGTTCACTAATCTTAGATTAGGGTTTATATTTTGGGGTTTAGGGTTTAAATTTAAAAGTTCAATGTTAGATTTTAGGGTTTTAGATTTCTATTTTAGGGTTTATAGTTGTTTTTATTCAATGAAAAAGTGCAGTTTTGAAAATGGACACAATAGATGTGTATTTTTGAAAATTGGCACCTCAAGAGGTGTAGTTTTGAAATTTCCCCTAACCTCATTTAGTAGGTATCCAAATGTGTTTTTTTTCATTTAATATGGTTTTTTAATTAAAATCTATAATAAATCGAATAAAAAAAGTATCGTATATAACCTCATTTAGTAGAATAATGTTTTATTTTCAATTTTTTTATAATATAGTTATTTGAGTTTTATGTATCTCGGTTAAATCTATCATATTTAATATGTGGTTACGATCAATGCTTTAATTTTTTTTTAAGTGGATTAAAATGCCTAATTTTCATACTATAAACGAATAACAAAGATTAAAAATCTCTCGCATAAAATGTCGAAATATTTAAATAAACAATTTTTAATAAAAATACAAATTCAGAAACTATCACCCCGTGTTGGGCACGGGTCAAACCCTAGTATAACTATAATATTTGGAGACCTATTGGAAGCAACTATTTCATGATTGTCTCTGGACACTTATATGAACATGAGCCTCTACTTATGGCCTATTTAAATATTTGGAGAGAGGGTCTATGTGTGGGCTGCACCTCTCCCAGAGGATTAGTCTGGGCCCGACCATAGGTCTAGGATTTATCCCTAAGTTATCAAAAAAAAAAAATATATATATATATATATAATAATAATAATAATATGGTACATGCTCTTTTCCTAATTTTCAAAGGTCAAACAAAACTAAAACAAACGTGTGTAATTGCATGATGTAAAGTGTATACTCAGTTTCCAGAAATTCGCTTGATGTTACCTGCTCAAAGTCAACAATTTCATACTTAAATACGCAATATGGGAATCTTACTATACTACACTCAAATTCATTTGTAGCATTTGCACTACAATCATACCTAGAAAGAAAATGGACAAGAACCTGAATCGATCAATAATCAATTAATAGAGGAAAAATCAAATCACCTTAAATAATTGATTCTTCATGAACATTTGAATTATAAAACTCATGGAAATTTTACAAGGTATATTATAGTCATGCCTTTGTTGTTGCAAGTCCGTTAATTATACTCCAAATCTTGTCATATACTTCAATTTCCCTTTTTGAACAAAAAAAAAAAAAAAAAAAATACTTCAATTTCCCATATAAGTTCGCGCTTTATTTTTTAGAAACCGTAAGTTGAAGATCTCTTTTTTTTTTGGTCGTAGTTGAAGATCTCTTATAAAACACATTCAGTATCGACATCGATTAAAATACCTCCTCAGTTTATTTCATAATGTGTCGTGAGTCGTGACGAGGTCTCACTTTCTACAAACTTTTTATTTTTGCTGAGCTGGACATAATTCCAAATTCAAATCCTGGACACGAACACGAAGAACTAATTAATGGGCAAAAATCCGGACTGATGAAGAGGCTGGGGGCTTCAGCCTTGGCTCATATGCGAGGAACTGAGGATGGTAACCCCTCCCGTGCCTAGGATTTTTTTAATGCTGGAAGCTACGTACCTTTGGTCAAATGTCTGTCACGTACTCGGTGTACGCGTTTTATATAGTACAATTTAAAGAATACAAATTTATCGCAAATGAGGTTTAAAATCGATGATCGTGAGTTCGTAACAAAAAAAAAAAGGGTTTAAACTCGAGGCACAAACCAATCCTTGTACACTACCTCTTTGGTTTTAAATTTTTGTAAGACAAAAATATAGTTTCATGTTTAGATTTTTAACAAACATAAAATTTATCTTGTGAATAATATACATCTATACAAAATGTGGCGTTGTATATAATATTTATGTATTTTACAAATTTTAGAAAAAATTACAAGTGGAAATAAAATAGATAAAAAGAAGTTGGTAAATACAGTGGAAAATAAAGAAGATTTATTTTTTCTAGAAAGAAATGCATTTAAACCGAGGGAAAATGTGGTAATACCTAAACACTACACGAAATAAAATATATGTAAATATGTCTTTTAAATATGTTTATCTTTCTCCGGTGGATTTTTTTTATTTATTATATATTGTTTTTCAAAGTAAACTTTTTTTGGGGTTCAAACTAAACATTTAAGATTTAACTATATTTTGTATTACATAAATATCTAAACATTGACAAGCAATGCTTAAAAAAATGAAATGTAGGATAAAAAAAAAATGATTGGAAAGAAAAAGAAAAAGCAAGTGGGGACACCTTTCTTTCTTCTGGTATCAATTTGAACACCTTTTGGCTCTTTTTCTTTTTTATCATTTACATAGAATTTTATTAGAAATAGATTGTTACATGATGTTACACACATACCCAACTTACAAAGCCCAAGAAGGGAGACAATGTCGACGGAAGGAGGTTTAATTGCCCGGAAACATAAGCCGGCGGAATAAGGAAATATCCCCGGAAATTAACAGATAGCACAAAAAACTAAAAAAACACCACTGCTAAAAAGGCAGAGAAAGTCAAGAAAGGGCAAAGACCAAAAGAAACCTAGTCTCAACAAAAGAAACAGCACACTTGAACTTCTACAGCCTTCCAAAAACACCTTTTGGCTCTTACGTTTGTTATTTTATTTCTGATAATATTGCTTTGGATAATTAGATTTTACATTAAATGTAGCTGGATGTTGCTCTGCTAAGATTTTTTTTTTTAATTTTTTTTTTTTAATGCTAGCGCAACATATATCCAAAGAAGTAACCATTTGTTTGACCCAAAAAAAAAAAAGTAACCATTTTCATAAAGGACCCATTTAATTTTTTTTTTGTCACATCAGCAAATGAAAAGCTAAGGTTTATGAACCGATTAATTCTTAATTGTTCAACATGACAAGGACAAAGGGACTAATTAAATTATTTTTATGTGTCACATCAGAAGAAGAAAAGCTAGTGATTGGAATCTTATGTTATGGTATGTATATTTTAGTCGCTGAAATCTTAATTATCAAAATTCTGAATACTGAGAATATACAAAGAAGTAATCTTAATTATCAAAATTCTTATGTTATGGTGTGAAAGTGTGATATATACAATCTTAAACTTTGTTTATTGACAAAGATATATTATTTATTTGTTTGTTGATACTTGATAGAAAGATCTTCTCGTTACCCTTTGAAATTGGTCAGCAAACGCCGTGTTTGTGGATTCGACCGTGTTAGCTTTTCTTTGTTTCTTTTTCTGTGGATATTTTCCCCCGCTAGAGTTCGTCGACCAAGTAACCGATTATAAAAATCAATGAAGCAATTTATGGTTAGTCACTTATTTGCTTTTTTATTTTTTTATTTTTTTTTTTCATTTTCTGAGTTCTACTATCCACCAGTGTTAAATTCACTAAATAACCTCTCATTAAATTTGACAAATTAGCCGTTTTTGAAAGAAAAAAAAAAGAACATTAACCAGTCTTTGAATTTTTGCCGGTGTTCTTACAAATGTACTCAGTACTCTAAAGAACATGATGAACAAAGAAGAGTACACATTTAATTACTTCGATTTGTTTTTTAAACAACCATGTAGTGATAATTTAATATTGCGAGTCAACATTATTCCAAAAATGACTCAACCGCTTGATTTTTTAGGAGGCCTTGTTTCTTCCTTTGGTTAACGCTGAGACAGGCAGACAGCGACTAAACAATATAAAGGGAAATTAAGAATATATTAATATTATACTAAACTCTAGAGTTGATAATGTTGGTAGTGAAATGGATTGATCGAATTTACGTGGTCCACTGTAAGTATCAATATCTCAGAACATTTTGTGGTTTAAAATTCTTTAATTTCCAAATCACCAATCACTTCATAACAGCTTGATGAAGAGTATTTATGTCGCAGCAACAGTATTTATTTTCCAAAGGAAAAGATAGAACTCTTTTATCAGTTTCTGTACCCTTTTCCAACTTGTAAGTTTAGAAGGTTTTTTCAATGTTGATTCTTCTATTTTCCACCTTAATGATTCTTTGATTCTGAATTTTCTGAGTAATTAACTAAGATGGATCGTACTATAAAACCTAGTTAAGCTTTCTCAATTATTAATGGTAACAAAAAATGAAAGAATCTAGTTTGATCTTGCTCCCCATCACAAGCAATGGTTAGAAAAATGAAATGTAAGATAAAAAAGCAATTATTGGAATGAAAAAGAAAGAGTAAGTGGGGCACATGAAGGGCCTTGTGTTAACATAAAACCAGGAGAAGCAAACAGTTCTTGCTTTTATCTATTTGTAAGGATGATCTCTTACATGATTCTTTTGACAGTGTTTTTACACGTGTGTCACATATTCTATTCACCAAACTTTATTCCTCTGCCATTACCATCTGGAAAAGAAAAAGAAACCAAACAAAAGCTTATGTAACTCCCACCCAACAGTATAACATGCCATACCACATGTACTTGCAGTTTTACTCTACCTTTGTGTAAATCTTGCGTAAGATCTTGGACATCTTCTTCTCTGGTTTTATTTTCTTTTCTTTCTTTTGGTATCATCTTGAACACTTTTAGTTCTTGCATTTGCCATTTTTGCTGATACTATTACTTTGGATAATTAGATTTTACATTAATGTGATTGGAAGTTGCTCTGATAAGATTTTACTATTTCTTTGTTTTTTTCTCCTGTCAGTGGGATGATAATAGACAAAACGCATCTTGAGATTCAGATTTAGAGACTGGTTTTGTTGTTGGTCTGTTTTTTTTTAAAGAGCAACCATCATGTCCATGGGAGATGAGAGACATGTAAGAAAATATTCTTTATATTCTTATCAATTAAGTGGTCTTTTAGTAATTAGCTTTCTATCAGAGAGATTATTATTCTTTATCACATTTGGTGTGGCCAAAATAATGTTGATGATGAGGAGTTTAGTTCCTAATGAACTAGATAAGACAAGTGGAATGGTGACTCATATCCATAAAGGGGACACATGTCTATTAAGGGATATGTATCAAGGTTTAAGGACAAGTGTTAAGGAGATTCATCTCCATAAAGTACACATAGACACTTAAGAGATACTTGTCATGTTTAAGAGATTAGAGGTTAACACTTGTCCTACACTTGTCACTTATGTGTTCATCTCTACCTTGATGGAAGGATGAGAATGAACAAACCTAATGAGGAACAAGGTCCTCTCCCCACCTATAAATATGTGGCTTTACCCATCATAAAGACACAATTTAAGAAATCTTAAGAAACACAACACATTAAAGAAAAGCCATAGGCAAGGGGAGAGAAACCTAGTCTCCAAACTTAAAGATCAAGATATCAAACTCAAATCTTCTATTGTGGAATCAAGAAGATTTCACCTCATCATCATCATGGAAAGAGGTATTCCACTAACCCTCTTTACAGTTTATATTATGTGATTAATTAGATGTTTAAACATCTTGGGATTTATGTAATACATGCATTAAGATTAGCATGTCTTATTAAAAGTTTTTTCTAACATTTGGTATCAGAGCATGGTTTAAAACATCTTTTTAATCCATTAAGTATAATATAATTATGTTATGGATATTTTAATGATAGAATTCAAATTTTGAAAAATTAAGATTTATTTTCAATATTGGATTTATAATAAAAGAAGAGTTTTTCACATATAATCATAAAATTTGATTATTGCATAATGATGGATCTATATATTAATTGATATAAATAATTCAAATACAAATAAGAGGTTTTTGGATATCACTACACTGACCTTAACCTATAATGATTTGTGAATTTGATATATCTATGTATTATATAGTTACCCACAGGTAGACTATAAACATGAGATATAATCAAATAATTAAGGAGTGTTTGTATATATTAAGATTAAGGATATCCACAGATAACTTAATCAAAGTAATTCATTATATCACTCATTAATGTTTTTGAATGTTATGATTATTGAAGAGATTATGGAGACTGCCCACAGGAACTCCATAATTTCTTGACATATGCATTCAGTTATTGACAATTAAGTGTTGTATAATGATGAAGCCTGTTAAACTTGTCGTATCTCTATAAAATTGCAGTTCTATTCCCTGCTCATTTGTCATCCATGGCCTCAGCTGTTCCAATCCTCAATGGAAACAACTTCTCAGAATGGAAAGAGAATGTTGAGTTCACATTAGGAGTACTTGATTTGGATTTAGCACTTCGTAAAGAAGAGCCAAATCCATTAACGAATATCAGTACTGAGGAAGCAAAGGCTTTCCATAAAGCATGGGAAAAAGCAAACAGGCTGAGCATGATGTTTTTAAGGATGACAATAGCAAGTAACATCAAAACTTCCCTCCCTAATGTAGATAAAGTTAAGGCTTATCTAACAGCAATAGAAGAACGGTTTAAGACTGCGGACAAATTCCTTGCGGGGAAACTTATGACAGAAGCTTCGGATTCGCAGTCTGTAAGTAGGAAGCGTAAGAGCCTTTGTGTACATCTTCTGTACCCTGTATAGTATATAGTGTTCTGTTTATATACAAATTATCATAACAGTGTATACGTAATATTATAGAAGTTGTATATGAGATGAAATCTAAAGTCGCTTTAGATCACAGAAGAAGAAAAGTTGCCGACATGAATTAAACATAAATGGCATAATTAGCATTAACATTATTATCTCTTACATGAGATATAAGAGTTTCTGATGAATAAAAGACCAAAACTTGAAATTTAAAAAAAAAATTAAATATTATTCATAAAACCCACATTTAAGTAAAAAACCAAAAAAAAAAAACAATAATAAACTAAAACCAATAAATAGTAGAAAAACTCTTTGATATCTCAGAAAACGACTAATATTGAACTATCTTGTGAAGCAAAAATCGTTCATAGCTTTGATCCCACATAAGTCCAATTACATCGCCTTCTTGGTAGTTGTTGGCTCTAGCAAAAGGGCCCCATCCTCTCTTCAAAAAATAGGTGTTGTCAATGTCTTTAACTAAGATCCATGTGTAGTCATCAGCTTCATTACCTTCCTCTATAACATGGACCTTCACTTCAACACCGTTTTCTGTTCCTATCTGCTGGGCCATAGCCTGTCTCATCAGCGGAATTATAGAATCTAATAATTCTTTTCGCGGTAGGAGAAGTTTACCATTCATCGAAGTATCAGAAGCGGTTAACTTCTTTTTTATAACCCATGGATCATATTGAGATAAACTCAAATCTAAATCCGCTTCTTGAGCCATATTCTAGCTAATATGAATATTTTTTTTAAACTATGAAAGATGATGATAGCTACTAAGAATATTTTGGTTGAGAAATTAAGTTCATTCGCTTATGTTTATATAGCTTTCAATCAAATCAAATTTCCCTTTTTCTATTAGTATTTTTCCTTTTCAGAAGTTTTTTTTTGTCATCTTACTACAAATATTTTAAACATTTTTGTCAAAGTATACAATTTTTTTTTCTGTATATAGGAAAACTGTCATTCATTAGGTATACTTTACATTTTACTAATTGTCATTATCGATTTCTTTTTTCTCTGTTTTTTTTTAAATTTCTAACCTTTTTCTTTTACCAAAGTTTACATTTTTATAATAGAATTTCTAACCTTTTTCTTTTATGAAAGTTTACATTTTATCAATTATGCAATTTTTTTTTTGAACTCACGATCGAATTCGAAATTAGTTGTCTTTCATAAACACCAAATTCACCGGAAAGTTATTGTATATGCAGATTTTTTATATATAAATATCTTGGTTACTCATATCGTTTTTAACAACAATGTTTCTCGATCCCTATTTTTTATTCCGCTTTTGATTAATTATCCGCAACAACAAACCGTGGTTTAACCGCCATGAACGCGAACAAGCTCTTTGACAAGCGACTTGGAGGAATCATTTGCCAATAGATGGATCGGATAGCGTATACCGATACGACTGCCAAATGCAAACCTTGTCAATATTCTTGTAAAGTGGCTAGCCATTGATCCAAAGATACCCAAGAAGCTTACATAGCAATCAGGAGATGTTTGGTCACAGTTTGATTGTAGAATAAGTTCATCATATATTCTAGAAACACACTGTAAATATAACCAAAGAAATTTACTTGCAAACAAATGTTGAATGTTAGCGTCTTTTTCTTGCTTAACTATTCGGTTAACTATTCGACTATACAATTCCTTGCTCTCTAGCTATTATTCATAAAACCAATTGTAATTCTGGCATTTGTTTGTTTGAATGTTGGTAATGACTTCCAGGTCGGAACCCACCTGGACCCAAGGGTCATATGACCTTCCCCTGCTAGATTGACCTCCGACGGAGCTGACTGGGGCTTGTGCCTTTCCTTAGCCCTGCTAGATTGACTCAATATCTTTCCAGGATGATTTGGAGCGGTTGGAGTTGGATTGAATCGACTTCGTCTTCTTCCCTTAAATGAATCCCGTTCAAGCTGTGATAAGAGGACGTTTCCGTACCCCCTTACCTTACTCACTAGATTTTCACTGAATGACAGGGTCTCCTTCCACACTTCAGCTAAGGCAGTAGCTTCGGGCAAGTAGACTGACTGATATGAGATTGAGCGAGGAAATGCCAAAGCCAAGGCTAACTCTCTCTCCTGCGCTAGTGAATCATATGCCATCCTTAGAGTGCAGCAGGGACACCTTTAAAGGAGAGTGAGCCATCCCTTTAAGAAGGGCCTTATCGCAAAAAGTCTCTTTGAAAGGTCACTCTCATTAAAAGAAAAACTTCCTCTCTGTCGAGGATTTTCCTCACTAAGCTTTCAGGCGTTCCTCGGGGTTCCTCCTATAAACGATTGTAGCAGAGACAACCCCGTCTTCTCTTAGCTATATGCTAAACACTAGTCTTTGCCTTTCATCGCTGCGTTCCGGTTAGTTCAGGCCGGTCGATCAAATCCTCCGAGTGACTGACCATCACTGACGACTCGTGAGCTCGCAGGGCTCATAGGATGGGATCAAAGAGGAAAGCCCTTCTCTTCATTTCATTGACGGGTTGGAGAAATGTTCACGACGTAAGTCAGTGGAAGCAAACGGGCAATCGGCTGCCTAAAGGACCCCATTTGTGGTTGAAGGCTAAGTTCATTCTTCGATATATCTCACTCCGCTATGCTAGAAGACTGAGCAGCTTCAGTTTATTACCAACCTCGAGTTCAACAACTATTGGGTAAAGCCTAAACCTTACTCCTTTCCTTCTATCGGAACTGGCAACAGATCCTCTAGATCCGATGCAACTAGAAGTCAGTCGATTCCGTCTGAAAATGGTTTCAGTCCAAACCTTTTTTGTCGAGTGAAACTCCGCTTCTTAAGAGCTTCTTTGGACAGACTCACTCACTCATCTACGTATTACTCATTCTTTTTTCTATCTACTGAATGAAAGACCCGCCACGCCGGGCTATAAGATACAGCTGTTGTACTACTTGACTGGTAAGAAAAAGCTAACGTAAGAACTGGAAGAGTCTTGTATGTACAGTACCCCTCTCTTCCGCTATTGGTGGACTGTTGCACAGAAAGGCCGACAGAAGCAACCTTTCTTAGCGCGCTTTTCAAGCGCTTAGCTTTTGCTAGCTAGTAGGCAAGGCCATAAAGTAAGTGAAGTTGGAAGCCTAAGCCAAGAAGGTACGAACGAAGTGACGGGCCCCTTTAGAGATAGGATAGGGGGCTCTTGTGGTAGTAATTGCGAACATCTCTCTTTTTCTCTTAGTGTGCACAGTTTGCTTGCATGCCGCCTTAGGCACATCTCTCTTTCTTAGTTTCATGCTGGCCTAATGAATGAAAGTCAGTCTTTTAGTAAGCGTATATAAGCAGCAGTTTAGTGTATAAGCAATTCTTTAGTGGCTGCACCGAAAGGTACGTACGGTGGAGGTTGGTTGAAGATGATGTTACGCGGCGTTCAGAACCAGCCTTGAAGTGAATGAATTCGAAAGAAGAAGTAAGGAAATGAGACGACTTTTTCTTGAACTATATCATAAACTGATCTTCCCCTCCACACCAATCACGAGTTTTTCTCCATTCCTCTCGTATATCGTCGTAACGCCCTTAATGCTAGGTTTTGAAAAAGACTTTTCATGTCATTCCCATTTAGGTCCGATTCGGATCCCTCCGTTGTTTCCTTTTCCTCCTGCACCTTTTCCTCGAAATGAGAAAGAAGATGGTACACTCGAATTGTATTATTTAAGTACTTATTGCTTGCCAAAGATCCTACTTCTACAATTGGTGGGTCACCGGGTTATTCAAATAAGTCGTGTTTTCTGTGGTTTTCCCATGTTACAACTTTCGTACCAATTCGGTCGATCCGGAATGGATCGGTTAAACATTCCATTAGGGAGCCTGGTCTTGACTCTTCTGTGTGGTATTCATTCTCGTTCGGCTCTTGGAATCACATCCAGCAGTGGTTGGAACAGCTCGCAAAATCCAACCACTTCACCTACTTTATTGCCCCTAACCGTTTCTCGTACCTCTATTGAAACAGAATGGTTTCATGTTCTTTCATCGATTGGTTATTCCTCTCTGTTCGTATCTCTTTTTCCAATTTCGGTCTCGATTAGTTTACAAGATTAAATGGCCAATTCTCTTCTGGACCCTCGATTCTTTAGTTTTCCAAGAATGTTGGGCCGGGTATGTAAGCCATGTATCTAGGCGTTCCTCGAGAAAGAAGGGCTTTTGTTTTTTTTGCATCCTGTATTGGTCTTGCAGCTATATATTAGAATAAGAAATATTATTCTTGTCTTATATTATATAATACATAATAATATTAGAAAGATGGTACATAATATCTCATACACGTACATAAAGAAGTTCCTGCATATCCTCTCTAATAATGTAATTAAGGGCTAAAGGGGGTTTCTTGGGTACATTAAGACATAACTCGACATCCCGAAATAAAGTCGGCGGCTCTATTGCTCTCCCTCCAACAATGTGTGACTCTAAAAAAAAAACTGCTCTGGCATTTTCAGTGAAGCTCAGCAGCATATTTCGCGCTTATGGGGCTTGGAGTGAATCATCTTGACTGCATATAATGAGTCAGACTCTACCCAAAGGTTCCGAATGCCCATTCGCGAAGCCATCTCCCCCGTATGGGGGATTGCATAAAGTTCCACCTTAAAAATCTCTCTCCACTCAACCGTCTTCCGGAAAGCCCAAAGAGGCCGATAAAGTCTCTTGCTATCACAGCTAAGATGTACGATGTCTGATACCGATTCAAGCTCACTCAGAGATATGATTTATGTGTTCTATGGGTTTGAAAACTGGGATGCTACCCAGAAGCTCCCTCGTGATTCTCGTTGTTAGGTATTTTACCTAGGAAAGAGCAGCACTAATGGGATATTTCTCTTAATGGTATTCTGCTACCCTCTCCTTTTAGTCGAGTTCTGTTGGACCTCCCCGGGGGTGATCTGAATAAACAGAAAGGATTATTCCGTGTGGCTCGTCCGGATTGTTCTGATGGCTGGTAGCGGTTGGGCGCGGTTAGAGCAGGAAGTGCGGCATTGATGGGTTATTCCAATAAGAGGACTTCACCGATCGATCAAGTACTAGTATAAAGTAGAGCTTAGCTTGGATAGTAGTTAGGGTCTATATAAATGTGAAAAGCGGATTCCCCTTCTCGTTATCCAAGCCGCGGTTGAACAGTTTCGAATCTCGACTAAGAATCTACGCTTTTGCAGTCGATTGATGATACAGAGAGCTCAAGCTTTTCCTTTCTTTTTGGGAATCCCAGCTATTAAGGAGCTGATGGAGCAGTTATGTTCAGAAAAGCAATTATGCAAAATTTTGAAAAGTAAGCCGACTAATAGGAAGTCATACCGTGCCTGTGAAGGATCTTTCACAAGATCCTTCTTAAAGAACATTCCTTTACATTTTCTCGATTGAGCTCGTCTTTGAGATCAATGAAGAATCGACCCAAACTACTTATCTTGTTGCCATGCTGCAATTTTAGTCAATACAAAAAATGGTGGTCAAGACTCAAGGATATATAACTCGTATACTCAGATACGAAAAGTCGAAAAAGACTTGTGTTCAAGAGCTAGATTATCAATTTAACTACTGGTGACAGCATTATATATGTGGATTCAAACGTTGTAGACTTTGATTGATCAATTCAACAAAGATAGTTTAAAAATAATTAGAATAAATTTGCAGAAAATTGGAAAATTAATCCAATTAATCCAGAATTTTCAGTTCCTGTTTTCATAACAAAAATACTTCACAAAATCAGTTTTCGTTAGTGCAATAAGCAAAACGAAAATTTACAGAATTAAGATTGTAAGAACGCAATTTCTACAATGGGCGACTGATTAATGTAAAGTAAAATATGAACAAATTAATATAACAATATTAAAATCATAAATAAACAAGAATTAAGGAAATAAAAACCGGATTTGCAGAGTCGAGATATGATCTCTTTCCTTAATTCTGTAAACGCCCCGTAGTGTGACGGTTGCATGGCGTTCCGAATCCCAGGATAAAACTGCACACTTCTTATGATTGCATCACTCAATACATAAGCTTGCGAACCATGTTTTCTGTGATGTACTCTCATAAGAAAAAACAAAAAAAAAAAGAGAATGAGGAATTGTTTCTTGTTGTTTGATGTGTGATCACATATCAATGTTTAATTCACAAAATGAGAAGATGGCTTTATAAAGCCATGCTCAACGTAGCATTAAAGTGGAATCAAGAATTATTCTCATAATAATTCTTTCAAATGACTTAAGTTTTATGTTACAATCAATAACAATTGATTTGCACTTAATTGTCTTTGACAAAATTAATTGGAAGAGATATTTTTGACTTATCAACATACCAAAAAGAATAATCTTATGACTTTGGCCCGATTGCCAATCCCGAGGCCCGAAACAAGTTCAGCCCGGATATCTCTTTCTCTATTAAACACAAGTTTTAAACTTTGTATTAAATTCTCCACTTTATATACAAGAGGATTTCACCTCAAACTTCCAATGTGGGACATTTCATAAATGTTACATTTTATGCTATACAAGCAACCCACTTGGACCTCCATTTCTCATTCAAACCAACTTCATTTTTGACATATAAATATATTATCAAAAATAAGTTCCAACAATCCCCCACATGAATAGAAATGACTCTAGACACTGGACGACTCAACTCTAGACTTGACTCTCTAGACAAGACTCAAAAGACTCAAAAAACGACTTTTGAGAGTACAAGCGAAAAATCCACTGTATATGAGTTGGTAGCAATTTTTCAGCCTTGAACCAAATCACTGTCATAAGCTATCGGATTTACTCGACCAAGAGGTGAACATGATGTCTTGAACCTCTCGGGCTTTGATGTAAACCGAGACAATAGCTATAACACAGCTTCATTCTCTCACAGAATCAGGTTCTCTATTGTGTTCATTTTGGCCGTGAACTTGCCTGGATAATCATGAGTGAACTTGGAGAATATAGCCTTTCATTTATTCTCCTAGAAACGGCCCCATTTCACACTCACAAGGTGATTCGCCATTAACTTTGTTTAAAGGAGTATCCTGCATTACTCCATGTATATTTCAAAGTTATGGACCCAAATCATTAAAAGCAAAAGCTTATCCTCTACACCATACAGGTAGCACTGTTCATCATCCTAGGAACTGGGTAGAGACATAGTCTCCCAGTGCTAGTTGATTCAGTTTGACTTAGTTTTCCCCTTGAACCTATTTCATGGGATCTCCAATCAGTTAGGTAGGGTTACCATCAAACATCCTCTTAAGTCATAGGCTTTAAACCCATTCCTCTTGATGATTTTACAATTTAATCTCATGACACACCTTTAATTGGATCCTAGGTTGTCATTCAAGTAGATATAATCTATTAAGATTACTCCATTTGAGATCAATTGTTTAAAATATTGAAATAATTCTGAAAACTTATTCAAAATAACTAAAATAATTTGCAGAAAATTAGAAGAATTAATCAAATATTCTCCTTTTGATAACTTGCAAAAAATCATCAAAATAATTTCTGAAACACTAGAAAATTTAATCCATAAAATCATGATAATCTGCAAAAACAAATCATCAGAATAATTTCTGAAAAACAGAAAATTAATTTCATAAAATCCTGATAATCTGCAAAAAATAATTAGAATAAATTTGCAGAAAATTGGAAAATTAATCCAATTAATCAAGAATTTTCAGTTCCTGTTTTCATAACAAAAATACTTCACAAATATCAGTTTTCATTAGTGCAATAAGCAAAAACGAAAATTTACAGAATTAAGATTGTAAGAACGCAATTTCTACAATGGGCAACTGATTAATGCAAAGTAAAATATATAAACAAATTAATATATTGACAATATTAAAATCATATAATAAACAAGAATTAAGGAAAACAAAACCGGATTTGCAGAGTCGAGATATTATCTCTTTCCTTAATTCTGTAAACGCCCCGTAGTGTGACGGTTACATGGCGTTCCGAATCCCAGGATAAAACTGCACACTTCTTATGATTGCATCACTCAATACATAAGCTTGCGAACCATGTTTTCTGTGATGTACTCTCATAAGAAAAAACAAAATAAAAAAAGAAGAGATATGAGGAATTGTTTCTTGTTGTTTGATGTGTGATCACATATCAATGTGTTAATTCACAACAATGAGAAGATGACTTTATAAAGCCCCATTGCTCTACGTGAGCATTAAGTGGAAATCAAGAATTTATTCTCATAATAATTCTTGTCAAAGTAATTTAAGTATTGTATGTTACAATTCAATAACAATTGATTTGCACTTAATTGTATCTCAGGATAAAACTGCACACTTCTTATGATTGCATCACTCAATACATAAGCTTGTGAACCATGTTTTCTGTGATGTACTCTCACAAGAAAAAGAAAAAAAAAAAAAAGAGATATGAGGAATTGTTTCTTGTTGTTTGATGTGTGATCACATATCAATGTGTTAATTCACAACAATGAGAAGATGACTTTATAAAGCCCCATTGCTCTACGTGAGCATTAAGTGGAAATCAAGAATTTATCTCCATAAGAATTCTTGTCAAAATAACTTAAGTATTGTATGTTACAATTCAATAACAATTGATTTGCACTTAATTGTATCCCAGGATAAAACTGCACACTTCTTATCATTGCATCACTCAATATATAAGCTTGCGAACCATGTTTTTTGTGATGTACTCTCATAAGAAAAAACAAAATCAAAAAAAAAGAAGAGATATGAGGAATTGTTTCTTGTTGTTTGATGTGTGATCACATATCAATGTGTTAATTCACAACAATGAGAAGATGGCTTTATAAAGCCCCATTGCTCTACGTGAGCATTAAGTGGAAATTAAGAATTTATTCTCATAATAATTCTTGTCAAAGTAACTTAAGTATTGTATGTTACAATTCAATAACAATTGATTTGCACTTAATTGTATCCCATGATAAAACTGCACACTTCTTATCATTGCATCACTCAATACATAAGCTTGCGAACCATGTTTTCTGTGATGTACTCTCATAAGAAAAAACAAAATAAAAAAAAGAAGAGATATGAGGAATTGTTTCTTGTTGTTTGATGTGTGATCACATATCAATGTGTTAATTCACAACAATGAGAAGATGGCTTTATAAAGCCTCATTGCTCTACGTGAGCAATAAGTGGAAATCAAGAATTTATTCTCATAATAATTCTTGTCAAAGTAACTTAAGTATTGTATGTTACAATTCAATAACAATTGATTTGCACTTAATTGTATCCCAGGATAAAACTGCACACTTCTTATCATTGCATCACTCAATATATAAGCTTGCGAACCATGTTTTCTGTGATGTACTCTCATAAGAAAAAACAAAATAAAAAAGAAGAAATATGAGGAGTTGTTTCTTGTTGTTTGACATATCAATGTGTTAATTCACAACAATGAGAAGATGACTTTATAAAGCCCCATTGCTCTACGTGAGCATTAAGTGGAAATCAATAATTTATTCTCATAATAATTCTTGTCAAAGTAATTAAATATTGTATGTTACAATTCAATAACAATTGATTTGCACGATATTTTTAACTTAGTCAACATACCAAAAAGAATAATCTTATGGACTTTGGCCCAACTGCCAATCCCGAGGGCTGAAATCCCCGATACCTCTTTTCTCCAATATACTTAAGTGTACACAAGTTTTTTAAACTTTGTATTAAATTCTCCACTTTATATACAAGAGGATTTCACCTCAAACTTCCAATGTGGGACATTTCACAAATGTTATATTTTATGCTATACAAACAACCCACTTGGACCTTCATTTCTCATTCAAACCAACTTCATTTTTGACATATAATATATTATCAAAAATAAATTCCAACACTAGAAATTGCATTTTGGTTGATGGACCACAATATTTGCCACGTTTGTCATCGTCGGACATATCAACCTTCAACAAACACTCTCCAACCATTTAGAAGACCCTATGATGTGGCTGACCGAATTATCCTACACCGATTGCAAAAGCTATCTTTTGAGAGAAAATTGGCATGGAACATTCTATTTGTTTTGGACGACTCAAAGTTTGCTTACACAGTAAGAACTCTTAAAGGGTTTGAAAGTTTATATATCACAGAGCGTGACGCTTCTGAAGAGACACACAGATCTGTATATCTTTAAGCGAGAAAGCCATTAATGAGTTAAAGAAAAATAGTGATTTCGTTGAGAAAGAAAGAAAAAAGGAACTACATGTTATCTTGAGTACAAGATTTTGAAACTATATATAGTTGAAAAACATCAGAATTTAATAATAGCAACAATCATTCCAAAATTTGTGAAGAATTGAGGTGCCAGCATTATACTACTACTCAGGGTTTTAAATTAATACAGTTGATTCTTCGCTTCCGAAAACAATCCTACACATCTTGAACCAGAAGAACTATGCTTGTTCAGATGTCGTTTTGCTTCGTTTGGTTTTGTAGTTTCCGGTTCTTGGATTATGCTTTAAAGCTTGTCTTCTTTTCCTCGGTGCTTCTGACTCAACCGACTCCTGCAGCTTCTCCAGAGCTGAATTTTTTTTTTTTATAAAAATGACAACAAAAAAATCATCAAAACCAGAATCCACTTCAGATAATCAATTGCCTGAAATGTTTCATATGCATTGACCGACTGAAATCAAATTCTTCATTCAAGATGAATAATGTTAGAAAATTAGTGCACTAAATCCGAATTCACATGTGAAAAAAACCATGGTCATTGCAAGGTTAAAATCTAAGCCGCATTACTATTATCTTCATGTCTATTTGTCTTATAACATTACCGAGAAGGCTGTGAAATTACCCGGTTCATAAGTGGCACGAACAGCATCAAATGTCGCGGGCGGGATTGAATAGATAGGGCATGAACCACTCCCGACTTTCTTCAGGAGCTTCGAAAACCGCCTTACCTGAAATTTTATGTATATCCAAAGAATGAACAAACAGAGCTAGAGTTCGGCAAAAGTATCAGCCTGTGTTACACAAGCACATGGAGGGCAGAGAGAGTATAGTTTCGGTTTTACCTCATGATCACTCAGGATTGTGTAGCACTTGCCAGCCTGGCCTGCTCTAGCTGTCCGTCCAGCACGATGGATGAAGGTCTTTGCAAACGGAGGCATATCATAGTTAATGACATTTGTTACCCCTTTCACATCCATTCCACGAGTCAGAGCATCAGACGCAACAAGAACTTGTATATCGCCTTTTCTAAAGGCCTTTAGTTCTTTGCTGCATCCAAAAGTTTGTTCACCACCAAATGAGCAAAGTTCATTTGTTGTGGTTGTCAAAGACAGTACACGTGCAACTAGAAAGGAAAGGATTCAGATTGTTACCTTCGAACTGATTGGTTAAGACCACCTGAATACTCTTTTGCTCTTATCTTTGAGTCGCCGAAAAAGTTGAGTAACTTGCATAGACGACGAGTTGACTCTACGGAAGACGTGAAAATGATACTCTTTTCACCTTCCCATGATTTTAAGAGAGCAACTAAATACACAGGCTTCAACTCGGTTTCACAAATCTGTTAACAAGAACATGGCAAGCAGAAGTTGGAACATAAGCTTTTGCAGATAAATTTCATGTCAAAGCAAAAAACTTGAAGAAAGAAACGACATGCATACCAGTCTAAGACATTCTAACTTCTCCGGTAGTCTATATCGGCTTTCTCCAGTTGTCATGAATAACGGGTGATGCAGATCAAGCTGAATAAGCTTGCTTGGATCCTTCGTCAATGTAGCTGATAACACCATCTTCGCTAGCCTTGGGTATGGTTTGCCTTTGAAACCTCTCTCCACACTTCTGAGAATTTGAAAATATGCCTCACATTAGTTTTGAACATGCTCCCATTATTATTGGTAATAACAAAAGATAAATGGAAACTCACTGTCTACGAACAGTCTGCAGAGAACCAAAAGTGGAAGGAACAAATGGTGAAGACGAAGGAAAAAGGCCATTGTCAGATGTCTGAGTCAGTTTCAGAACAGTTGGTAGCCAGGACTGATAAGCCTCCCTAAGCAATCTATCGGTTTCATCAACAACCTGTAAAAGATTAACTTCATCAAACAAAGACCAAGGCAGAGTAAGAAGGGGTTAAATAAAATCTAGATTTTGCTTCATACAAGGTAACGCAAATGCTCAAGCGTAAAGCCCTTGGTGTTGTTGATATGGTCCATCAGCCTTCCAGGTGTCGCTACTAATATGTCCACAGCACTTTCCAGGTTTTGTGATATATCCTCAGGATCATAGCATATTCCGGCGTCAAGTTTAGGTGTCTTGATGAGCTGTGAGATTTCACCAGCTATCGAAGATTGACCCACAGCTGAGCCAACCGTTAATCCCACGGCAGGAGCTATGGCATCAAACACTTCCTTAACCTAAAAAGGAAGACTTTAGTACACAATATGCTAAGTTAAAACGAATGCACAAGTGGGGAAATTAGACTCTGAACCTACCTGCAAGGCTAAATCACGAGTGGGCAATACGACTAAAGCACGGAGGCATCTCACGGCACGCGATGCAAGGCTCTGAACGATTGGCAAAGCGTAAGAGAGAGTCTTTCCACTTCCTGTTGGAGAGTTAACGCAGAGGTCTCTTTCGAAACCACCTGGCCCTATTGTCTCATGCCAAACTGCAACTTGCACTGGGAAAAGTGAAGATATACCCATCTTCTCCAATGCCTTCTTCAACCTATCACACACAAGATTTAAAACCCACAATTTAATGCATTGAAAAAAAAAATGCTCTTTACTCATCCACACGAACACACAAATTGTGATAGAACAATCTTCTCAATCAAATCCACAAATATCCCCAAATTTTGAATTAGACAACTGGAACTCATTTGACTTCCAGCTTAAAGCACATAACTAAGAAAAAGTTTCAACTGGAGTCTCCACAAATCACACAAGGAATCAAAAAGTAATACTTGAAACAAAGCAATCAAAAACGAAGAACAAATTCAATGTTTCTATTACTTGGGATTAAGGCAAGGGAGGGTTTCGAGAGCCCAATTTTCGACATTGCTGACGTCAACGGGAGTTCTCATCCATGGAACAACGCAATCGGTCTCTCTCTCCGCCTTGTCATCTTCTTCTCTTCCCATACTCACTTTAGCGTTTTGTCTAGATTGTGACAGTGAGTATGAAGGTCAGATATAATTTCGTGACTTATAACGACTGAAGGAGTTATTGAACGACGAAGAATCTAATCAGAAACCCAGAAGAAGAGAACTCACCGGAGCAGACCAAAGATTGAAGGTTGAAGAAGAGGACAGAAAAACGATGTCGTTTCAATCTAAAACCCTAAACCCTCTAAAACGATGTCATTTCAATCAACTTTTTTTATTAAAACCAAGAAAGCCGCCAAAATTACGCATTTGGAAAGTATATATAAATACATTAATCTCTCGTCCAATGCTCAAGTCAAATCGATTCTACCATAAACTTGCTACTTGATGATGTGTTTATTAACTTGATCTTGTTTGTTCTTTGTGCTCAACAAATACATATATGGCTCTTCCTCTAACGTTTGGTTTAGAGGCATCTCATTGCACGAGAATCACAAACACACCCATAGTTCTAGTCAGTGGCGAATCTACTAAGACGGATACAGTGTCATGTGACACCGTAACAATTTGTAAACAAACTTTTTTGGGTTAAAATATCACTGGTTTTGTAAGATTGCATTGAAAATTCCTCCTTATGACCCCCTAAGAAAGAGTTCGAACTCCATATGACACCATAATAAAATTATTTTTTTGATTTGTTTACTGACACCGGTGAAAAATAAATTCTACATTCGCCACTGGTTCTAGTGAAGTCAAATATCTCTTTTCTTTACTAAGAGGGTGCTTATAAGTTAAAGATGATTTTGTTCTACGATTCTTGTAAATTTGTAATATGAAACAATGAAAGTATTATTTTACATACAATGGTCATGCTTTTAAGAGACCACTCAGACGAGCTGTACCACGGCACCGACTCTGAGAGCACCATTCTGGAGAAGTTCAGAGAGCTCATCAAAGAGCAGTGCGGTGCGCCATCCCCACCCTTTGGGAGCTTTCGGCAATAGACTTCCGCTCTGCTTGAAGCTCCCAAACAACATCACTTCTCTTTTCGACGGACAGATCAACTGCAGGAACATATGAGGGAATATGTGTAGTGTCTTGTTATAGAAACCAGAATCATCTTCGAATGGGTTTGATAAGGATTCTATAACTAAATGCTTCTAAACAGCACCTAAGAGTTAAAATGGTATTGAGATCATACCTGGTAACGTGCAGTAACTTTGTCCCGAGGATCTATATAAACGTGGACCTAATGAATGAGGAGGGAGAAGAGGTTGTAATTTTCGGAAGATATGACTATTCAAGTAAAACTAATACACTGGAGGTTTTTGTTTGGACTTCTCTACAAGAGGAAGAAAACAAGAAAACTGACCTTCCTTAGTGAGTCCACTATCTCTGCTTTACGACGGTGAAGAAACAATCCTGTAGATATGGATTTTCAAAGTTAAGTATTATAACATATACCAGTTTCATGTGAGGAAAACCGAAAACATGTGATCTCGCTAAGGAGTTTGACTCAAGTTTACCAATAGTTCGGCGTCCTTGAGGGTCTTCATCATTGAACGCCTGAATGCTTATCTGGATTTCGTATTAAAGAAAGAAAATTCATAACTGAATGACTCCAAAGAGAAAGCTTGCTGACTCATTATTTGAGTTTGTTTATACCTTCCACAGAGAACCAGCATAGAAGAATTCAGGAGAATGCTCTACATGACCGTTAGCTAGTCTATGCACATCCACAAATTCAACTCTGCAGACAAGTAAAAAAAAGGCAGCAGCTAAGAGGAACTGTTTACCAAACAGTGAAGTGACAAGTAAAGAAAACGAAAACACCTTACCCAAAACGAAAAGGAGGAAAGTGACACAAAGGTGTCCTCGTATCGAGTGATATGGTACAACTTGCGTTCTCCCACTCACTCCCTACTGAAGATTCTTTTGGTTTTGACATTCCAACAGTATCTCCACTGCTGCGCCCTCCCTCATTCTGATCCCCACGAGTATAGTTTCCAACACTGCTTGTCCCTTGGCTCAGCCCAACTAAAGCTGTCAAGCCGTCTTTTGTAATTTCTCCACTTTGATCGATTCTACCTTCAGAACCATCACTCGCAATAGGTTGTTGACCATTTCTGTTAATAGGGACACGAGAGTACACAAAAGGCGCAGGAGGCCAAGCAGGTGGTGGTACAAACGTAGATTCGCATCCAATGCCAGCAAGTCCATCAATGTGTTGTCCTCTAACACTAATCCTCACAGGCTTAAAGATGCCTATTCCTTCACCTTGAGAAGCCTCCGTCGCATACATGTTTTCCATGTCTCCCATCATATTGTTCTGCACGTTGTCTTGGCAATAGTAGTTGTTGAAGGTTGCACCATGTGAAACCCCAAATCCCTGTTTACACGCGCATGCGATACTGATAAGGCAACACCTTTTGCATGTGTCGGCAGCAACTTCCTGCACTCTCTGACTTAGAAGCATCTGGATAGTAGACAAACAGAAAGACATTAAAGCAGTTATCCAAACAAACATATAACTGTAGAGTCCATGATAAATGTCTCCGTTTTGATTCAAAACACCCTAGGCGCATTAAGTGCAAATGTGTCAAAGCATGAGCGAGCGAATCCACCATCCCTACATTTCTAAGACTGGCTAAAGCAAGCAAGTTTAGGGAAAGAATACCTGCAACCAGAGGCCATCATTCACGGCTTTACAAGGGAAACCCAACTCTTCAAGTTGTTTTCTTGCGTTCAGAAGCACTTCAAAAGACATATTGCAATACAGAAGCGAACCACCTTCAAACGTGTTCACAAACGCATTGTATTCTTCCTCCGTAAACCCGTATTTTCCTTTAACACAACCTGTAACCTGCCTCGGTCCCACAACCCGTCCACCCCAGGTAAGAGCAGAATCACCACAGTTTCCCCAGTCATTGACCACAAAACCAGCAGAGGAAGAACCTAAAGCAGGAGAATTTCTAGAGTCTGCTCCTGATAACCAACTATCATTACTCAAGTGGTATGCTTCTTCAGAAGGTCCTTCATTTGCCACCCCACTGCCTTCTGTCTTATCAACAACGCTGGTGCATGTACGACCAAGACTTGTCTGTGGGTTAACAGATGGCTGAAACACAAGGTTTGAACCGGAAACTCCTCTTTGGAAATCAGTAACACCTTCTGCGAGCGGAACAATCACGTCATCACTAGTATCCCTTAGGTCATGTTTTAAATCCAAACGACCTAACTTACAGTCCAAACTCTTGAAGGAAAAATTATCCATCAAATTTTTCCCCTTCGATATAGCGGAATCTACAGGAAAGCTTGTCCCTCTCTCAAAACTGGAATCTTGATTGGGATGTTCTGAGTTAGAAAGAGCACTGTTTGCTATGAAGGCATACAATGCCAGTTCAAACCTTTTTAACATGGAAAGAAACACGGTGTAAGCAAAATTTGATAAACGAAAACACAGCATGATGAAACCAAAATCCAACTAGTCTATGCAATTCTCCATACCGTTTTTCTTCACTAGGTACCCATAGTTCATCAGAAGTCAGCAATGCACATAAAGTCTGTGCAGAGAGCTTTGGCAGCATCTGACCATAAAACGTGATTTCGTAATTAGCAAATCACAAGAACTAGGATACTCAGCTGAAGAATAGGTTGGACAATGTTAATATTTAGTATCAGGTACTCTCTACATATAATGACATATAAGTATGGAAGAAGGTGAGGCCAGATAGATCATGCCAATAGTTATGACAAATATTTTAGTAGCGAGATGGGCAGAACAGGATACAAGATCATCACTTACTAGATAAAAATCAAAAAGTCAATATAAAGAATATATATTATATTACCTCTCTCAGTTCCATGGCACCACTTTGACAGAGATAACCCCAGCAAGCATTTTTTACACGTTCTCCATGCATGCCATAGTCTTGGCTCTCTGCAAACACCTGAGTCACAAGTGAAGAAACTCTATGTACTCAAGATTCACGGAAACTAAAGAGGAAGAAAAATATACATGACTGAGATTTCTGAAACCTGATATGCCAGGAAGTTTGAAGTCCTCAGCTCAGAAATAATAAAATCAGTGCATATCGCACACAAATCCTGTAAAAAAATAGCCACAAGTTTTTAGATTAACTGATCTAAAAAATTCATATCTTGAAGAAGAAAAATCCACACCATACACATCTATAAATATTAAAAATTAAGAATACCTGAAGGTCAAGAAAAGTAGCTGCAGCTAAAACACGAAAAGCATTATCATCATCAAGCTTGGGATGATGCCCATAGAGATAAGCCAAAGCAACAGAAATTGCTTCTCCATTAACATTTTTATCATCCACAAGTAAGTTTACAACCGGAGAGCTTGCTTCTTTCCAAGGACCTTGGAGCATGTTCCTATCAAAATTGCATACTTTGTAATCAACATCTGAACATCAAAAGCAAACCTATCCCCTTTTTACTGCAAATAATACCGTTAAAACCATTCTGATAATAATCAAATAGTACCATTCGATTCCAGAATTCAACAATTAACAATGTAGCTACGGTTCAATATTCAATCTCTACACTTTATACGAGACGCAACAAGCTGTTTATCACAGTGGAAACCCAGATGATTTCAAGTTAATCCGTCATGTAAATCAGAAATTCACATATGAGTACCTGAAGTAGGAGCTGCGAGATAAAATTAGTCGATGAAGGTTGTAACTGGATCCCATGGCTTTGACAACAACATCGGAAAAGGCACCAGAGCCGAAACCTTCCGATTGAATATGATCGCATAAAGAAGTGAGATTACAATCGAGAGAGCGAAGCTCTGACGTACTCTGATCACTTTCAGCATGAGCAGGAACCGGAGGCGTAGGTTGAGGAGACGGTGGTGGAGGAATCGTCATCCTCATTGGATGATGCAGGTGGAAATGGGACACCGACGCCGACGTTCTTGGGTTCCGATACTCTTGGTCCATGATCGGAATCAAAACGCAGGCATAGTCAAATCCATTTGTTCAAGGGGATTCAATTTCAAACGGAGAAATTAGGAAGCCATGGAAGAGAGAAGAATGTACAGGCTTGCAAAAGCTGCGTCTGTGTGGCGTAGAAGTGAGAAGTTAAACGGCGTCGTCGGAGGGATCGATCAAAACGTCATTTTCTATACCAAATAATTAAACCGGAGAATACCAACTTCAGATTGCCGAACCTAATTGATTTAACCGAACCGGCGATTGAGAGTCTGTGACCGTTGGAGCCAAAACCTTCCCAACGGCTAGACTTATCTTCTTTCTCCTTTTTCCTTTTGAATTTTTGAATATAAACAAAGAAATTTTCCTCTTTATAATTAAACTTTTCAACCCCACAATTGATTTATTATTCCCCAAAACAAATCAGAATCTCTCTCTCTCTTTCTCTCGATCTCTTTTGATATCTCAAAACTTCCATCAATGGCGCTTAGGAACCTTGACAACGCTCTTCCGATCTCACAGGAACGACCGAAGAAGCTTCCGAAACTCTCAAAGCAGCCGGAGATTGGTGTGAACGACGAAAACAACCCAGTGCCGCCCCCTGAATCAACCGTCGACTACGTTGCTTCTGAAGATCTCAAACCATTTCCAGATCCGGAATCCTCTGCCCAGGTCAGATTCTCACCAGATTCTATAAAATTTATTTGGATTATCACATATTCAATTGAAATTGCTCTTTGTTTAATCATTTTGAAGAGATTACTAGAAGAATTAGCATCGAAGGATTGGATTAAAGTATGTGAGTCGCTGAATAACACAAGGAGATTTGCAGTGTTTCACTCTTCTCTGTTGCTGCCTATTCTGTGAGTATCTCTTTCACCTTTTTAACTATTCAATTCAGTTTAGAACCTGAGCTGATTATAGAGTTGGTGATGATTTTGTTTTTGTCGATTTGTGTGTAGAGAGAAGCTCATAGTTGTGATGGTGAAGGCGATGAAGAACCCTAGAAGCGCACTGTGCAAGACTTCGATTATGACTTGTTCAGATATCTTCAAAGCTTATGGAGAAAAGTTACTTGAAGCATCTCATCTGAGATCAATGGACGATCTGGTAAAAACATTTCTCCTGTCATTTAAGATTTTGATTGGCTCTTTGATTGTTAACAAACGGGTTTAACATTTTGCTATCTTAATGGTAAAAAAACAGATATTGCAGCTGCTAATGAAAGCTTCACAAGATAAGAAGTTTGTGTGTGAAGAAGCAGAGAAAGCACTGAACACAATGGTGAACTCTGTGGCTCGTTTGCCTCTTCTGCGTAAGCTCAAAACTTACGTCCGACACAGTAACCCTCGTGTTAGAGCCAAAGCTGCTGTTTCTACTTCCAACTGCGTTTCCAAAATGGTAATCTTCAGATTTTCTAGAACAAATGTGTCATGTTCTTCTTGGATTGTGGTTGATTGTTTTCTCTGTATGTTTGTTTTCAGGAGCTAAAAGAAATGGAAGAGTTCGGGATGGTTATGATCGCACAAATGGCTGCGGATTTGTTGAGTGACAAGTTGCCTGAGGCAAGGGAAGCTGCAAGGAGTATGGTGAACTCGGTTTACGAGAAGTTTACATGGAACGAAGAAGAAGAAGACGAAGTTGAGAGCAAACAAGAAGCTTGGAAGAAGTTTTGTGAGAAGAATGTAACAGGGCTCAATGCACAAGCCATGATCAAGATCGTCTCATATCAATAAAATTTCTGAACAAGAAATTTCTCGTCTCTTAGCTTTCATGTAAAATACGTTTTTACATGATATTGATAATAATCTTTCTACTTCTCCCATTCCTATTGGATCTAGCTTATAACATTATAACACCAGAGGCTCTTTGATTCATCAAGCTCCATGAAAGAATCGTCGCTGTGACCTGATTGTTGCTACTGCCTGTGTCATCTTCTATGGACTCCAATTTTCCATTCTGAAGCAAATTGTTCTCTTTTCCATCATCTTTGTTCTTGGATCAGTTTGTGCAGGGCTCTTTCAACATCTTCAAATGGCTGTCCAGCATACAGCTTAAGCTGCCTCTTCTTCACCACAATCACATTCTTGCCACCAGAACTCACTTCATTATGAAGATCCTACAACAAAACAAATAAAAATCCAATCTCACTTGCTCTGAAATGTCTTTTACAAGTCTGTTTGTACTTTTGGTAAACCAATGTGCTTATTTATTTTACATTGGTTGATATGGGAACTACGTAGGCGCTGAATTCATCCAAGTCTTCAAAAACTGATTCGAGCAGATAAGAGAAGTTTATAGCATCACTTTGATCCTCAAATGCAACCATGTGTGAAACTTCGCCCTCTTTTTGTTCCACAGATTCGGTCCTTATAGTAAAATATCCCTCAGATATGTCTTGGTCGATTCTACTCCGCATAAGAATTCTCTACAGTGAAGAGAAAAACAATAAGTACTGGCTCATAATGTTTTTAAGTCGTGAAGTGGGATTGGTCTGGCAAATCAGAGCTTTTCAAAATACAAACCAACAAGAACAATGCTATAATACACAACGTACCAGCACATAGGGAAGCTTGAGCCACCACATTTTGTTTTCTTTCTCTGATTGTTTCTCCATCGCTCTTCTCATCGGTTTTCCTTTCCTGCCTGACAACGAAGCCCTGCCAAATCCAGAACCAGCTTCCACGTTTGGTTTATGGCCCACTTGATTTCCAGATTTGATTGACTTGTTAACTTCTTTTGATGGTCGCCTTTGCTCAGATTCCTGAGCAGCACCTAAAAATTTAAGATAAGCTGAGGATTGCAAGATATTTCTTCTTCATGGCTACTTAACCAGCTCATACGATTCTGCACTCAATCTAACAGCTTACCAGAAATCATCTTGGAATCTGCATGTCCAGCGTCTTTGATCTGTTCTTCAGGATTCTTCTCACCATTTCCCGAGTCACTAACATTACCATTTTGCCCTGTCTTCTCAAACTTAACCTCATTGTTTCCCTTACTACCACCAAAGCCTTTCACATTACCCGTCAATGGTTTCTCGGCTTTGAACTTGTATTTCTTCTCAAACATCAAACTTGAATCATCCTTGAGATCACCATTTATCGATTCATCATCCAGAGGCTCTACACGAAATCCCGCCAAGCCTTTCCTCTGCGAATTCAACCGTTTCTCCATGCTAGACAATCTTGCTTCTATCTCCTTCTCAATCTCAATTCCTCCACCAGGATTCGATGCTTCAACGGCAGAAGAAGGGGATGAATCATTATTGCGTGCTTCCCGTGCCATTGCTCTAATCTCTGCAATCTTCTCACTCATTTCAAGATCTTCTAGCGAAACCACATTGCTCGCTCTTCCCCCATTTTTCCCATTTAGAATCGACGAAAGACTTCTGCTATCCACGGTATCACTTGAATTTCCCGGCTTTTTCCCGGATTTTGTTGAGTTTCCCAGAAACAAAACGGCGCACACAGTTTGAAAAGCTAGGAGTCCGATCAAATACAATCCATACTTGGCTACTACCATCGGAGAGAGCATACTTAATATGCCATTCAGCTCGTTCGACGCAACCGAGCTACTTGAGACCTGAAGCTCCTCTACACCATTGTCTTGATTGGAGAAAGGAGCGTTTTCCGGTGACTCGATTCCGATTATTACGGTTTCCTGAGGCTGAGGATATTGGGTTCTGAGGATTTTGGGTCGCAGGTAATTTTTCCTTTTCGGTAACTTCGACGAGAGCGGAATTGAAACCGAAGAAGAGCACCGGATAACTTTTAACGAGATTCTCTTTCCGGTGGAGTAAGACGGAAGTAAGATCGACGGAGATGCGAAGTCAGGGCATCGGAAAGCCGCCATGGCTGCGGCGGAAATGGTTAGCCAGAGAGATTACTTCCAAGCTAAAGTCTTTGGAAAAATACATTAATAACAAATAAACCCCTAAACGTTTTAAATATTCCGGATTCCATTTTCAAATCAACCCAAATGGATAATTTTTATTTTGTCCTTTAATTAGGCAAAATGTTAATTTTGTCTCGAGCCGCCCCGTTTTGTTTGTAGCGTCACTCTCTCTGTGTGTTCTCTCGTCTTCCACACCATCGCTTCCATAGCCACAAGCTTCAGATAAATCCTGATTAAACCCTAAAGTTTATGTCAGACAAACAGAAAATCACAAAATACCTCTTTTTGTTATTCATTCTTCCTTATCCATTCTTCTTTGTTTGTTCTGGGTCTTTTTATCTGCTTTGTGTATCACTATAAACTATAAAAAGTAATATGGAGTCGGAGAGACCTCGAGGTATCGCAATTCCCGCGGCCAGAGCGGTGGCGGCTGATGCGTTTCTTCTCACGCGAAATCTCTCCGGCACGTTTTCCGCAGGTTCAGTTCCGATTCGCGCACCTCTTACAATTGACGACGACGATGATGATGATTCAGGCTCAGTAACCGACGGATATAACTCAGCCAGTAGTGATGCTAGTAGTTACAGTAAGGGACTTGATTCTGGGAGTGATGAGGGTTTTGAGTCTGTTTCGGGAGATGCAGATGATGAGACTGAGTTAGAGGATGTGATTGTGGGTGGGATTAGGGTTGATAGGCTAATTGGGGAAGAGCCAGGAAGAGAAATTGGAGATGGAAGTGACTTTTCCGGCGGGAGTGTGATTTATAGACCATTTGCTGGTGATGATGATGAGGAAACCTCGGTTAATTACACTTCTTTTGAGGAAGAGAGTGAGAATAGTGATGAGTTTGAGGAAGCTAGCGAGAGTGAAGTTGATAGAGTTAGCATGAAAGCGAAAGTTGTCATTCCCCGAGCTATTGTGTCTTTGGATGATGATGAATTTGGTGAAATTTTGGGTAGTGATGATGAAGTGCTTGTAACAAAGTATCCTGGTGATGAAGAAACCGTAGTCGAAGATAGGGAATTCCAATCTGGAGATGTTGGAATGGTTGATGAACCAGGCTGCTCGGTCTCTGTTGTAAGTGAAACCGTTCCCTTAGAGGAAGAAGCGGTGAGAATGAATGATCCCGATAAGTTAGAGGATGGTTTGATGTCCTTTGGGAATATTCAAGATTTGAGTCTTTGTGTTCCACCAGGAGGTTCTAATGATTTTGTGGTGGAAAATGAAGAGAATTTTATTGAGGAGGGCATGGGATTAAGTGGAAGTTCCAAGCAACTTATTGAGGAAGGGGTAGTTCAAAGAAGTATCATCGAGGATGATGTTGGTGGTAGCATTCATGAAGTCAGCGCCTTAATGAAAGAAGGTGATGTAGAAGGAGTAGAAGATAGTGCAGTTAAAATAGGAGAAATGGAAAGGACTGAACCAGAGTGCTCAGGTTCTGTTACAGGTGAACTTGTTTCCACGGATGAAGATATGGTGCAGGTGAAATTTCCTGGCCATGGCTTGGTGTCTTTTGAGACTAGTCTTGGTGTTGCGCCGAGAGATTGCAATGAGTCTCTAGTGGAAAGTGAAGGAAACGCTGTAGATGTGGATAAAGGATTAGATGAAACTTTGAGCCAGCTTGTCGAACAAGGGGTAAGTCAAGGAAGTAGCAATAACAGGATTGGTGATGACAGTTCTTGTGAAGCAGATGAATTGCTGATTCCAGGTGCGTGGGTAGAAAGTAGAAAATCAGGGGATGACTACACTGGAAATATGATAGGCAGGGCAAAAGAACAGTGTGAGAATGATTGTGGTGCTGTTCTCGAATTAGAAAAGCCTGAATGTGAGGGCAAACCTGAAACTGGTTTGAGCTCTGAAAGTTCTCAGTTGACTCCAATTCTGAATTCTGTAACGACGAGGAACCTTGAGATCGCTGGAGGAGCAGATGTTGTTGTAAGTGGGTGTGGTTCTCCCGACCAAAAAGCTGAACAAGAAGCTGAAAATGAAGAATCAGAGGATACTGACACTAAGTTATCAGTTCTTGATGAAGATAGAGCATCGAGTTTAAGAAGTTCCTTTGGAATGGCCAATGAGAGTGTGGAAAATGGAGAGCAGATTTCAGACCAGAATAATGAGCAAGTCAGTTTTCAGTCTGATAGTGAAGCGCATCAAATCTCAGTGGGCGAAGAAACCACACCTGCAAATTCTTCTGTGATTGCTTATGATGTAATGGAAAATGAGACGCAGATGGCGCGTCTGATTCACAATCACACTTTTATGGGGCGTGACGAGTATGAAGGAACAAGTGATACAAGGGAGAAACTCTCTGAATCCACTTTCCAAAATTATTCTGAAAAATTATCCCCTAATTCTGTGCAGCTGATAAGTGAGAAAGTGAAGGAAAGAGTTGAGAAGACCAAGCTCTTGAAAGAAAAGCTCCAGAGGATTATAAGAAAGATAGATTTGTGCAGTGAAAATCCAGCTGTTACTGAAGTTGAGTCTAAGCTGAGCCTAGCTGGTGGAGAACATCAAACGTCTTTACGGCTTGGTGACGTGTCTGAGGGAGCAAAGATAAGGTTGCCTGAACAAGAGTTTCCAGATGATGTAGACTTCTCTATTAACGTCCTTGTCATCGGGAAAAACGGGGTGGGAAAAAGTGCAACGGTTAATTCTATCTTTGGGGAGACTAAGTCTCCTGTTGGTGCGTTTAGAGTAACTACAAAGTCTGCAAATTACGTAGTTGGGAACGTCGGAGGAATCCTGGTAAGAATACTTGACACGCCAGGTCTCATGTCCGCTGCAACTGAGGAACGGTTTAATCAGGAAGTTCTCATGTCGATCAAGAAGAGCATGAGAACGTTCCCGGTTGATGTCATACTCTATATTGACCGTGTAGACGAGAATCCAGACATCCATTTACTCAGAATCGTCACTAGTTCACTGGGCTCATCTATATGGCAAAACGCTATCGTTGTTCTAACTCACGCAGCTTCTGGTGTCCCAGATTCTTCAAGCTACAAAGACTTTATTGCTCAGAGATCTTCTCTTATGCATCAATCAATCAGAAAAGCAGTTCCAGAGTTAAGCTGTGTAGACAGGAGCAAGATGCCTAGAATTGTTCTGGCAGAGAACAATATGAGCTCTTTCTCAGCAAACAAGAGTAGTGAATGTACTTGTACGGAGTGGAGATCGAACCTAATGATCTTATGTTGTTCGGTTAAGATGGGGTCAAAAGCGGATTCTTTGCAAAAGCACAATGCCCTTGTAGAAAAGCCGCTTCGATCTTTCACTATGTTCTGTTCCTTGTGGAATGTGTTGCTTCTCGGAGCTCACTCTGGAGACGCTTCTTCTTTGGAGAAGAAGAAAAGGAATTTGTTTGAAACTCATCATGAAATCCTGTGGGACGAAGAGAGTCAAGAATGTCTCGAGCGAGAAGTGAAGAATCAAGAACCAGAAGACGAGGAGAGAAGAAGACATGAAGAAGCAAAAATAAACATGGGATTGGAAAAAGGAAGTGTTCTTGATCGTGTGAGAACGAGAAGAGGAAGGCTTGGGTTCCAAGCAACAAAAAGGTTTGGTGTTTATCTCGATACATCTGATTTGCACACAGGGTTTGCAATCGGAAACCGAGGCTACAGAAAGCACGAAGAACAAGAAGGGAGAATCTTGATGAGGATGTCTGTTTTAGGTATGGTTCCTATGTTGGTGTCTATATTCACTTCCGTCTATGGTCGAAAAGATATTTGATTGCTTAATTTGTAGAATTTGTAACTTATCAGATATGATCTTCATTTGTTTTGGGTTCTGGGTTTATGGTATTGACCAATGACCATACACGAAGTTTAATTGTTACACGATAAGCAAATATTAGACTATTCACCTGATTTCCTCTTGAGTTCAGTATTTGACTATTTGCTACTTCCTCTTCTATTGATTGTTTTGGTTTGAGGAGGAGTATAATCAACCTAGTTATAGGCTTATAGCTAGCTAGGTCTCCTCCACTCATTGGTAAATTGAAGTGCTTAAAAATATGCCAAGGACATCTGTCTTGTATAATGTGTTAGCTTCTAAATCTGAAGATACAATTCGGTTACCGTTGGATTGGATTTATAATTGTCGGTACAGTTTTGGTTTGAATCGATGGAACTAAACCAAACTGTAGATCTCAAATTCTCAACTACCAAACGTAAAAAGATTTGAAATTTAAATACACATGATCCCACCCAATCCAATCATAACGATATTAAAGTGAAGGGGTATTTTGGACATTTCATATTTACAGGTTGTGTAAATATATGATTCCATATTTCCCAGTGATACACAAAACACCTTACACATCGCTCATCTCCGTCGTCTCATTTCTCATCGCTCTTCGCAGAATCAAACTTCCCCGTCGTCCGATCAGACAGAAAAAAAACCCTAAATGGTATGTATGTATGATGCTTCAGTCGAGTGCGCGTTGTTTAATTTCGATTCTAATTTATGTTCTCGTGCACGAACCCTAGGCTCGTTATCTGTCGATTGGAAATTTAGGGGCTAATTTTCTGATGATGTATCTTCGGATTATTGGTGTCATCTATCATGATTTTCGATTGCTGTTCCGTTTCTGTAGATTTATTATCGGAATTTTGAGTTTGGAGCTTTTGTTCTGGCTTAAACGGAGGTTGAATCCTTAAACGCTGGTGAAATCTGAGCGAGTTTGAGCAGTTTTTTCTGGGTTGCATTTCTTTGGTGGCTTTTGCATTAGATCTTCCTTTTTCCAACTGTGTGTGTGTGTTTGTTCTTGAGAAATTTCAGGATCTGTTGAATGATCATTTTCCGTGGTTGGATAGTCTTCCTTGGATGGATTTTGTGTGAAATGTTGATGCTAAGATAGAAATAGCATAGTTCATGCTTATCTTTTACCTTCCAAAGATTTCTTAACTTTCATATAGCTTCATCCTCCTTTGCTGATGCATATAAATAGATTTTATGGAGTTATGTTCTTACATCTTTTTGGTTTATGCTTACAGGATGGCCATGATTCTGAGGATACCAAGCAGAGCACTGCTGATATGACTGCTTTTGTAAGTATCCCTATCTACAACCATGTTTGATCAGAATCTCTTTCTCAAGTATACTATATATCTCTTTGTTTTTTCACTGAATCCTTGAATTTCTCTTATACGCAGGTCCAAAACCTCTTGCAGCAGATGGTTTGTTCTTTTTAAGCTTTTATATCTTCCTTAAGCCTTGGAATTACAGTTTTAAGTCGTAGATTCTGATTAGTTTTTTATTTCATTGTGTGTTTGTTTCAGCAAACCAGGTTCCAGACTATGTCGGACTCCATCATCACTAAGAATATCCTTTTGAATATTTGCTTCCATTAGAATATTTGAAATGTTACTCTCCTAGATCAGGAATGATGATGATCCTTGATAGTAGTTTCTTTGTGCCTTGAAGAAAAGAGAAATCGTTCTAGGAATCAAAAATTATCTTTGTGCCTTGATAAAGTATTTCGTGAGAGTGCTAATGACTCTTCTATAGAATTTTCTTGATAATTTGCTCTTATATGCATACTTCTTGTTCTGTTCATTATAAACAGAATCTATACCACCGTAAAATGATAATGATGCTAGTTTGGAATGTGTGGGAACTCGAATGACTTGTGTTTGATAGGCAATTTGTGTTCATGTTATTGGTTTGAATTTGTACCTTTACATGAATTGTAATCTCCTTGACTTTGATGGGATCACTCGATGACATGGGAGGCAGAATCAATGAGCTGGAGCAAAGCATCAACGATCTAAGAGCCGAGATGGGAGTAGAAGGCACTCCTCCTCCTTCCTCCAAACCAGGAGATGAACCCAAAACACCAGCTAGTTCCACTTAAACACTAAGGTTCATGATCCCGTTTGCTTATGACTGCATCTGCAGAAAACACTTGTTAAGAGCAGTAGTTACATTTTTAAATTCTTGTTTTAAGACTGGTTGTTGTTGAGTTTCATCAAATAGATTGATGATGTGTGGTACCTCTACATCGTTATGCAGTTATGAATTGCTTTTCTATGTTGGTTTTGAGAGAGTTGCGATATATAATGCTTAAATTTCGGTTTGGTTCTGATTTTTAATTTTGAAGTTTCTGAATTTCACTTTAGAGAGTTAAAATACACAAGATATTAAAATGACGAATTGGAGGCTTCAATTGTTGCAGTGGCCAATTCCGTTTGCGTTTACATGGAACAATGTCAGAACCAAATTTACATGTTTCGGTTACAACTACAGTACAAATGAAAGGATCTTCCATTTGTATTTAAAACAATATTGTTTGGTTAAAGTAGTTAAAATTGTGAATACATATGTGAATGCAAAAACAGATATTTAGGTAGCCTATCAAACTATGATTGTCAATTTATCAAATAGCACTCGGTAATGAGTTGGCATCAGCTTGTAGTGAGGTATGAGTCTACGGTCCAAACCCCTTTCTCCAAAACTAACATCAATTAACTACTTTTTTTAATTATTTTTTTGTGGGGTTAGTATAAGAGAGATACTTTGGGCAAAACGTGAAATTTTATAGAAAAATTGCAATGAAAAACAATCATAGTTAGAATACAGTCCATACTTTATAATAATACCAATATAGACATGTGTGATGAAAGAAAAAACGATGAGATTTTTATTTCTCTCTCGACTCTCGAAACTTCAATCTCTCTCCATTCCATTTTTCTGCTTTAGTTACATATATTTGATGTCAAAAAAAAAAAAGTTACATCTATTTTTTTCTATGATTAATGGTTCTAAACAAGACTGAGATCAATTGTTCTGACTATCAGCTTTCGACAATCGGATTTGGATCGCAGTCTATTGATATAACTCACTTAGTTCAAAAATAGCCAACTTTACAACATCTGAGGAATCCTTCTTCGCCAATTCATCTTTTGGATGACATTTAGTTTGATCGTATAGTTGTTTTGGTTGTTATAAATTTCACAATATTGTTATTCATATTTTTTATATTGGGTAAAAAATGTGGCAAAGGGCCCGAGGAGCAAATAAGGGCCGTTAGATGATGTGCATTAAATTAAAAGTAGTCTCTTCAATATTTAATGCTCTTTTTTTGTTTTTTTCCCCAAAATTATCGTCCCTCTTTTTTTTTTGGTCGAAGAAATTATCCTCCCTCTAGTTACGGGGTTTAATTCGTCTTTTTAATATCCTGTATATTTTACTGTTCTTTGTTTTTTATGTTGAAGTTCCTTCCTTGTAACGTTTTCTTTTGACAATTTTTCTCCTCCAGGACATTTGACAAAGAACAAAAACTCAAAATCTTTTGACATCAAGATAATCTAATTTAATTGATGTTAGTTAACTTATACTAACGAATTCACATTACAAAACAAATGAAATAAGCCACCAAGAAAAAAACGTAATAAATACGCCACGTGTGGTTCTGCCGAAAGTGTTTGCATGTGAAGCTGCTTTTAGTTTGTCACCAACCAATCCTTTAATTATTGCCTCTCTCTCTCTCCCTCCACTTCTCCACAATTATTCATTACTCAACCAAATTTTTTAAAAACCAGTTTGATTTTTTCTTTTTTTCATGTGAATATGAACACAGCTACTATAATTTTAAAATCACATGATATACAATATGAACACCTGGTATTTCTTCAGCACATGCAAAAAGCTCCCACACTCACTCATATAAATTAATTATTACAGCTTTAATCATAATTGATAATTGATAATATTAACCAGAATGTATACATCTACAGGCTGTTCCATACTAATTTTCTTGGTCATATATCAAACTTACATCAACAAACAAATGACGCAAATATTCCAAGAAACTTACGAATGGACTGACTTGTCTGTATGCATTGAAATTATAAACACGAAAAAACACCAAAAAATAATAATAATAAAAATCTGAGAAATTGTATCGAAGAAAACAAAAGAATTTGAGGAGAAAAATGAAGGTTACAGAGAGAGAGAGAGAGAGAGAGATCATCGCCTGCAGCGAGTGATGGCGCTACAGCCACGAGAGTAAGGATTGGCCTGAGCTCCACGTCGGCAATTGTAGTAAGATGCGCCTCGGCGTGAGCAAGGAATCGTGTTTCTCCTCAGCGCACCGTAGCTTATGTACCTCGCCGTCGCTAAGATGCGCCGGTTGATCTCGGAGTCCATCTCGAACTCCTCCGTCTCTGCTTCCTCGCCGACGCTGTGAAAGAGATCTCCGTGGTTGGATAAGGAGCACTCGGCGATGGAACCTGTACACTCTGTCTCCATCGGCATGAAATCTGCGGCGAATCCGGGGGATTGTGAGGTCGCGGCGGCGAGTAGCCAGTGGACGGTGAGAATCGCGAAGATCGGGAAGATGGAGAGTCCTCTCATTATTGATTTTCTCTCTTTGTCTCTTAGCTTTTTTTTTTTCTTTGTGAGGTTCAAAAGTTTTGTGAAAGAAAGAGAAAGAAATGGTTTAAAAGAGAGAGAACAAAATAAAATGCCACTAGCATACGGAATATTTACGGTTGATGCCACTTGACTTTTAAACAGTGTATGAGGGGATTTTTCAGCTTGAGATCTAACGATGTATTAACGCGTTTTAGTGCCTTGTGTCATGCACTAAATTTATTTTGTTGACTTTTTTTCAATTTTCGTTATATTAAAAACTTATAATAAGAGATGACAACAATTTCACTGTTGCGTAGTGTTTACTTGAGCATACAACCAACTGATAAATACTGTAAAAATGTTCATTAAAGGCTCAAAATGGATAACATTGATTGATCATTGATCAGTTGCTATTATGATGAGTGTGTAAAATATTTGCATAATTGATAAGTAACCTATGAAATTTAAGCTCAGGTTCGTCTAAAATCTTTGCACAAATAACAATGTATTCGAGCCTACAAAAGTCCCAAACTTAAATGGCTGCGAATCGTGTGATGGGAATAAATCTGGATAGCCGGTTAGTATACTAGACCAAACTCATAACTTGACAAGTCTCTCAATGATGAATTGCATATCAATTTCACAAGAAACAACTAAATTGCGGTAACTAGAGACCAAGAGTAATGGTACAATCTAAACGTAGTAGTAATAATAGTAAGAAGATAAGAAACATGATTCATCATCTAATGCTCTTCTTCTTTGACATTTTCATCAGCCAACCGAGCTTCCGCTTTCTCATCTTTCACCTCACCGCTTTTATCCATATGCTCTTTTGAATCTTTGGAGTTATCTTGTAGCTGCAAGGACAAAAAAACAGAGAATCATGGAGATATATACATTTCTCTATTGAAGATAGTATTAGGAAGATGAGAGACTCACGCCCAAGCTTTTCAAGCTAGCAGTAACATCATCTTGTTGCTGATTTAAGGTGGTTTTCAGATCTTTGAATTCCTGGTAACGAAACAGATCAAATGTGCATCATCATCAGTTAGAAACCAGTAATATAAAGATATCGATGTGTTTACTGCTCAATATACATACATACCTCACGTAGCTGCTCAACTTCAAGATTCAGAGTCTTCTTTAACCCAGAGAGCTCCTGTACAGGCACCAAACCAAGAGCTCCATTACATCAAATCTCAAAACAGTTAACAACAGGAGAGCTAATGAAATTGATAAAACCGCAAATTGTGTTTTAAGATGATCAAGAAGACTAGAAATTGAACGTTACCTCACGGTAGACTTTAACTTGGGTGTCCAATTTACCTCTCCAGCTTTGCAAGTCCTGCATATAGTTTGTTTAGATGATGTCTGAAGAACATGAGAAAAGACTATATGAGAATGTGTTGTTTCTAAACCTGTTTCAGATTCTGGATCCTGTTAAGCAACTCAGCCCTTGATTCGTTCAATTCCTACACAAAACGAATCCAGACTTGAGAAAAACTGCTTGGTATCAGAAAAGAATTGAGTAAAAATCATCAACAAAGCTACGTACCGTGAGCTTCGAATCAACAGGACTGCTAATTTCTTTCTTCTGTAGCACAAGAAACAATCAAATTTCAGTTAACCACTTTCAAATCAACGCTCTATGATCAGTGAGAGAATGAGGTTATTTCTGTCTATAATCAGATAAACAATTGCACAGAACAAAACCACAAAAGCCATCAACAAAACTACCGCAACTCGCATTATTTTTTCACCTAATTGCCACAAAATCTGACCAAATGGAAAAAAAAAGCTTAGCAAGTGAATCAACTCAAGATCAATCATCAATGTAACCAGAATCTGAGATTGTAAAATTAAAGATTACGAAGAGACGCAGTCAAAACACGGATCTAGGTCCGAATTGCCCCAGTTAATCGCAAACCCTAGATAAATATTTATACACAAACCACAGTTATTAAAATCAGAGCCCTAGCACAACGAACGCGGCCATGAATCGAAAATTTGAAGCGATAAGAGAGCAAATCAAATGAGAGAGAAGAAAAAAAGTAGAAAAATTACAGGAGCAGTAGGAGAAGATAAGGAGACAAGAGCCGCGGAAGACGTTGAATCGGAGGTTTGGTCCGCCATTATCGATGTAAAATCAAAGGGAGGATTTGAATTATTCTGCTAGGAAGATGAAGAAGAAGAAGAAGAAGATGAAGGAATGGGTTTTGGTACTATTGAGAAGAAAGAGAGAGATTGGTAAAGTTTCAAAACCAACAAACAAACAAGAGACTATTTAGTCATGTCGTTGGGACTTGGGAGAGCCATACTCACAATTTCAAAAAATACAAAATAAATTTTAAAAATACCACGAAAATTCAAATTTTGATTTTTCCCAATACGTGACCTAATAAGTAATAACTCTCATATGTATTTCGTTTTTATTTTAATTTTTAAACATACTAATTTTGTACACCTATGTAACACTACTCTTTCTGTTTCATTTGATCACAACAGTAAGGGATGTGTTCATTTAAATTAAAAAAAAAAAAAGTAATGACGTTAGCAAGAAGCCTGCAAGAAGTGTTGTTGTTTATTTGGTGGAAGGAAGAGAAGCAAGAAAGGCGAGAGTAAACGGAGAAGTGGACTTCCCAAACATAGCGCAAAACGGAGGAAATCTTTCAACAACCCTTTTCACTTGTGGAGTGATTCGGTTGATGTCAGTTCTAAGTTTCAAGACAGGTCTCTGCTCCTTCTTCTCATCAGATACTTCTTCTTCTTCATCTTTCTTCTTCTTTTCGTAAAGTTTGAGAACAAACCTTGTTGGCGCCTTTTTCCCACCTGCGAACTGAATCTGATGCCATCCTTCGCTGCTGCTTTTCTCTCCTCTTGCTATCATCACCACCTCTTCATCCTCCACCTCCTCCTCACCTATTTGCAGTGTAAAGTCTTCTATTTCCTCCATGTCAATCCCAAGTATCCACCGCCATGAGCCTCCTGTGTCCAACGAAACCGCTGTGACTCTTCTTCCTCCCTCGTCTCTCTCTTCCTCGTTTATGACTCTCAGAACCGGAATATCTCGCTTGTCCCATCCGACCTCGGCGTCTTTCACCGTCACACAGCTGTACTTAGCTTCAAAGCTGCCAAAATCAGTCTTGTTCTCTCTTCCACATCTGAAACCTTCTTTGATCTGCTCTGCTTCCATGTTCAGGTTTCCAGGAGTGTTTGAGAACATCGTTATGTACGAGACTTGGTCTTTCCCGGTTGTATCCACAACATGTACCACCTACATGTTTACACAACCATATATCAAAAAGGCTGAGTCCAATAGTGTTTTGAAGAAGTTAAGACAAGAATTGAAGAATCAAAGGGACACTTACATTTAATGTTCTTGCAGTATCTTCAGTAAATGCAGGAAGAAAACCAGAAGATGCAAGAGAAAGAGAGACGGCAATGGTTATGCATAATGCAACGATGATCGACTTCTTTGCACCTGGAGACCATATGTTTCTCAAGAATCAGTATGCTTAATCCAGTTTAAAGTCTGATTATGATTATTATTGTGATAAATTTCAAAAACAAAGTTATGAAAATAGAACATTACCGGAGAGATGAATATAGGCCAGCAGGTAAACCATAGTCAAGCTTATGAAAGTAGCAATGAGAACAGCGATCACCACGTTGCCTAGCCATTCTGGAGTTCCGCCTGGGTTCCTACACACCAAAATACAGCCAAAACAAGAGCTACAATGTAAGGTCTGTTGTAGCTAAAGAAGAAAGAGAGATTCACAGAGAGAGCCATTGATTCTCACTGCAGCAACCACATTTTAACTCTCTTCTTTAGTCGCCATGTTTGTGAGTAGCAACAGAAAGCGGAACACTCTTTATTTCTCAAAGAACTAATTTAGGTGAACCAAAGATAACCAAAAGCAGTTATGGTTTGTCTTAAGAGTCCCTAATTCCTAAGGCTCCCAAATAGACTCCTAATCTGTATTCTTATGCTATTATTAATATTTTAAATCCATATGTATCATCACACATTATAGTGCCTATCCGTTTTACCTGTCAAATCGAACGAGCATGCCGATCATTGTGCCCGCTAACCGGATAAAACCGCCAGATGAAACCAAAATTGGTACAGCCAGGCTGATAACGAGAGTTGCAAGTTTGAGGGGCTTTGGCAACCGGATTGGAGTCAAAGTCGCCTCAAGCAATCCATCTGGAAAAAACTATTAGGTTTAACTTAACCGTAAAGAGAAACACTTTTTATAACATAACTCAACATAGTAAAAGCAAAGATTGGCTTACATGCAAATGCAGGAGGAACTAGCCACACCAGAGCGAGGTAGGTTGATCCAAGTTTATAATAGGTTCCAACGGCAAGAAGAATAAGCCACTGTATAAAACCAGCTTTAAACAGCCATCTTTCAGCCTCAAGCTTGGCTAAATCAACCCTTAGTCTGGGTGAGACTTGCATTCTGTTCGAACTCCGGTTCGATGATTTCTTCTTAAGGAAAATGAAGGCTACATGCTGACCAGTAATTGACCCTAACACCGCAGGAGACACAAACAGTCCAAGTGCCATCAATGGGGTTGAAGCATACGGCACAGGTGATGAAGAAATCAAGGGAAGTATGAAGGCAACAGCTACAGAGAAAGCTACTGAGAATATCCATGAGAGGATGATACTCAAAAACGACAGGAACAGAGACACAAGAGCCGGATAACCACCCATGATCAAAGACATAGCCCATATAAGAATCGATTGCATGATCACTGAAACATATAGCATATTCGCAAAACTTTGCCTGTATACAATCATATACTTCCCCTGAAAATTGAAATAGGAATAAAGAAAACACATTAGAACATGGTAAAAGGAAAAACTATGTAAGTAGTAAGTACAATATCTTAATAGATTTTTACCAAAATGTCAAAATAGACAGCTGAGTCCGGTTTGGATTCCTCCTCTCCCTGTTGTGTTTTTTCCTTTGGCAGATCAGAAGATGAAGCAACTCGAATGAGGAAAGCGAGCATGTTTTCCCCAAGATGCTGGAGCGATCCTGGTTTTATTAGCTCTACCTTATCATTCTGCGACGCAAAAATTATATAACATTACACATCAAAACAAGAAGAGCACAACATTTAAAAATACACAAATGGAAGTACCTTAGTGTGATAGACAGCAGTATTATCTGTAAAGGCAAAGTCTAATCCTGAGAGACCAGCGACCTCCTTGTATACTTGGAAATCAGTCGCAGATTTTATGACTCCAGAAGTGAACAGATCCTGTAGTAGTAAAGTAGTTACATACAGATGTATACATATGTATACATATATCTATACCATTAAAGGAGGCAAGAAACATTATATGTAAGTAATATACCTGTCCAATGATCTGACCAGATGGATATTTCGCAGCCAGAGCAAAATTTTCAATAGCCCACGGACTCGGACCAGCCTACATGCAGAGTATATTTCCAACAATCAGAACCTCGAAATTCTCACTTAGAACCTAGTACTCTTTCAGGTACAAGGCACTAGCAATAGTAACTGTATCATTTTTATTAGCAGTTGTGAGGAAGGAGAGGTAGTGCATAAGATTATGTACCTGAAAAACACTGGACTTTCCACCAGTACCCATGGCCTCTAAATCAATAGCTAAACGTACTGTGGAACTCCATGGATGCTGCATCAGTATTTTACAATGTCAACCAGAAACCACAAGTTCAACTCAAAGTAAGAGAAAGAGAGAGAGGGAAATGAATCCTACTCAAAGCCATTAAGGTCAGTGCATGATATTCACCTGAGTTATAAAGCTATGAGCGCCATTAAGACCTTCTTCCTCACCAGTATTGAACAAGAAGATAACAGAATTCTTGAATCCATGAGCCGATTGCGAAACAGAACGAGCTAGTTCCAGCATCACAGCTACACATGAGCTACAATCTCCAGCCCCACCTCTTGACACGTTCACAAACAAAGTAATCAGTAAACACACACACTTCAATACTTTATACTAGCAAAGATGAAGCGACTTACGATGAAAACACAGTATCAATATGTGAAGAGACCAGAATAGCATTGTCTCCTGCGTCTGATTCATACTTTGGCAAGATTCTTAGTACAATGTGACTTATATCCGAATACACTAGTGACTTCCCCTTGAAAAGACCACCGACCAGACGATTCACACCGAATTTGGATTCAAAGAAGTCAACATTCACATCAACCTCCCAATGAGCTGTTTCTTTCACTTTCTCAACTTCTGCCAATACATACTGCAAAACACAAATGGTTAAGAGAGACTCAAAGTAAAGAAAACAAATGGTAAGAGAAAACAAATGGTAAGAGAAACTCTTCCTAAAAAAGAATACAAAACCTCAAGGGCATGGACAAGAGCATCAGAAGAAACGGGATGCGGACCAAACTGAGTCAAAGCCTTGATGTGTTTCATTGCCTGAATCTCAGAGAAACCCCTTTTGCCAGCTTGTTGCGCGGTTAAGGGACGAGGTAAATTCCCGTGTTGGTAGTTGTAAACAGCCCAGGAGAAGTATGTGATCAGAATCAACACTGAGAACATTACTTTCCCCGATCTTCTAACATCGATTCTCACTTCCTTATCGTTACCAGAAGAACCATCAGTTTCTTGACTTGAAGATGATGGCTCTGGCGAATCTGACTCCGCCTTTGGATGACGCTTCCTCATCGTAATAAGGATTTTTGGATTGGATCGGCGGCGGTTCTGTTAGAGCACTCTGAGAGCAGAAAAGTGAAGAAAATTGAATACAGTAAGTGATCGAAAGAAGAGGAGCAACAACTTGAAACAGAGACTGAGTTAACTTTTGTGATGGAAAGAAACCAAAAGCAGAGTGAGAAAAGTAGTCGACGATACAAACTCGAATACGTTGAAATGTAGCTTGTCGTTGACAATCAGAAAGTTACATAATATGGATTCTATGGAAACCTTTAGTTATATGATTCAGAAATTAAACGGAATCATAATAGTTTAACCCTAGAATCGAAGAATTTCATACCTGGGAATCTGGGATTAGTTGATTGCCGGCGAATTGTTGTCTTTGTCTTCCTTCCGGGACAGTATAAGACTCCGGAGAAGCAAGAGATGCTGTACTCTTTTTCCTCTCTTCTAAAAAATATATAAAACTTTTTAAGTATGGGTAACAAATGTTTTTTTAATGAATTCTATATCTTTTAATTTTAAAATACAAAAAGCTTTCATCTAAGATATTTCAAATAAAAAGAGATATATGAAATTAGTATAAATTCATTAAAAAAAACATTTAAATTTTATGGATTCTATGGTCATATATTTTTATTTAAATTTCATCAACCTTTTAAACAGTCTTAAGATATTTTTGCTTTTATATTTTTGTTTAGTTTTGATTTGGTACAATTATTTTTGTATTTTTTAATTATGAAGGATATTTTAACAAAACTATGCAAGTTTTAGTATCTGGAGGACCATAAAAAGTTAACAACCCTTGAAAGCATGACATAAAAAATAGAAACAACAAAATTAAGAGTTAAAAAAAACTTGTAATTTGAGAAACGTTTTCGTAAAAATAGGAAAATAGCTGTTGAAATGTTTTACTGAAATCCCAGCCCAATAAAAGTTAAAGGAGCAAAATGATTTTATTTTCTTCTTCATCGTCGTCGTCGTCGTCGTCGTGACTGTATATCGGTATATCTGATTTATATCCCACAACTCTCGGAGATTCGCCACTAATAACAACTCTGACGCCAAAATGAGTGTGATCACTCCCATTGAAACTCTACACCTGAAGTCAACAATTCGTCTTCTTCCAAGAGGTCTCCCTCATGTTTATCGTAGTCAACGGATCCAATTCTTCCCGATCAACACCTTCTCCAACTCTTCTCTCCCTTCTCCACTTCGCATTCACCCGATTTCTCTAGGTTTGGTTCATCTAATTAATCGATCTCTACCTTATTTGGTTGGTTGGTGATTCTCTAATCGTGTTCTGCAACTTATTAGGTAGCGGATCGAGGAATCTGTGGCGTCGATATGCTTCCGATAAATTCTCGGATCCTGGAGCTGATTCACACAAGGTACACACTATCAGATCTTCTTCTCCAATGGCGTCATATTTAAAGTAAAAAAAAAATGTTCTTTTTCACTTAATGAAACACTTCAAATTCAGATTAGCTAAAAATCATCCTCCCTGCTAATTGTTGAGATTTGTGGCTCAGATGTTGAGTGAGAAGGCATCTATAGTGGATACATTGAAGAAAGCAAACACAATTCTTCCTCATGTAGTGTTGGCGAGTACTGTCTTAGCTCTTCTCTATCCACCTTCTTTCACTTGGTTCACTTCGAGGTTCTTCAAGAGGACAACTTTGATCTAAGAACTTTTGAGTAGTAGTAGAGACATCAGATTTTTCTAAACAAAACTCTTCTCTTCTTTTTATAGGTACTTCGTTCCGGCTTTAGGGTTCTTGATGTTTGCCGTTGGTATCAATTCAAACGAGAAAGACTTTCTTGAAGCCTTCAAGAGACCAAAAGCTATACTCCTTGGTTACATCGGACAATACCTCATCAAGCCTCTCCTTGGTTTCATCTTTGGCTTAGCTGCTGTTTCTCTTTTCCATCTCCCAACTCCAATAGGTATAATAATTATAAAAAGCTCTCTCTCTCTCTTTTACTCAGACTGTTTTAACCAAAAAGTAATCTCTTGTTTAATATTAGGTGCTGGAATCATGTTGGTTTCGTGTGTTAGTGGAGCTCAGTTATCAAACTACGCCACCTTCTTGACTGATCCAGCTTTGGCTCCTCTTAGCATCGTCATGACATCTCTATCAACCGCTACCGCGGTTCTCGTCACGCCGATGCTATCGCTCTTGCTCATCGGGAAGAAACTTCCCGTTGATGTCAAAGGAATGATCTCCAGCATTCTTCAGGTCGTTATCGCTCCAATCGCTGCAGGATTGCTACTCAACAAGTGAGATATATGTATGTATAGCTGAGAAATTATATAGAAACATCAGAGTTTAAAACGTTTTTCTTTGTCTTCTTCTTTTACAGGTTGTTTCCGAAAGTGTCCAATGCAATCAGACCGTTTCTTCCAATTCTATCGGTTCTTGACACGGCTTGCTGCGTTGGAGCGCCACTGGCGTTGAACATAAACTCGGTCATGTCTCCGTTTGGAGCCACGATTTTGTTTCTGATTACAATGTTTCATCTCTCAGCTTTCCTTGCTGGTTACTTCCTCACAGGTTCGGTTTTCAGAGACGCTCCAGATGCTAAAGCCTTGCAAAGAACATTGTCCTATGAGACTGGTAACTAACTTAACTAACCAACTAACTCTTTGGTTTTTATTAAGTCTTTGTGAATATGAATGTTTTTTGTTGTTTGATTTGTTCAGGAATGCAGAGTAGTCTTTTGGCTTTAGCACTTGCGACTAAGTTCTTTCAAGATCCTCTTGTGGGGATTCCTCCTGCCATCTCTGTAAGTCTCAAAGACGGCTTCGTTTTTTGTTGCTGCAAATTACAGAATCTCATCTCTTGATGATGATGATGATTTATAGAAATTGGTTTTTGGTTTCTTTTTGCAGACGGTGGTAATGTCATTGATGGGATTCACACTTGTTATGATATGGTCTAACGAAAACAAGAGTGAAACATTGAAAACCCCTTTTTGAGTTCCATTCGATCTTTTATTGATCTATGTACTAACAATAAAAAAAGAAATCATTCGAACTTCTTGTATTAAGAAAAAATATTCAAAATGCAATGAGAAGAATTTGTACAATGTTTGTTTAATTTCTGTCTTTTTCATTGTTCTAGTGGAAAAAATAATAAGACGGTTCGATGACAAACCCGGTTTAAATTAAACCAGAATTTCAAATCGGGAAGGAAGAAAAAAAAAAGAGTCTCAGCTTCTCAGGCATGGCGATTGCTTCAACAGCCACCGTTATCTTCTGCTGCGCGAAACCAGATTTCCGGCGAATTCCGTCCCATTGCCGTTCACCTTCTCCGTCTTCCTCTCCTCTCACGACCTTAACCGAACCCGTAACTCGGATTCGGAGCCGTAGCTTAATCCATGATCCGATTTCGCTGTCGGGTCTGATCGGAACCGGTTTGGCGGCGGCTGCATTCGTCGCGACGGGACCAGATGCTACTGCTATGGCGGCGATGGATTCTCTTCAGCTAAGCGAACCGGCTAATGCGCTGTCTTTACCCACTTGGGCCGTTCATGTTTCCAGCGTTGTCGAATGGTTTCTCTTCTTCTTCTTCTTCTTCTTCTTCTTCTTCTTCTTCCTAGCTCTGTTGATTGAAATTCCACCTACATTTGATCAATTGTGACACGAGAGAGTATTTGGTGTTGTGGGTTTTACCAAGTTTTGATCTTTTTCAAGGAGTTTTTGATCTTTTACCAAATCAAACTATAATAGCTTCATGATTGAGACTTTGCATTAAGAATCTAAAATTTGTCATTAATTCAAGTCTTGTGCTGTTTATATTGATACTCAATACTTGTTATTACTTGCTTAAAAGGATTACGGCGATGGCGTTGGTATGGAGATATGGAGAAAGAAAAGGTTACGAGTCATGGAAAGGTCTCTCATGGGGAATGGTGAGAGAGCTATCTTAAGCTGTGTTTCCAGTAGTTTCTCAAAAGAATGATTTCATTTTGTGCTCGGTTTGAGAGTAGATTGTTGTTCTTGTTCAGGTGCCTTTGCTTGGTGGAGCTCTGTGTGCATGCACATGGCATTTCTTTTACAATGATGAATCTCTTGAGGTGAAGAAACTTCTTTAACTCTCACTTAGCTAAGACAATATATTGTGTTGCAATCATGAATTTTTCTTCTTTTTGTTGTGATAATGGTGGGATGCTATTGTTAGGTGTTGGTGGCGCTTCAGGCAGCACTAACTGTGATTGGGAACATTACTTTGTGCATCGCTGCCTTTCGAATCAACAAGTCCTCATCCAAAATGGAAATATCAGAAAAATCGTGAGCAATGTGCAGGTTACCGTCTCCAGTATATTCCTTTGTATACCTCACAAAACCCTGAGAACAATGTATGATTTCTCATAGCACATTGTATGTAATAAGCCAAATTCCATAGTTCGAATCTAAGAGAAAATCTAGAGAATGTTTGCTACTCTGAAATTTTTATTAGCACTTGAAAATACTTTTTAAGTTCTCAGATGTATTCTTGATCTCATTCGATAGTTCCTCAGTAACATCACATTATTGTGTTTAGAGAAAGCAAAGAATTGCTTGTCTCTTTGTTTCTGAAAGATATTTGAAAGCTTCAGTGGCTTCATCAAATCTACTTGTACATGATTGAAGAAATGTTAACCTTAGAAACCTCTTCAAATCTACCAAGTATATTCTTCTTTCGTATTGGAATCAGTTGTTGTCAAAAAAAAAAAAAAAAAAAAAAAAAAAAAAGTTATAATAATCAGTTTTGCAATAAAAGTCTCTCTATTTTAATTATGTGGTAAGAAATGGAAGTAGGCATTTAAAAATTAGTCTTTAACAAAGCAAGTGAGACAAAATTGAGAGTAATATTATTGAGTTTGAGTTTATAAATTGTACTAGCAGTTAAACATTTTTTCAGAAACAATAATAATTGAAAAATTAGTAGGAATTTAAAGATTGAGTTTGTGAAAGACTTTAATGAAATGGAGGGAGTAAAGAAAAAGCGAATCAGAAATGGAGTAAAGTTTTAGACACGGGAAAATACTTTGTTCCTTTGCAGCAAAAGGTAAAGCTCAAAAAATCTCTCTCTCTCTCTCTCTCTCTCCGAGCCAACTCGGTCCACACTCGGTAGCGACTCAATGGGTCAGGAGTCGTTTATCTACAGCTTCGTCGCGAGAGGCACAATGATTCTGGCAGAGTACACGGAGTTCACCGGTAATTTCCCGTCGATTGCTGCTCAGTGTCTCCAGAAGCTTCCTTCCTCCAGCAACAGCAAGTTCACTTACAACTGCGATCACCATACCTTCAATTTCCTCGTCGAAGATGGCTTCGGTTTGATTCCCTCTCTCACTCTCACTCTTCTCTTATTTTCTTTTCTCGAGGAAACGAACGAACAATTTCTCGAAAAGGTGCTGTTTTAGTTTGAAGCCAAGTTTTGGTATTGATGGATCTAGCTCATGATTAGCTTAGCTGATGTGCATCATCTGAATTCTGAGGTCATTTCATAGATTGGATTCGCATTACTAGGGGATTCAACAGTGTTTTGTGTGCTGATTTGATTGATTCCTTTTTTCTTCTTCTTCTTGCTGAATTGGTTTGGTTTCCTCTTGAAAATACCAATTACTACTAAAGAACACCTCAAATTCATGAGTGGACTCTTGTTCTCATTGAAGATTCAATTTTGGTAACAGAGAACACCTCAAATTCTTGAGTGTTTGGTAGTTTCTTTGTACTGTCTATTAGTATTTCTTGTTTTGTATGGTGAAAATCTTTCTACTCCATATAAAAAAGTTCCCATCTTTGGCATGCATGAGGTATGATTTGACTGAATAGTGCGGTCTCGGGATTGGAATCTCCCTATCTAGCACTATATGCAGGCTTTTAAGTTCTTAGACAGTGGTTATGTAACATTCTTGTTCAAGAAAAATCTACTTGTAGTTACTTCTGTCATGTTAAACAGCGAGAGATCTTTTGCTTTTATATGCTCTTTCCTTTGATCTTTACATGACATAGAAGCTGATAAATGCTTTGTGTCCTACTTCCTATACGACGTGTCCTCTAGAATATTCTTGACTGTGTTATATAGGAGCATTTCACTTAACATGAGCCTCCTTGAGAAATGACATAATTCATTTGATGTTTTCAGCATATTGTGTCGTGGCCAAAGATTCACTTAGCAAGCAAGTCTCGATCGCATTTCTGGAGCGTGTGAAAGCCGATTTCAAGAAAAGATATGGGGGCGGGAAAGCAAGTACAGCTATCGCCAAAAGTCTGAACAAGGAGTTCGGGTACTTACTTAACTTAAACCTTTTGAGAGACTACATAATGAATAGATTGTGAGAGATCTAACGAAAAATTGCAGGCCGGTTATGAAAGAACACATGAAGTATATTGTTGAGCATGCAGAGGAGATTGAGAAACTAATAAAAGTCAAGGCTCAAGTTTCAGAAGTTAAAAGTATAATGTTGGAGAATATCGACAAGGTAAGTAATAATGCTCATCAATTGGCTCTCATAGTTTCTACTGCATTCTCTCTTTTTAGACAACCAATCATTCTCCTTTGCTTTACCTTTTACAATCATGTCCCCTTGCAATTATGCTTGTTCATGTCCAAGATTGTTGATCTCTTTATCTTGATCTTGTTCTCAGGCAATCGACAGAGGGGAAAATCTAACGGTTCTTAGTGACAAGACCGAGAATCTACGCTCTCAAGTAAAAGGCAAACTTGACCTTTTTCTTGCTAAATTTTCATCTGAAAGAGTCAACTTTAATCTATGTTTGTTTGATTCTTTTTTAGGCGCAGGAGTACAAGAAACAAGGGACACAAGTGAGGAGGAAGTTGTGGTACCAGAACATGAAGATAAAGCTAGTGGTTCTAGGGATCTTGCTACTACTTGTTCTCATAATCTGGATTTCGGTTTGTCACGGGTTCAATTGCACGGATTGAAGACTCAACAAATCACTCGGAAGAATGTGATGTTAGAGGCTTTGACGGAAATGGCGACAGAGACTAAAGTCTCCGGCAGAAAGAGAGAGGAGCTCATAGGAGGGAGAGAGAGAGAGGGAAACCAAACGGTACCATATATATTGTAAGGTTTTGAGACTTCGGATGTTGTGTCATTAAAAAGTTTTATTTATGAGAACCATTCACATCTTTTATTTAAATTCGCATATGTGGATACTCAGAGGGCACTCACAAAACAGAGACTAACACAAACAGATTCATAAAAACTGAGACTTTCATAGATCCAACACCATGTTCCACAAAACTTGTAGCAGCTACATACTTTTAAAACCTCAAAAAAAACTTAAAACAACAAGCAGAATCAAAGCTACGATCCCGAAAAAGAAAAAGATAAAACCTTTCAACATTTGTTTTCTTCAGAGCTCGTCTTCATCCCTCAAATACTCCCCAATATCAGCTTGGTGAAGCACAACGATACCATTCGGATCCGATTTCCGGCAGTACCTTCTGCAGGATCTCCATATGATTTCTGTAGTCGCTACTTGGCACCTAAAGTAGGAATCGATGAGGTATATAAATGAGTCTGAATAGTGTGTTTCCATGGACACAAACCGTGACCAAGATCTTTAGCTATCATATCTAGTCTTTCCTCTTAGATTGAGAACGACGACTGGTCAAAACAGCAAAAAGAACATTGCCTCTTTTGTTTTTTTACTGTGTGTTCATCAGGACCCTGTTACTGGAAGTGCGCATTGTGCCTTAGCACATTACTGGAGCATCAAGATGAACAAGTGTGATTTCTTAGCCTAATAATGTATAGAAAAGTCAAGAAAGGCACCCAACAAGAGAAGCAAAATCACGTAAACAAAATCACATAGTATGAAAAGTCAATAACGTCACACCATTATCCTATTATTATTCAAAATAGGCGACACAAAAAAATCGTCCTTGTATAAGAGTAGACACACCAGTGACCAGTCCTCTTCTTCAATTCATCGTCATCATCATCCTCACCATCTCTAATAATGGCGTCTTCTCTGATCATCTATTCAGCTCTTCTTCTCTTCATCATCTCATTCTCATCAACCTCATTTGCTCAACGACCAAAAGCTCTCCTACTCCCAGTCACAAAAGACCAGTCTACCCTCCAATACACAACCGTCATCAACCAACGCACGCCTCTCGTCCCCGCCTCCGTCGTCTTCGATCTCGGTGGTCGACAACTCTGGGTCGACTGCGACAAAGGCTACGTCTCCACCTCTTACCAACCCCCTCGCTGCAATTCCGCCGTTTGCTCACGCGCCGGCCCCTCCGGCTGCGACGTATGCTACTCTCCTCGAGGACCTGGCTGTAACAACAACACTTGCGGCTCACTTCCAGAAAACACCGTCACCGATATCGCGACCTCCGGCGAGATTGCTTTAGACGTTGTGTCGATTCAGTCAACTAACGGGTCGAATCCGGGTCGGGTCGTTCAAATCCCCAATTTAATCTTCTTTTGCGGCAGAACATTTCTGCTTCAAGGCCTTGCTCGTGGAACCGTCGGCATGGCTGGAATGGGACGCCACAACATCGGACTGCCGTCGCAATTCGCCGCCGCGTTTAGTTTCAATCGTAAGTTCGCCGTGTGTCTCCCTTCTGGAGGAGGAAGAGGCGTCGCCTTCTTCGGCAACGGACCCTACGTGTTCCTCCCCGGAATCGAGATCTCCGGACTCACAACCACGCCGTTGCTTATCAATCCGGTGAGCATCGACACTGCGTACACGCCAGGCGAGAAATCGTCCGAGTATTTTATCGGCGTAACGGCGATCAAAATCACCGAGAAGACAGTTCCGTTCAACACATCGCTCTTGAAAATCAACGGTGATACCGGATTCGGAGGAACCAAAATCAGCACCGTGAACCCGTACACGGTGATGCAGACATCGATCTTCAACGCATTCACATCGGCGTTCGTCAGAGAAGCCGCCGCGAGGAACATCACTCGAGTGTCGACGGTTGCTCCGTTCGGCGCGTGTTTCAGCGCGAAGAACGTCGGCGTCACGCGCCTGGGATACGCCGTGCCGGAGATTCAGCTCGTGCTTCAGAGCAATGACGTCGTTTGGAGGATCTTCGGAGCGAACTCGATGGTGGGCGTCAGTGATGACGTCATCTGTTTGGGTTTCGTTGACGGAGGAGTCAACGCGAGAACCTCTGTCGTCATCGGAGGGTACCAGCTGGAAGACAATTTGATCGAATTCGATTTGGCGGCTAACAGATTTGGGTTTAGTTCCACGTTGTTGGGCCGTCGCACTACTTGTGCCAACTTCAACTTCACTTCCACTGCTTGATTTCCTTATTTTGATAAAGCAATGATTCAGAGTGTCTGTTACTGTTATTATGGCATGGGACTATAACTAATAAAGGATATAGTTTTGAAGCCAAATTTTGGTATGATGGATCTAGCTAGTGATTAGCTTTAGCTGATGTGCATCATCTGAATTCTTAGGTCATTTCTTAGACTGGATTCGCATTACTAAGCGATTCAACAGTGTTTTGTGTGCTGATTTGATTGATTCCCTATTTTTTTCTAGTATCAACAAATGAGGTGAATTCTATCTAAGTTTGTTAGAATTATGTGGACTTTTGTTCTCTTTAAATATTCAAAATTGGTAACAGAACATTCATGGTAGTTTCTGCGTACAAAACGGTACCAGTGTACAACATATATATATCTTGTAAGGTTTTGACTTTAAATGTTGTATCATTAAAAGGTTTTATTTATAAGGACCATTCACATCTTCTATGTAATGTACTTTTATACTTTTCTTTCTTTGAATCCGAGACAAGACTTGAGAGTTAAAATCGAGAAACAGTAAACAAAATATACGCCCACCGTGGGGCTCGAACCCACGACCACAAGGTTAAGAGCCTTGCGCTCTACCAACTGAGCTAGACGGGCTTTGCGATAGTCTTTACCAAACCCATTATATCAACAATTGCACAATTTTCAAATCAAAAGGGCCAAAACTGAAGTTGCATCTTTTTTGTGCTTACAAACGACGCGAGACTTTGCACTTTGGCAGAAACAAAGAGCAAGACTTAGGGTTCGAGTGCACTTTGGAGCTACTGTATCTTACGGTTTGAACAAAACCCAATTTTTAGTCTTCTAGACATTTCTTTCGGCTGTATTTAGTCAAGAGTCAATGTTCAAAACGTAAGATAGCTCAATGCTCACGAACACTCGTGATGTGAGAATTTTCAGTGTCTACAACATATTTTGTCAAGAGTCAAAAACACTTGCAAAAGTTTTCATGGAAAAGTTATGCAATCTGTCTCAATCACGAGCAAAGATCTTCCATTGAAATGTTATGTCTCAATAAGATTTCAAGGAGGCTCGTGCGCCAGATCAACGCACCATGATAACACATCTCAAGTGTTTCATCACAATGAGCTCATTTACTTTACCAAACAGATACTTCTATGTGCTTACTTAAGTGAAAATCGTCAAGGTTCTGATTTCGAACATTTTGAAGCTTTTGGGCTATTAAATCTTGAGCAATCAAAGCTGTTCAGAGAATTAAAATTCGCATTTGTTGATACTCAGAGGGCACTCACAAAACAGAGACTAACACAAACAGATTCATAAAAACTGAGACTTTCATAGATCAAACACCATGTTCCACAAAATTTGCAACAGCTACATACTTTTAAAACCTCAAAAACTTAAGACAACAAGCAGAATCAAAGCTAAGATCCCAAAAAAAAAGATGAAACCTTTCAATCTTTTTTTCTTCAGAGCTCGTCTTCATCCCTCAAATACTCCCCAATATCAGCCTGGTGAAGCACAACGATACCATTCGGATCCAATTTCCGGCAATCCTGCGTGCTCTTCGCCGCAATCCCAAACCCTAGCGGAACATCAGACATCGAGAACACCACAACTCCATCTCCGGGGACGATGCTATCAGTAATCCTCCCTAACCCTCCTTTCAACACATGGTTCCCGTACAGAAACGACATCTCCGCCGTGGGTTTTAGCCATACCTTGTGCTTGGCGTTCGCCGCCAAGAGATTGAGCGACATGATGTTCAGGTGGAAGCTCCCGGCGTGGGTGTATTTGCCGATGCAGGTTCCGAGCGAGACCAGGTTTTTCCGGGAGATGTTTGTGGCTCGCTTGACGAGAGACTCGCTGACGTAGTAGACTCTGTTTTTCTGGAGGCGGAAGCAGTAGCGGCCGGCTTCTGCGTCGGGTCCTTCGTTCGATGGGTTCTCGACGATGTTCTTGAGGTTGTTGCCGACGAATTTGTAGAGCTTCTCGAAGACGACGGTCGTCTCGGTCTCGTCTAACGGCCGCATCTTTTGGGGTTGAGGAGAGGAGGATTGGTTCGGAGAAGAAGAAGCTCTCTGTTTTTGAGATTGAGTTCTCTAGGGTTTAGGGGATTTAGTACCAAACACCTAATTCCGCCGACAAGATTTTCTAATTTCTAATTTGGTCCTTCAACAAATTAGTTATTAGCATTCCAATCCCTGAGTTGTTTGTAAACCAAATTAGAGCACTAAATTATACCACAAAATTAGACCAAATCGAACCGAACCAAACCAAAATCGTTTTGACACTCAAATCACATAACATTAAAAAACTAAATAAAGAAATTTCAATACAACAAATATTTCAGAATCGAGAGTAGAATCGCGACTGAAATATAACATGTTGAAAGTAAAGTTTTCATTTCAATTTGGGTATAATTCCATGATCCAAAAAGAATAAGCGCCATAAATTATATTGTGGAGCTTAAATCCAGCTTTCATAGCCAAAAGCCTTAAATTCCTCCTTGGTTCTCTCTTTGCCCCCACGCGTTAAACACAACACCTTCACATCTGCATGAAATGTATTCTTGGTTGCAATATCGGTTTCCGATATTTCTTGCGGCACTATCATTTCAATTACAAGTATTTTTCCAGTTTCTGGCAATGCTTTCTTACAGTTTTTCAATATCTCCACGCATTTATCATCGCTCCAGTCATGAAGTATCCACTTAATCATGAAAAAAATGATTAGTCTCGTTAATATCATCTTCTTCTTTTGTTTGTCTACTAAATTAGAAGTATGGAATTCAAATCGATATACCTTCATCAATATGGCCTGGCCTCGTGGAATTTCATCAAACATATCACCACCAATGTGTTCCATGCCTGCAGGAAAGATTGTTGATCTAATCATTCAAACAATTAACTAGGCAGTTTATGCGTTTTAGATTGTCTTGGAAGTGATATGATGTTTAAACTATACTCTCCCTCCATTTAAGTTTATAAGATGTTTTAGCGTTAACTATACAACTTATAACTAAAGAGTAAAAGCAAGGAAAGGACAACAAGAAAAAGTTACCATGGATTTGAGGAGCTTCTAGGACGACGTGAGGCAAGTCAAAGTTAACGCCTTTAAGATGTGGGAACTTGGAGAGAACTTGGGCAAGATTAGTGCCTATGTCACCTCCTACATCAACCAAAGTGCAATCTTTCATACTCTCAAAGCCATCGTAGTTCTCTAATATTTTCTTCATTACGTACGTATGACTCTCCATCGCTTCGTTAAAATTTCCCATGAAAAACTCATTTTCCTTCATGAAATCAAAGAACAATGCCCCATGAGCTCTCTCCCATGCAGATGCTCCGCCTTCTCGTATTGAGTCTGTGAGGTAAGACCTTTTTTTTTTGCAATGAAACTCGTATTAGCATATCTCATTAGTAATTGCAAAGTTTCTATCAGATTTATTTGCCATCGCTAATTTTGTGTATTCTAAAATACTGAGTAAACCAAAGTATCAAATTTTTATGATTTAAAAAATAATAATTATTATACTATACAATATCTACTGATTGATTTATTAGATTTTGATTTAATATAGACATATAACTGTAACATTGATTAATTTTTAATGGTTTGACATTGTTAATTGTAAATCTCTCAAATTTTGACCGGTAGATATTTTTTCTATTAGTGTATCATAATCATACCATATAGTTCCGTTGGTTTGTATACAGGACAAAATCACATATGGTGCAATTGAGATTCCATCTTCATCCTTAACGAACTTCTTTCCAACTTTCCCTAGACCATACGTCCTTGTGTCTCTTCCTTCTTCATCCTGCACCAACTTACAAGTGCACACCGAATATGCGATAAGGAGGCGTAGCAATCGATCAATCATCACCGGAGCATCTGGTTTTTAGGCGCAGCCTTGGAAGCCAAGTCCAACGGTGACAGATGGGTCCGTAAGGGTATGGCCTTAGCCATAATCTCAAACAAATCTAAGTCTCTAGCAGTTTTCACTGCATAAGGGACAAGGCCTATCCCGGCAAGTTGTATGGCTAGTAACATGTCTTCTTCTTCGTTTGAAGATTCTCTGGAATTTTGTAGAGAATTCATTTGTGAAAAAAAAAATATTTCAGTCGAAGAATGCTTTGTAAAATGAATTGGGGAAGAGATATGGAAGCTGTTAAGCAAGCAACTGGCCCCTGTTTATATAACAGATGCGATATGTTTAGATACTATACAAACCACTTTTTTTTTATAAATGCTTAATAAGAAAATGTAGAGCGTTGGAAATTAAATGAAATGTATTATTGACAATACAGCACATCCCTATATTAAATTCCAGATATTTCTTTTGTAACATTCTATTAAAGCAATTATTTTAATTATGGACTCGAGAATTGTCAAACAATAGCAGCCTAATTCTAAGTTTGGATCTGCCTCCACTTAGGGCCTGACTGGTTTAACTGCTGCGGTTGCGGTTACGGGAGTTTGCGGAAGCGGGCGGTTGTGATTAGTAGCGTTATTAAGCGGTTTGTACGACTGGCATAACAATTGAAAATGGATGCGTTTGCGGGATACTTATGACTGGTTCACTTGCGGATGCAATAGCGGTTAAACAATAAATTAATAATATAAACACATTATATAATTATAAAAATATCAAAACTATATTATAATGAAAATTTTAAATTTATGGTTCAACATAATTAAAAATAATTTTTTATAAAGAATAATATGTGTATATACGTCTATCTTTAATTTCTATAATTTAAATAAAAAGTGATTTTATTTTCAAAATATATATTTAATGTGAAAATTAAATTTTATTACAATTTTATTTAATTAGATATTATATGATATATATGTATGTATGAAAGAATATTTATCAAGAGAATTTTGATTTGTAGAACTTATAAATATATAAGTATGATATGATTTTAATGAATATTGACTAAAAGTACTAATTTTTTTTTATATTGTGATTTTATTATCCAAATCTTATTTTTTAATAAAGATTATTATTTATTTTCGGATTTTATATAAGTTTGTGTTTTTTTTTTTTTTTATCCACCGCAACCGCCCGCAACCGCAAACGCTGATGGAAGGAGCTTTTGATTTTGAGGGATGTTGAGGGATCTTGAGCGGTTTGAAGCGGTATAAACGTTTGTGGTGATTGTTGTCAAACGCCAATAACCGCTACTACCCGCAAACGCATATCAACACCCAATGGCGAATCCAGAACATTTTTTTAATGGGGTCATATGGAGATTCAATCATTATTTTTATGGGGTCATAGGCGTTTTTCTACCATTTTATTATAAAAACTTAGCAAATTTTAAGCTAAATAATTTTTTCTGTAAAACCTTTACGGTGTCACTTGACCCCGTAACGTTACATGTGGCTTCGCCACTGTCAACACCTAAACTCACTGATTGACGATAAACATTTCATCTCTCTAACCTTTTTATATATATAAAAAAAAAAATCTCTCTAATTCTTTGCAAAAAAAAACATTTTCATCTCTGCCTCCACTTAAACTCACTTTAACATATCATAATTGATTGATTAATAAACACGTTGGTTGCATATTTTTAATTTACTGTTGGTCTAACAAGACTTTAACCAATTATCATCCATAGGTTAATTTTTGTGGACATTGGTGGGACTTTTAGCTTTAAATATTTGTCTGCATACTGCTGATGACATATTTTCTAATGGGTAAGAGTGTAAGACTTAAAAGATATACGTGGATTACTGTGGGTCTTGTGAGATTAGTCTTTGAGCCTAGAAAACTTTTAGGATCACCAACTATTATCAAAAAAAAAAAAAAAAAAACTTAAAAGATATATAAAAAACATATATAAAGTCGTAAAGTTTGGAAAAAGGAGACATGGAGAAGAAAAATGGAAGAATTTCACAAATTTCATTTGCTTATTAAGGCCCTAACTGGTACCTGAGGAATGCTGCAGAATTGAGGAATGTTGTGGAATATTTTAAAAATGTTACCAGTTAACTATGCAGAATTGTGAAGAATTGAGGAATGTGGAATTGAAGAATCTATCACTAAAAGACAAAACATGTGATTTTTTAAATAATAATAATTGTGTGTAAATTTTAATACAATTACTAATTTTTATTATTATAAAGTAAATGATTTAATTTTATATTTCCCAGAATCTAAATTTGAAAATTTTCAACAAAAATTGTATTCTGATATGATCATTTCTGAATATTCAGGTTTTTAAATTGTCTGAAATGGAATCTTCATAATAAATTATGGATCTAAAAAATAAATTTACATAGATGAATCAAAGTAATGATAAAAATTGTGTGTAAACTTTAATACAATTACTAATTTTTATTATAATAAAGTAAATGATTTAATTGTATATTTCTAAGAATCTAGATTTAAACATTTTCAACAAAAAATGTATTCCGATTCGATCAGTTCTGAATATTCAGGTTTTAAAATTGTCTGAAACGGAATCTTAATAATAAAACTATGGATCTAAAAACAAATTACAAATATGAATCAAAAAAATAATAATAATGTTTGGAATAGCATATCCGAATTGAGGTGATGTACCTAATACAGTAGAAACTCTATAAATTAATAATGTCGGGACTTTGATATTTTATTAATTTATAGAGTTATTAATATATAGATTTTGACTAAAAATATTTTCAAAAAATAAAATTCAATATTAAATCAGAAGTTTCCTTTATAATATTTTCTTAACTTTTTTTCTGATGTTTCTATATTTACTTTATTTTCACATTTTCTCATACTTGCCATATTATATAAAATTCCTTTTTTGCTTTTAATTTCCATATATGTTTGGTATGTGAGAGATTCATATTTTAGTAGTTAGATATTTTAGGTGTATATATATAAATAAAAATAATTATTAATTTATGATATTATTGGGACCATATTTTACATAGGAGTTTAAAAAAAGTTATTATCTTATTATCTTATCGAATTGTGTCATATTTTACACCGGCCCAACTCGGGACCAGAGAAATTTATTAATTTATCGTGTTTATTAATTTATCGAGTATTAATTTATAGAGTTTCTACTGTACATGTTTTATTATAAGTTATAATAATATCTACTATATATTTTTAAATAATTATAACACATATATTTTGTACGAAAACAAGAGAACAACGAATGGTGTCTATACCACTTAAAACAATAAACTCAATTATAAGAAGATTTAATATAGATTTTTAGATTATTATACCACTTAAAATTTATATGAATACAAATTCAGCAACAAAACAACAAAAGAAATTAAACAACAACAAAGCATTCCACGCTCAAGAGTAGAATCGTTTTTAACATAACATGTTAAAAGTAAAATATTCATTTCATATTGGGGATAACTCAAGGATCCAAAAAGAATAAGCGCCGTAAATAAACTTTGGAGGCTTAAATCCAGCTTTCATAGCCAAAACCTCAAATTCCTCCTTGGTTCTCTCTTTGCCTCCATTCGTCAAACACATCATCATCGTATCTAATAGCAATGCGTTCTTGGTTGCGATATCGGTTTCTGATATTTCTCGCGGCACTATAGTTTCGATTATAATTATTTTTCCAGTTTCTGGCAAGGCTTTTTTACAATTTTTCAATATGTCGACGCATTTTTCATCGCTCCAATCATGAAGTACCCACTTAATCATGTAGAATAAAAAATAAATTTGATGAGTATCAGAAGTAATCACTTATTCATGCAAGTATTGTGAAATAGCTAGGTAGGGGCAATATAATTTAACTACTTAAATATGTTTTGAAATTTAATTAGAAATTTGGAATTAAATTTACAGTATAATTACCTTCATCAATATGGCTTGACATCGTGGAATTTCATCAAACATATCGCCACCAATGTGTTCCACGCCTGGAGAGAGTTGATTTAGTCATTCAAACAAGTAACTAGGCACAACCAACGTTCTAAACGACATGTACGTAAACTATAGTCACTCCTATTTGGTTTATAAGATGTCTTAAAGATAACTTTATACAATTTTTTCTTCTTCTATTTTCGCTGTTCACTCAAAATATCTTATACGAAATTATATATTCGATAAGAATATGTCTCAGTCAACTAGACGAGAGTTGTTAATTTACCCCTCGAACAAACATCCACCGTATATTTTTAATATTTATTTAGTATTAATAATCACTAAGTAAAAACAAGAAAAAGGACAAGTTTACCATGAATTTGGGGAGCTTCTGAGACGACGTGAGGCAAGTCAAAGTTGACACCTTTAAGATGTGGGAACTTGGAGAGAATTTGGGCAAGATTAGCGCCTACGCCACCTCCTACATCTACCAGGGTGCAATCCCCCACACTCTCAAACCCATCGTAGTTCTCTAATATTTTCTTCATAACTATTGACGTATGAGTCATCATTGCTTCGTTGAAACTTTCGAAGCTATCTTCATTTTCCTTCATGTGTTCAAAGAACAATGGCCCATGAGCTCTATCCCATGTGGTCGCTCCGCCTTCTCGTATTGCGTCTGTAAGGTGAGACCTTTTCTTGCAAGTTAAGAAACGCGTATTAGCATACATACCTTTATCATATTCATCTATTTACTGGTTTTAGTTTTGTTAAAAAAAATTACTAAAGAAACCATAATACCAAATTCATATGACTTTAAAATTTATTATAACGTATCATGCACATACCATACAGTTCCCTTGCTTTGTGTACAGGACAAAAGCACATATGGCGCAATTGAGATTCCATCTTCATCCTTAACGAATTTCTTTCCAATTTTCCCTAGTCCATATGTCCTTGAGTCTCTACCTTCTTCATCCTTCACCAACTTACAAGTGAACACCGAATATGCGACAAGGAGGCGTAGCAATCGATCAATCATCACTGGACCATCTGGATTCTTCGGCGCAGCCTTGGAAGCCAAATCCAACGGTGAGAGATGGGTCCCTGAGGGTATGGCCTTAGCCATAATCTCAAAAAACCCTAAGTCTCTAGCAGTTTTCACTGCATAAGGGATAAATCCCATCCCGCCAAGTGTCATGGCTAGTAACATATCTTCTTCTTCTTTTAAAGATCCTGTGGAGTTTTGTAGAGGATTCATTTTTGACACACAAAAACAAAAAGAGTCCAAGTATGGTTTGTAAAATGAAACGGGGAAGAGATAAAGCTGTCAAGCAATTTGCCCCTATTTATAGTTTACTGATGATTGCCAAATGAGAGACTCGTTAATATTTTTTTTGTATAAAAACCCAAGCTGTTTTTTTAATGCTTAATAAGAAAAGATAATGCAGAGCATTAATGACTAACAAGATAATTTACAGTACAGCACATCCGTATGTAAAACGACTTCACGAACTTCAACATATTTATAAAAAAACATGATTTCACGACTATGTATATAAATCCTTCGAAAAGGCTCCACGACTTATGCCAGCTATAAGCCTAATAGCCTATAACATATGCATGCTAGATGATCGGTATGTTTTATTCGGGAGCATAAAGTTTATTTTAAGGATTACAAAAGAGAAAATCACATTTTTGAACTCTCAAAGTAGAAACGGTCATATCGCCCGATCATCTTGACGCACGACCTGTCCTCTACTTGATGAACATGCACGACGTACGAGGCTTGCTGTCATCCACTTGATGAACGTGCACGCACTAGTAAACGTGATTTTCATGTTGCACGTTGTAGAGGCACACATATAACCTATTTTCTATTGGGTAAGACTTAGAGACATAAATAAAGTCGTAAAGTTTGGAAAAGGAGAAATCAAAGAAGAAAATTGGAAGAATTCGGACATAGTAATTAGTAATAGTGGGAAGAAGAATGCTGGTCTTGCAACTTCGACTGCTCTTCACATGCTAGTTTCATTTATGTTGGTAATTTTCATGAATTAACTAAGTTGCTTATTTAGCTTATTAAATAAGCATACATAGAAGACTAAAACTACTGAAAGAGGTGAAATCATGCGTGACGGAGGAGTCCATACAATGGTTTGTGGATCTAATGACGACAAAGGGAAAGGAAGACTAAATATCTTGACGGACGGAGCATGCATAATATCGGATGGGAGAAGTTTCCGAATTTGGGGGAAACCAGTCTACGGAGGAATCGGCACGGTCGTAGTTGGGCATTTTCCGGGGTCTAGCTTCTTCTCTTGGCTTCAGAACAAAAAAGGTGAGAGTTGTACCGGTTTGTTTGCCATAGAAGGCGATGAAGAGGTTCCTGGAAGAGCTTGACGGCGTATTTAACCGTCAAATTGTATCTAATGAAGGAGGCAAAAGCCCTAATTAAGAAAGTGATCATGTCTTCTTTGTAAATAGCTATAATTTATGGAATCACTGTCTTACAAAGTGTCTTGGTCAATGTTAAACTTTGTACGTGTAACCATTTTTTATATTGTTAATTAAAAAAATGGTTTCCATTTCACGACCAAAACAAAGGTTTCCATTCATAGCATTCTAGTGTCACCACAGAGATGGTCTCGGAAGTAATATGAAGGTTTGGTGAAGGCACCACCAACGTTTGAACCGATCGACATGTAAACTATACTCACTCCATTTTGGTTTATAAGATGTTTTAGAGCTAATTTATACAATTTCTTTTTTCTATTTGTGCCGTTAACTCAAAATTATCTTATAAACGAATTAGAAATGGTATTCTATAAGAATAGGTCTCAATCAACGGACAACAAGGGGTAATAAAATCTAAAATCTAAAATCTAAAATGAAAATTTAATTGTGCATCATGTCCTCACCATTCTTACAATGGCTTAGGATATTTTCATTGTATATCATATAGAAAGCCACATATACCAGCTTATGTAATGCTTGTAAGTTGTAACCAAACCTTTGTCTCATATACTCATATACCTAACACATTTATTTCCAGAGATACATATTTTGATTACTCTAATTCCAATAGCCAAACACATTAAATCATTCTAAACTTGCAAAAGATAATTATTTTGAATTAAATCTTACCAAATCTATAAAAAAAAATATCTACATACAAAATATAAAAGTTTTTCATTTCTTTCTAAACAAAATCTTCAGTGCATCTGATGGGTTCCATTCTTGGGACAATAATGTTCGGCTGTGCTCGAAGTCAGTGCCGGTTTGGTTACATGATTGTGGAGGAAGTTAGGTCAAGGCGGTGTGAATATTATCTCCTCCTCTTTTTTCAAGGAATCGAATTGACAAGGCAGTTTATTAGTAGTTTAGTACGATGGGAGAAGAAGATGGGGATCTCTCGACGGGGACGTATCTCACCGGTTGCTTAATTAAAGCTTCGTCGCCGGTCACGATTCACGAAGCTCTTGTTTGTAGTTTTGTAGTTTGTTTCTCTTTCGTGATGTGAAGGGAAAATTGGCAATTTACCCCAAAATGAAACTTCTTTTGTCCCACTACACCTTCCCGTTTCCACTTTGTCCTAATACTTTTTTTTAACACTTTTCTCAGTTTTGCTCTTCTTTTTCGTTTTGTTACAATTTTCGTTTTTTAAATTTAAAATATATTAAATAAAAATTAAAATGAACAAAACCAAACTGATTAAAAAATAAACCGAAAAAAAACAAAACTTATTCTCTTCTTCTCTCCTTCTCTCACGACGGCGCCGGAGGCGATCGAAAACCTAATCGCCGTTTTCGTTGTTTTCTCCTTCTCCACCATCTCTGCTCTCCTCCGAAGTCCTTCCTTGCTTTCTCATTCACCGTCACCGATCGAAAACATTTCTCTCATTCCTGCGCCGGTGGCGAAACCCTAATCCCTTTTCAATCCGAGAAAAAACTTCTCTTTCTCGCCGTGTTCTCCTCCTCCGTCTCTTGTGTTCTCCTTTTCTCCTGATTCACTTCATCTGCTCGTCATTCGGAGAGTCTGCTCGCGATTCATTTCCTTTTGTTGCGATTCACTTCAACACGGCGTTTCATTGTACTCGCGATTCACTTCATCTGCTTAGTGACAAGGTTAGTTTGAGTTCGTGGTGTCTTCTATTCACCTCAATTGCGTCTTCTCTTCACACAATTTTTGTAGAAATAGATTTGCAATTGAAAATTTGATGATTTACAATTTGGGTTTGAGATAGCTGGCTGACATGAAAATCGATCTTGGGTTTCAATATCAGCACTCATATATGCGTTTCTGTACCATTTACTGCAATATTGATCTTGATAATCATTTGATTGTAGTCTTGTTCAAAGCTATATTTGGTTTGTTGATGAATTCGATACTTTCATGGATATGTTTGATGAAATTGATGAACTTTGTGTCTAGGGCCTGCTTAGATAGATTGTCTAAAATGATTTACCCTTTGTAGACGTTAGCTGAATGTCTTGACAAGCTACTTAATTGACTGTGATCCAGTACCATGTGTTTGTTCGATTCTTTGCATTGATACATGCAAACGATTTGATGAATTGTTTAAGGGAGCATTTTGTTGTTGACCTTGTTACATTTTCATTGCATTTTGGTTGGAATTTTATTTCTTCACTTTGGATATTGGTTTTTTTGTTCATTTTTATCCACAATATTGAAGATGAAGAACCAAAAGATGTATTGTAAAGACAAGCATAAACCACAGTAAATAAGAGTTCAAATGCATGAGTATTTTCGGATGCAATTACTTGAAGCTAAAAACGACGTCGTTATCTCCGTATAAACAGAACGAAGTAGTTTTTCCTTAAAAACAGAAACGACGTCGTTTAGTTTATCTTCTCCAAAACCTAATTCAAGTGACGAACTCGACGAGACGAACAATACGAATTGAGGAAAGTTCTCAAACGAAAGATCCAGGGTTCTTAGATGTCTTCTTCAACCAGTTCGGGTAAGCAATTGGAGATTATGTTCTTACAAATCCAACATGATAATATGGAGATAATCTATTGTCCGTTATCGTGTAGGAGTGAGCAACTTAAGACGCCGTGGAGGTGAAGGAGGGAAAGGTATTCCCAGAAATTGTCGATGTGGAGAAAAAATTATAATGTTAACTTCAGAAACAATTACCAATCCGGGGAGACTGTTCTATATATGTCCGCTTCGGTCCAAAGTGGTAAGGTTCATAATCGATTGTAGTTTCAAATTTCTATTTAAGATAGAGAATGACGCTTCATTAGATTTGAGGAATTTGGATTTTCGTTGCAGAGTAAAAACCATTTGTTCAAATGGACGGACATCCCAGTAGTTGAGGAGATGGAAGAGGTTAAAAGTGTGCTTGAGAAGATGGAAGAAGAGAATGACAATCTAGCAATGGAAACTAGGACATGTGAGGCTGTCGCAAATCGCTTTGGAGATGACGTTAAAGAGATCAAAACAGTTGTAGACGGATGTCTGAAAGAGATTGAAGAGCTTAAAGCAGTTCTCAGTTGTCGTGATGAAGAGATGCATGAGCTTAAGTATGGCCTGAAGTGTTGCAGAAACGTGATTGTGTGTGGTTTGGGAGTGGTTTTGTTCTTCTTTTTCACAGCAGCTTGAGTCGAGATCGAGTTTAATGTATATGGTTTGGTATTTGTTGTATTTGGTACTGACAAGTGATTCTCGTTTTGGTAACAAGTTTGTGCACTTGACTTATGGTAATGGTAATGGTTGCATTTTGTTAAAGTTGTTTCTTAAAACAGAGAGCACATGATCTCAGAATCATATGAAAGACCATATCCCTGACATACAAAAGACCTTATCCATTGTTGAAACAAACAAAGACCATATCCTGACATTAAAAAGCTGAAATGTGAAACAAAATAACACCATAATCAGAAGCATATCAAAGACCACATCAGAACCAAAACAAAAGCAAAAAAATATCCGAGGCACCACTCCAACAAACCTCCTCATATCCTTAGCTCCATGTTCCCCATACTCTCTCGAGCCACCTACAAAATCAGCAAAATCCACCAAAATCACAACAATTCCACAAGAAGGCGTAATGAAGAAAGGTTTAGGCTGGAAAGAGAACATACATTAGCTCAACTATATAGGCATATCACAGGTTGCTCTGTTGTGGCCGGGCTTATCACATCGACTGCACTTGTGTATCTTTTTAACTTTTTGTGCGACCTTATCTTGTCCTCAACTGTTTCAAATCGTCGTTTTCTTCTTCTACCGGCAGCTCTGCGTGATTCAGGACAAGTAACAAGTTCGTCTTCAAGATCTTTCTGGAACACACCATGCATCCTCAGGAACACCCATTGGGTTAATAGCTTCCTCATACCCTACTCTCCAGAACTCAGTTTTGAACACATCATCACTGTATTCATGTGTTGCTTTCCTATCAAGAAAATAGCTCTGATTGCATGCCTACAGGGAAGTTTTCTGCAGATCGTACTTGGCACAAGTACATGTTCGTTTCGCCAAATCAACCACACATTGGTAGATGTCACCGCCAACCACAAATCTATTTGCATCAATCTGCTGAATTGTAAACTGTTTACCCTTTTCAATTCTTCTGTAATCTTCATCTCAGCAGCCTCGGTTAGAGGGTGGTTATGCTTTGAGCTCAATGTCCTGCGCTCATAGAACCACCTTGTCAACATTTCTCTGATGCTGTCCAGTAGAGGGATTACTGGGAACTCTCTAGGTGATCTCAATGCATTATTTAAGGACTCAGCTGGGTTAGTTGTCCTAATGTCGTACCTGTATCCAACAAAAAGACAACGAGCCCACTTTTTCACATCAGCTTTCACTAGATATCTTGCAACATCGGTCTGTTCTTACACACATCAGTCATTATCCTCTGGAAATCAGCAATTCTGTATGCCTTAGAAGCATTTGCAACCAGACCAGCCACACCTTTTCCATGGTAGATGGGAGATGACATTGTTCAGCAAATGGTGGATGCAGATTCCATGGCTTGCTCGTTGGTAGACAATACGTATTGCTCTAGCAATGGATGGATTTCTGTCTGAGATAAAAGCCAAGGTGTAGTCATCCTCGATAACAACATGCAGCTGCCTCAAAACCATTCCCATGAGTTATCATTCTCTGAATCAACCACACCAAATGCTAATGGATACAAATTAGAGTTACCATCTAAAGCTGTAGCAACTAGTAGTGTTCCCCTGTATTTATTCTTCAAGAATGTCCCATCAACAACGATGACCTGCCGCATCACTTTGTGGAAGCCTCTAATTGACTGACCATAAGCAATGAACATGTATCTGAAACTACCATCAGGATCAGTTTTATAAGCAGTATGAGTACCCGGATTAGCTTCCTTTGCCATGTGCAAGTACATTGGTATTTTACCATAACTCTCCTCTGGTATACCTCTCACACAATTGACAGCATACTCGCGTGCCTCCCATGCCAGATCGTAGGAAATCTTGCATCCGTGCTCTGTACGCATCAGCTGTATAATGTCATTTGGTTTAGGTCCTTCTTTGACACCTTCATACCTCTGTAAATGAGATTGCCAATTGTTTTGGCAGAGGCTGTCCTACCATTTTTGGTTTTAGTGAAGGAGCACAAGTATGTTCACCCACATACTTCTTGATGACAAACAAGGTGGTACCCTTTAGATTCGCTGCTCGAACAACCAAATGCATTCTTTTTCAGCACACCGAGCTGTCCAAAACTTCCTATCTGATTTGGAACCTTGTAGTCGAAGTTGTGCTTCATTGCCAGGAGTTCGAAACATGATATCAACTGATTCTTGCATCTGAATTCTTGCTTAACCTTCACAGCTTCCACCAACGCCAACCGAAATTGATTATCATAATCAATTTCCTTTTGAGACAATACTTCCTCATCATCATTGATTTTCCTTTCCCTTTGTTGATCTCATCTTTGACCGGGAAAACCCATCACTTGGAGGTACACTACCAAGAGATCACCAATGTCGTCAATGTTCACTTCATTATTACCATTGTGATCCTTAAGTTGCCAAACACAACTGTTTGGACTCTTGCTTCCGGATGTAACCCACGAAATTTTTCACTTGACGATCATTCGAAATCACAACTCGAGGAGATACAGTATTATTGATCAAACCTCGTGGCAAGTAGCTAAACTCGAAGTCGATTCCGCCCTCGATTGAGAAATCCTCTAACACAATCGCTACTAGTTCTAGTAGAACACTACTTCTGCGGGATGTAGATTACACAAAAAACGTAGAATACGAATACTATTCTTGTAGATAGCAGTGTTTCGCGTAGAACGTAAAATCTACGAGTAGTAGAAGATACTTGATTGAGTAGAATACATTTGGTGCGAATTCTACAAAATGGTAGAGCCTATAAGAGTAGGTAGATATCAACTTCTACATCCGGAAGAGGTATGAATAAGTTGTAGATATTATGTTCTACGGAGGTTAGACCTCTGAATATCTTGCAGAAAACGTATTCTACTTTGTTATTTTAGTTTTGTAGAATGAAACTTGAAATATTTTTTAAATATCATAAGCATTTTCAAAAATGTTCAAATATTTTACACAGTGCTAAATCATTTTTAGGAATTATGGCATTTTTTTTCACTTCAAAAACATTTAGTATGAGTTTATAAATAAATTGAAGGGCAAACTTGACCAAAAAAGACCAAAGTCAAAAAAGGTGTAGTGGGACAAAAGAATTTCAATTTGGGGTAAATTGCCAATTCTTCCCTGATGAAAATGGCCACATGATTATGGCTGTTCTTCAACAAAAAGAAGAAAGAAATGACTATGCCCGGCTTTAATCTCCTTTACTTAAAGATCTTGAGCTCTTTTACGTAAGATGCAAGAAAAAACGTCAAATGGACATTATTTGTTGGCTACATTTGTTATTTTAAATTTTATAAATAAGTAATTGTTCGTAACAAGAAAAAAGAGAAAAACCAAAAAGTTCATTAACAAGAATCTATTGGTTACTAATTTATGCATAATCAATATCTTTTTCTTTTCTTTTCTGTTTTTCTTGTTCTTCTAAATATTGTAGCTTATTCAGTAATTGAATCATGCTCACATTCACATCTATACGCAGATGATAAAGTTGTGCATCATTTCTTCACCATTCGTACAACAGCGTAGGTTATTTTCATTATAGATTATTTAGAAAGCGGCAAATACCAGCTTTTGTAATGCTTGTAACCAAACCTTTGTCTACTTATATTCGATCAGATGTTAAAATAAATGAAAGAAAGCGACAAATACCAAAAATATTTAATCTTGGAGAACCTGTCAACAATGACAAGTATCGGATCATGGCCTAAATTAAAACTGACATAGCATCAACTTGTTTAGCTTTATGAACTTTACTGAAGAAGTTCAAAATGTTTAGCTAAATCTTTATGAACTTTTTAGTATATAACTTTATGTGTTTGTTACATAGGATCAATTTATATGTTTATTGAAATTTTAACTGTTTTTTTTTTTATATAAGGAACTAGATTAGGTTCCGCTTATACACGTGATTTTAAATTTAATATTGTACAACTCGTGAAACATATATGCTATTGGAGCTAAAAAAGACTTCCTTTTTTAAATATTTTATCTCACTAGCAAATTAATATTTTATAATCCGTAAAATATATGCATTATTTGAAAAAAATATCTATACAATCAAAAATTATAATATTAGATTATAGAGAAAAAAAGTCTTGTTACTAAATGATCAGTTAGTTACTTGACAATTATTTTGTTACTTTTCTATTATTGTAACAAAATATTGATTATTAAAAAAATTGAACTATCGAAAATTAGAATATTGGACTATTGGAGAATTTATTTCACATTACCTAGATCTGATCCAATTGTCTGACAGTTATTTTATTAGTTTTCTGTTTGTATTTGAACTATCGAAAATTATAGTAATATTGAACTATTGGAAATTTTCTTTCTTGCTACCTTATAGATTTTGCGTGAATTCATTTTAACTCGTACAACTTCATGATATAAACCAGTATAAAAAAGCATGTATCACACATTTCCACCTTTATATGATAAAATTATACTAGTATTTCGATCTAAAAAATCAATAGAATAATACAATAATTTTTTTTTCTTATTATTATTAATTTTTGGCGTCAATTCATTACAATTCATTCAATAGCTTAAGATATTATTTTCATTTTATGGTTTGTATAAAAAGCGAAAAATACCAAACATATTTACTGTTTAAATTCGCAATGAATATAATTTTTTATAACGGAAAATACAACCGCCCAAGGTATAACTAGGGCACTTGGGCACAATATAGGCCATCATGTGGCTTCAACCACTGCCCATAACGAAGATATAAATATATAATGAGACCTGTGAGAAATATAAAGATCACAAACTTTGAAAAAAAAGAGAAGTAAAGAAGAATGGAAGAATTAGACATAGTAATATTGGGAGGAGGCATTGCTGGTCTTGCAACTTCCCTTGCACTTCACAGGTCGTTATTTTCCCCTAAATCTTTCTAAGTAACTATTTCAACATGGATTATTGAGTATCTCTTAATTTGGTCACTTTTAAAATACAGTAACATGGATTATTGACTAATTAGTGTATTAAATAAACATATACAAATATAAATTATAAAGGAAGGGTATAAAGAGCATTGTGTTGGAGAGATCAGAGTTGGTAAGATCTGAAGGAGCAGCATTTGGTATTCAGACTAATGGCTGGCTTGCTCTTCAACAGCTCGGTGTTGCCGACAAGCTTCGTCTTAATTCGCTTCCGATACATCAGTACGTATATAGAGATTTATCTTTAAATTAGTTCGTTTTTATTTTAATTTGTGTAACACTTTTAGTTAGTTCTAATAATGTTTCATTGTTAATGATTTTGTGGTATTGTACTAAAACAGGATGAGAGATGTTTTGATTGAGAAAGGGATCAAACGAAGAGAATCGGTCGGACCGGCATCGTATGGAGAAGTAAGAGGTGTAGTAAGGAATGATATGGTCCGAGCTTTGGCTGATGCTCTTCCTATTGGAACTATCCGGCTTGGTTGCGAAATTGTGTCGGTTAAGCTTGACGAAACGATGTCGTTTCCGATCGTTCACGTAAGAAACGGGCCAAATATCAAAGCAAAGGTACGTCTAGAGACAGAAGATACACTACAAGAATTCATTAAAATAGCTGCCGATTATTCTGTAGCAAGAAGACATAATCTGTCGCAAAAACTAGGCAGGCCACAGATGGTGACAGCTGAAATTCGTCGCCTCAGCTCCGACGCTAAACTTGGGCCGTCGCCGTTTTGTAGCCATTTTGCAACGAACTAGCGAGAGCAAGGACCGTAGCAAATAGCTACGATATGGCAACAAATTTCTCCGTTGCTCTTTAGCAATGGATTGGGGAAGGATTTTATGTGGCTATATGGCTACAGATTCCCCCTAGCAATTTTGTGGCAAAAATAGCAACAGATTTGGTTACAGATTATATGTAGCTAAATGTCTGTGGCTATATGGCTATATGGCTACCGAGTTTAACTACAGATCTCCGTGACAATTATATTTTATTTAAAATATAAATAAATATTTGATTTAAATAAGAAATAAATAAAACTGAAATATATTAATTGATTTAAAACATGATATATATTATAACAAGAAATCTGAAATTCCAAAAAGTCGAAATTCAAGTCGACAACCAAAAAAGGTTACACGAAAAAGTGAAAACACATAACAACGGTTCAAACACAAAAACTAAATATTATGCTTGTTATGTCGTTAGTTTTCACAAACAGAAGCTCTATCAAGATAAAGAATGAACTGTTGAAGTAGGAGTAGCAGCTGCTTCACTTGGAGATGTTTGAGAGTGTGGCGGCTGTGATGGATGAGGTGGCTTCTCAGCCACATGTGGAACTCTGACTCCTCTAGCTTCACACAAATCACTAATTTTCTGGCTCATTATGTTGACAACTCCAGGTCCCGCTCATAACGAGCTTGACGAGGAAGAACAAGAGATGGTGGATCAATGGGATCATAACTCTCCATCTGAGCAGATCGAAGTCCAAACACCCTTCCTTTATACGGTTTGACCATCTAAAAAGAGGAATTCACAAAAAGTTTGTTAGTGCTATTATGAAACCAAAAATCTTAAGTAATGAATGAAGAAGTAAATCAACAATATTTACCGAATAAAAAGCCTCATCTTGCATAAGTGGTGTAATTGGTGTGTGTGAGTTCGTCTCTTGGCTGCCAACCTCAACATGTTCAGTGTTGTTCAATTGCTGGGAAACAACAATCGACTCAACTTTATCAACAATCATCTTTGCACGTTTGTCAGCAAAAGTTCCATCAAGCTTCATCGTCTTTCGCACTAAATCTGTGATTGATGGCTCCTCACCCAACTCCATCATCTGTATACAACAAGACAATAAGGCAAACATAGAAAAAGACATAATCTCAAGATAATATTTCCTAATGTAGAAAACAGAAAAGAGATTATAAGACAATAAGGGACTAGATGAGTTGTACCATATCATATTTGACCTTGGCATACGATTTTACGGTCAGATTTCCGGTTCTGAGAGTTTGTAGTGCTAATATGAACAGCTTGTGGTGTATCCCAGTGTCGCCACATCAAGTTCTAATTGATGTCAGAGACAAATTTTGGCTTTTTGTTTTTCTCTTCCCCTTGCTGATGTTCGAGATCATTCTTCGGAGCTGTTTAGTCCAGAGAGTCTTCACCAAGGTATGATGATCTGGATCCCAATAATACTTTTGCTGTAAAAAAGATAAAGACAATTGCATCAAATAACTTGTAATGAATAAGGTAAGCAAAATGTAAAGATGTGTCCTTCATATAAGACAATGATAAGTATAATTTCAAGCTCATATTTCAATGTCAATCACACAAAACATATAAGACAAAGACAATGATGATTAACGAACTGAATCTCATGTTTAGGATAAGAAAATCAGACCACCATATCTCATGTTTAGGATAAGCAAAGCATAATATACTGAATCTTACCACAAAATCAGACCACCACTTGTCTTTCTGCTCTTGAGGAACCTCACCAAGATTCCACCAACGATCATCAAAATCATTCGTTAAAGCATTTTTGATATCATATTTGACCTCATTGTCGACGGAGATCCTATCATGACAAGGCATAATATTAAGTTAATGTAAAAGCACACACACACAACGAACAAGAATAACTTCAGAGAAAAAAAAACAAAAAACTTGAAGCTTTGGCAATCAATTTAGACGAAAACAGCTTGAAAACAGTTGATTCAATCGTTTTCTCTAAAGTCTGAGTCTTTATGATCAAAAAACAAAAAGAACTTAAGAGATTGTAGCTTTCACATTTGGAATTTCAACTACCAATAGAAAATTAACAAAAAGCTTGAGACTTTCACAATCAATTTAGACGAACAGAGCTTATCTAATCGTTTTCTCTAAAAGTTTCAGTCTTTATGATCAATGAAAAATCCAAATTCGATTCAAGAATAAAATTGGGGCTAATTCTAAGAATTGTGTAAATTAGATCTATGATCCACGAATTACAGAAATTGGAACTCTTGTTAAAACGTAATTTAAATTGTATATAAATATACACAATGGTTTCTTACCAAAAAAACGTAATTTAAATTTTATATAAATTTACACAATGGTTTCTTACCAAAGTGCGCCATCTCTCTTCTCGGGATGGAGAGTCGGCTGGTTTCGTCGCCTGCAAGAGCTCGGTGATGCTACGGAGAGGGAATCCCAGCGGTGCACACAAATTACCAGCCCTAGAGAGAGCAGGGGTCACTCGTCCAACATAACCTCTTGCAGGTAGTCCGCCTCAACGTGGTGGATACATACTACGATTATAGAGTTTTGAAAGACATTAGAGACAAAAAAAAATTGGTATGATAATCAGAAGAAACATAGTAGACCTAAAGAAGAATGGAGCCATCAATTAGTTATAGTTACAGGATATAAACATCAATTACTGAAAACTGAAGAGATAAATTCACCAAAAGACAGCTGAGATTCAAAGAAGAAATTAACCCTAAATCAATTTCACACATCAATTAACCAAAGCCAAATTGCATGATTTCACCCAAAAAAAACTCAATCTAGAGATTTAGCCAGCCAGAATCTAACCTTAGAGATGAGTGGCTTTTCTAGGCGAAGGAGAAAAGGAGCGATTGAGAGAGAGAGAGAGAGAGTAGGATATTGTGTGTTCTCTGCTGTGAAACAGAAATGGAGAGAAAGAGAGAGACTGAGATCTTATAGCGTTCTTTGCAAAAGGAGAGAAAGGAAAATGTCAGCCGCGAAAGAGAAGAGGGAAATGAATCAGCGGTGAATTAGAGCAGAGGGAAAAGAAGAAAAGGTTAAGTTTTGGAAAGGGAAAGCAAATTTGGGGAAAACAAATAGAGGGAAAGTGAAATATTTGGCGAAAAGTTTCGTGGAAACTTTCCAGACTTTTCGAGAACATAAAAATAAAAACAAAGGGATGTTGTTATTTAACTTTGTAAATGGACTAGGTGTTATTATGCGATGGCCTGAAACTATATGACAAGGAACGCAATAACATCGATGGCCACAAACTAAATGATAACTAGGTGTTATAATATTCTTAAACCAAAAAATTGTTACAATTAAGAAACTCATCCAATACAAAAAGCAGCATCACAAAACATGAATCTTATTTGAAATATGAAATCCTAGAAATATGAATCTTATTTGAAATATGAATTTTACATGGAATAGGAGTCCTACATGAAATATCCTACATGAAATATGAATCTTATATGAAATATGAATCTTATTTGAAATAGGAATCATATTAGAAATAGAAGTTATACTTTGTCATAGTTCATAAGTAGCTTAGCTTATTCGATTTCATGTTTTTCCTTAAAGCATAAAACTAGATTGTTCTTAAAACATTAATTATCTTATAACAAGAAATCTTAAAGCTGCATACATCATACAAGTCAACAAACAAAAGATTTAACCTGAAAAGTGAAAACAAAAGACATAACAAAAAGATTCTGCTTGTTTTGTCTTCAGTTTTCACTAATCTCCAAAAAAAGTTCTAAGAAGTGCCATGAATGTAATCTAGATTATGCTATGGTAGAATGTGTGGATCAGTTAGAGAAGCTTGGGTGTGGAGCTGCTGAGATGGATTAGGCGACTTTGCGGGAAACAGAAATATGGTTTGCGGGAAACAGAAAAATTTGGGGAACATTTATGTGGCAACTTTCCAAACTATTGGCGGAGTACCTTTCCAAAACAAAACAAAAGGTGCAAGTGTTATTCAATTTTCTATATGGCTACAAAATATATGAAAATTAATTAGTGTGACTGACTATAGAATCACGGGATATTAAAAATTCTAGTGTTATAAGCTAAAGCTCAAAAGTTAAAAAAAACAAAAAATTAAACTCGAATATATATATATATATATTTATATAAGTTAAAGTTAGGGTCTTAAAGTTACTTTTTTACATGAATTGATTCACTAAGTCTAAGTAAATTACTGAAACCGAATGAATTTAGCAACAACCTAATGCTATACAAATTAAAAGTAAAGCAAAACGGTACTTTTGGGAATTTTTGTAAGAACACATGCACCCGTTACAATCCTTTCTTGCTCGAGAGTTGGCTTTGACCTGTTAGTTTCCAGAGAGTTGGCCTTACACTCGTATGTTTCGTCTTGATCCATGACCATCGAGAATTGTCCTTCTAAACTAGTTATTTTTAAGAATGAGAGTGCTGAGAGGAGATTGAGTTGAGGATGAGAAAGGTGTCAGGAGATACAATTGTTCTTCTCATTATATATACTGATGATCGGTGCCGTAATTAATATTTATGTTCAATGCAAATCTAACAAGTTGTGATAGTTGACACAAAATAATTAATTAAAAGCTCACAAGGAACCAATGGGATTGGACCTACACCAACATAACATAAATGTACCGTTTTTTTTATAAAAAACATTGAATTCTTGTTAGAAGTGAAAGGAACAAAGAACACATAGTCTTTCTCCAACAAACAGAAAACAAAATCAGATAAACTCCAAAAAAACAGAGCCAAAACGCCAAAAACAGAGCCAAAACTTGTTATGAAGAGTTTTGATCACTTCCATTCACGACTCAGAGAACGTGACGTTTCCCACATGGAGACTTCTCATACGTACTCTCAAGTCTCAGGGGCCTTCTCATCTTTTAAGTATTAATCTTTCCATCAAAATAATTCAAGATTTGTGAATATAAAAGATTTCCAGTAAAGAACTTAGCTACGTCAGATATGTTGCTATGTCATTGCCAACATGCGACGGATTGGTCACGGCACACACATCGTTGCCATTTAGCAACATATATATCTGTAGCTATCCTTCGCTAATTGAAAATATATGGCAACAACCCATCTCTAGCAAGTGTGTAGCTATTTAGCTACAAAATGTCTACAGAATCCGTACATAGCTATATAGCTACGAATTGCTACATATTTGCCACAGATTTGGCTACGAAAGTAACATTATTATTTCTGTCGCCATCTCTCACCATTTACTAGCTAATGGCGATGGCTACGGAAATGCCTTCGCCGGCCCTTAGCTAATTCACTGAATTCTTGTAGTGATAGATCATTTAGCTAGTATTCATCAATGATATTGAGTAGTGGAACATATTTACATATACAGTCGACATTTTACTATGGTCGAAACTGACATTTTATTATGGTCGAAAGTGACGTTTTTGAAAGTCGTGATTGGATCCATAAATTGAGTTTTTGAATATTCAATCATTTGTTTTTTTTTTCTTTCTAAAATACTTGTATTGAAAGCTACATGCTTGACCTTTAACAAAAAAAAAACAAAGCTACATGTTTAGCACTAAATGGTCTATGGCGGTAAATCATGTTATTAATTAGCTTAATGGTTGGATTGGCTATAAAACAAAGTGGGCACATCACTTGAGCTAGCTGAAATTTGTGGCATTTGTTAGTTGGCTAGATTGCTTAGAAACTTTTGAGTGTCATGATAGTAATCAATCAATTATCACACTGGTCGTTTAACTACTTTCTAGCTGAAATTATCATTAGTTTCTAACCAGATTCTGATCGTAATCACTATTAAATTTTTAGCCAGGCTCTACAACCTTACTATTTAGTCCATATCTCTTACTAATTTTATAGATTCTTAAATTTAGATCTTGATTGGTTGCGACGGGTCGAATTCTATCGTCTCTGGATTTCTAGGACTAAACCCAACTAAAGCCCTCGGTTCTAGGGCAGTAAGAGGATTCACAAATTATCCGGTTGGCCATGGATTCCGACAAGAGTTTATAAGAATCAAGATGGACAACGTCGTATGCGGACGACTTCCTATAACTCACAAACTCGTCTTCTGGTTTGTTGTTATGCTAAAGTGTCCCCAAGGTAATTAATATTTTCTCCGTTCATGGTACAATTTATATATTTCTGTTAAAATGTTATATGAATTTGTTTTATAAATAGACTCGAACAATGTTAAAAACCAAGAGGATGTCGCAAGATTGACACTAGCGTCGGTCCGTGGATTCTCGGAAGAGTGGAAAGAGATGGTGAAGAATTGCGATATCGACTCCTTATATATCAGCCGTTTAAGGTATCGAGCTCCATGGAATGTTCTGTCCGGTAAATTCCGACGTGGCACCGTGACAGTGGCTGGAGACAGTATGCACCTGATGGGTCCATTCTTAGGACAAGGCTGCTCGGCTGCGCTTGAAGATGGTGTCGTTTTAGCAAGATGCTTGTGGAAAAAGTTAGGTCAAGACGGTGTGAATAATGTCTCTTCGTTGAAGCAAATGGAAGAAGCCATTGATGAGTACGTTAGAGAAAGAAGAGGGAGGCTTGTGGGGCTCTCGACACAGACGTTTCTTACCGGTAGATTAATCGAAGCTTCGTCGCCGGTAATGAAGCTCTTGTTTGTTGTTTTGTTGATGATTCTGTTCCGTGATCAAATTGGTCACACTCGATATGATTGTGGCCGTCTTTAATACTCTCAAAACAAAATGATAAGATATTTGGTATGAACAATTTGGTTGATATATTAAGCAAACACTTTTTGGAGTGCCAATTACTACTAATATACAATTTACTCATAAAAAATCTTAGCATTTTGCTTTGCCACTGAGAAAGATTAGAGATAAATTATAGTTAAGAAAGACCTAACACATGGAAGAAAGGTAAAATTTTCCAATAATTTTCTCAACTTTAGAAACTATTGTTTATCGAAAAAGTGAATATAAAATCAAAATTTAAAAGTATAAGGTTGATATATTATAATCAGAAATCGACAAGTATCTAGTCATCGTCTCATCGTCACTGTTACAAGTAGACATATTTATGTACAACTAGTTAGTCTAGTTGGTTATTGATAAGATGATTTAATGTAGGTGGCGTCATTGATTGCGTCAACGTCAACTTACTTTGCATAAACGTTGCACATGTTTGACTCGCAAAGACAAAAGACCCACCTGACACTCACGTGACTTGTTTGTCTTCCAAGTAATTCTCTTTAACGAAAAACGAAAAGTCTTCGCTGCTTCGAGCGTGTCTCATCTCTCTATATAAATAAAACACGATACATTAAACAAAACTTTAAAACCAGTGCCCAAACAAAACTTCACGATCTGTACATCTCAAGATTTCAAGAAGAAGAAAAAAATGGAAGAAGTCGGAATAGTTATCGTCGGCGGTGGAATTGCCGGACTCGCCACTTCTCTAGCTCTTCATAGGTTTGTTATTAATTACTTCTCTTTTTTTTTTTCATTCTGAAAATGAAATTAATGAACAGTCACATTAATTCGAATTTAATTTATGCAGGAAAGGAATAAAGAGTGTGGTGTTGGAGAGAGCAGAGAAAGTGAGATCGGAAGGATCTGGAATCGGAACTCTCACTAATGGTTGGAGAGCTCTTGATCAGCTTGGCGTCGCTCATCGTCTTCGTCTCACTTCTTCTCTTATTCACAAGTAATTACTCTAATTTTTAGTTTTTAGTCATAATTATTATTAATCATAACTTTGGTTTATAATTTATTAAAAGAAATTCTTGAATGTTTCTTTGACGTGAACAGAGCACGGACCATGTTGATTGAAAATGGGAAAAAACGAGAATTTGTTTCAACCATCGTGTATGTCTCGATTCTCCTCTTAAATTTGATCATGTGTATATATTTTTTCTTTTGGAAATTTTGTTGTTGATTCTGATATCTAATTATTGGAATTAAAACAGAGATGAAGCACGTTGTCTTCGAAGAAACGATCTTGTTGAGGCCTTAGCCGATGCTATTCCAGAAGGAACTATCCGGTTTGGTTCCCAAATTGTTTCTATAGAGCAGGACGGAACAACGTCGTTTCCGGTCGTTCACTTATCCAATGGAAGTATGATTAAAGCTAAGGTAAACTAATTTTTTGTTCATGAGTCTATTTTTATTGCAAAAGTTTTTATGAGTCTCTAAATTAGGCCTTAATTGTTTGAAACGCAATTTTATTCGTTTGTGTTCGCTTTAACTTGAGAAAATAAGTTATATTATATAGTTAAAATATGTAATATCTTCGTTTTCAATAATATATATTGGAAAATGCAAACACAAACACCAAATGGAATTCACATTTATCAATATTTTCTTCCTTAAGGTAGTTTATTTGAAATGAATACACGTTGGATATGAATTTATACGCAACGTAAACAAACAATTGAGATCTTCATAAAAAGCATATCAAAGTTTGTATAGTCTAATAATGTGTTCTCATAGGTCTTGATTGGATGCGACGGTGCAAACTCCGTTGTCAGTGATTATTTGCGGTTAGGCCCGAAAAAAGCGTTTGCTTGTCGTGCGGTTAGAGGGTTCACAGATTACCCAAACGGCCATGGATTTCCAAAAGAGCTTCTAAGGATGAAAGTAGGAAATGTGTTAGTCGGAAGGCTTCCTTTGACCGATAACCACGTCTTTTGGTTTGTAGTCCACATGCAAGATAACCATCTCCAGGGTAAAGATCAAGAATCATCAATCGCGAATGTGACTCTAAAATGGGTCGGCGAGTTGTCTGAAGAGTGGAAAGAAATGGTGAAAATATGCGACGTAGAATCACTATCAATGACACACTTAAGGTACCGCTCTCCGTGGGAAATCATGTTCGGAAAATTTCGTCGTGGGACCGTGACTGTCGCCGGCGATGCGATGCACGTGATGGGTCCGTTCTTGGGACAAGGCGGCTCTGCCGCGCTAGAGGATGCGGTCGTTTTGGCTAGATGTCTAGCTAGAAAAGTGGGTCCGGACCACGGAGACTTGCTAAAGGATTGTTCGATGAAAAGCATTGAAGATGCTATTGATGAGTATGTGGAGGAACGTAGGATGAGGCTAGTCAGGCTTTCGACGCAGACTTATTTGACCGGACGTTCGCTACAAACGCAGTCAAGGGTTGTGAGGCTAATGTTTATTGTGCTGTTGGTGATATTGTTTGGCCGTGATCAGATTCGTCATACTAAATACGATTGTGGCCGTCTTTAGAAACTTGATGGACACTTTATAACTAGTCTACTATAGTGTGAGGTGTGCAGTACGCCAGTACGCCAGTACTGTGCTTGTTTTTTTTTTGGTTTACTATTTCTTTTGGTACGTAATATTTTTTTCTAAATTTTGTCAAATCATATGTTTTTCGTTTCTTTTCACAAATTATTTAGATGTAAATTTGGTGCTTTATCTTTATTAACAATTAAAGTCAATATAAGCTATATAAAATTAATTGTTTGTGAAATTGTAGATTTGGTATTGTGTGAAACTCCTAAAATATTTACTTGGACGAAATAGGGAGCATACATTTTATACATATAAATTATGGGTCTAAGTCTAACATACACTCAGGCATTGCTAACCGGAACTTGAACTCTTCAACCCGAGAATAGATATTACATCTGAAATGAAAGGATGATTTTGTAGAAATAACGCAAACATGCATATCATACATTAAATGTCGAGGAGTTCAATTTTGGTTTCGTTTTGCTTTGTTTGCTTCATTACATTTGGTGCAAGGGGAATTTACTCAGCAGGTACACTTGGGTTTTGTGAGTTTTCTTTTGAAATGAGAATGTATAAAAAGACGGGTGAGCGGGTGATCTGAGGAATGCGGACATTCCTGGCTTTGTTTCTGCTTTCTGTGCAAACAAACTCTGGTGATGTGAGCCCAAATGTGGTTGGAGCCTTTTGCCTAGCACTGGTCTTCCTTGTGAGTTCAATCACAGTACAAGTGGCGGGAGAAATGAGCTGTGCTATGGGCGTGGTCAGGGGCAGATCTAGGGAATAATTCGTAAGGGGCAGAAGTACTAATTACCTCTATAAAAATAAAATATCAATTGGGGCATAATGAAAAAATCCTTTACAAAATTGCACTAATTTAGTAAATCCATGGTGGGTAGCTGCCCCTCCTGCTCTCCTCGTAAGGTAGCTCCGCCCCTGGGAGTGGTCTGTGGACCAGGGTATACAGTCAAAGTCATAAATGTATCATCTGATAATTAAGTAGTTATTGTCATCACATATGCTTTATGTAAACTAAAGCGTTATCTTCTTAATATTCTCGTACCAGCTAACATTCTAAGACAGAACACCACTGTAGACAAGGTATGGATATGTCTAATTCCTTAGTTTAAGAATCATTTATGGCTGATTCATAGGGAAATATATGTTGAATTGAGGTTTTTGATTTCGGGGAAGATGCAATTCTGATAGTAAATAAACGAGTTAGCTAGTGTCGCTCTCATTTACCCTGAGGGACATGAACTCCTTCACAAAGGCAACTCCATTGTCAGACACAGAGAGCTGCCAGTGGTGGTGGAGTGTAACTGTGTAAGTTAGCTGTGATGGGTTACATTCGTTACTACTTGGCTCCTAAGATTGAAGAAGAAGAAGACGACACTAAGCCCCATTAGTATCAACCGGTGATGATGATGATGTTTTTGTGTGGTTCCATTAAATGTTCCTTTGTAATCAGTTGTTTAAACTTGACTTATTATGTTTTATGATAAGATAAATTGTTGGTCTTTGAAACTCTCAACAAACTTCGATTAACAAGATATGTAACATCTGTAGACCAAATTCCCGAGTTGAGATTTTGGTGTCAAGCGACACAGAGAGGGTGTCGGTCGACACCAATGGTTAAATTTCAAATCCGGTTCGATTTGAAGGTCCGGTTTAGCTGGTTTGGGTCTGGAAACCCTGATTCCAAGATTAAAAAGAGAGCATCCGCTTTTGTTTCTCTGTTTTGTCGTTTTGCGGACTGAGAGAAGGAAGAGAGGCGATTTGGTGATTTCTAGTGTTCTTGGGCGAATATGAGGCTGGTTGTTGCTGTTTTTCATTGTCTGTCTCTTCCTTTCCCCTTTCAATCCGTTTTCAGAGGTGAGTGTGTGACCATAGGCCCGTGATTCACTAGATCTTCGTTTGTGTGATGTGTTCTTGAGTGGTTCATGTGATTGTTTGAGTTTATGGCTGTATTTGGGTGTTGAAACTCATTGATTATGTGTTTTTCGCTTGATTCGTCGATTTGGGATTGCTGTCTGCGAGTCGGTGTCGAGCAACACCAGGTTGGTGTTTGTCGACACCAGAGGTCGAGTGTCGACCGACACCATGGGGGTGTCGCTTGACACCAGCTGATTTTGTTGATGTTGTTCGTTTTGTTGATGTGTTTATTGTTGTGAAATGTTTTATTGGCTAGTGTTTTGCGTAATTGGCATGGAGGTGGGATGAATCGTCTCACTAAGTATTTATGATAATACTTACACATCTCTTTCATATTGTAATGCAGGTAAAAGATTAAATTGATCGCGGAATCAAGACCAAAGAAGAGGATGATAGGAGTCTGTTGTTTGCATTGCTTAAGTTGCTAGTTAAATCTGGTGTTTTAGGTTGCTAGTTTATTATTTGAATTTCATCGTTGAATTGAGTTGTTTGATTATTTAATTTATTTCAAGATTTCCGTTGAGTACTGTTTAGGTGATTAAATTAAAAAAAGGGACTTGGTTGTTTCAAGATAAATTCACTATTGCAACCTTGAGTTGTAAAAACTGTGGGTGTGAATGGTATGTCATTAGAGTAATTGAGAGTAATAGGGAGAATAGTAATTGAGAGGGAGAAAAATTAAAAAGTAGAGTAAAAGAGTGGAAAAAATGAGAAAACCGTTTTAGAAGTGAATGGTAGTAAATGAGAGTAAGTGAGAGTAAATAAGAAAAAAGTGGAGTAATATATTATTTATATATCATTTATCTCCTTCTCTCATTCTTTCCCTCATGTAAAAAGTGGAGTAAAGAAATACCGCCAGTTTACTCTCTATTGGCTGAATAGCTAACTTTATATTTTTCCACCTGATTGATTATCTTTTAGAGTAAGTGAGAGTAAACTTTGTTTCCCACCACTTTATTTACGCTAACTATACCTTCCATTCACACCCTGTATTAGATGCTGAATCTGAAGTAGCACATATATATTGACGAGATACTAAGATTTGAGTTATTGGTTTCTGGGAAAATAGTCTAATTAAACTTGGAAAAATGGAAAGATATTACAAAGGAAAGCCTCTTGGTGACAAGCTTGCCAAGATGGAACTGAAGTGGAGAAGAACAAAGAACAAATGATGAATTATTACTAAGGTTTTTTGTCTCTATGTTCTCAACAGATGTGATGAGATACTAAGATTTGAGTTATTGGTTTCTGGGAAAATAGTCTTATTAAACTTGGAAATATGAAAAGAGATTACAAAGGAAAGCCTCTGGGTGATAAGCTTGCCGAGATGGAATTGAAGTGGAGAAGAACAAAGGGTTTTTTGCCTCTCTGCTCTCAGCGATTGTGAATGATTTTGTCTCCGGTCTTCAAGGAATGAATACTTTTCTATATATAGTGAGAGGAGGTCTGCTTGCGTGAATATCTTCCTTCTTTCTCCATATAGGAAATATTCCCTTTGTAATTATCTCCTTCCGTTCTTCAAGGAGGTGCATCTCCATCTTGACATTTTTCCCTTGATTTGTCTTTTTCCTCAAGAATTTTCATTTATTTGAGAAAGTTAAGATGAAAACGAATTGGGCCTTTGCATTGTTACTAATTGTGACAGAATCAAGGAAATATGCTCATTTCAGTTCTAACATTAAACTTCTCGACATCAGTGTGTGACATCATTCTCTATTCTTATGCCACATTCGTATAAGAGCTGTGAAATGAAACTTTTCTACATCTGCTTTAGTTTCTACTTGTTTATGTTACAACGAAAGCACTAGAAGAGCCTGTGAAATGCTGGATTGATGACCCCAAGAGCTTCTTCATGAATTAGGCTCAGGAATTCTCCATTCCATTGTGGCTTCACTCCGGGAGCTTAACTTCTTAGGCCTCGACCACTTGAACCTCAGACATAGTCACATAGATCAACATCGTCATAAACTAGGGTCCAAGTCTTGTCCTTCCGCTTTAAACGGAAAATCATTATTCTTTTTTTCGTGAAATATGTGACTCAGTGTATCCGCAACGACAAAAAAAATTATAAGAAAATAAAAATGCGTTTTACAATTTTTTTTGTGTGAAAAACATACAAATGGATAATAAAAGTAGGTTATTTTCTCTCAAATTGAGAAAACCTTAGATTTTAAAGTGTTTAAACCTATATATAAACCATATGGTTTTTGTCTTGGTCTTAACCCATTTAAACCATTTCATATATAGACGTGACTATAGTCCGTTCATAATTATTTGGACTGGACCTGCCCACGGACGACCTAGAGTTAAGACATAGAAAAAGAGGCAAAGGCAAATGCCCCCACTTTACAAACTTAAATTTTGGACCCCAGCTTTTAGTCTTTCACATTTCCTCTTGTATCATTTGGTAAAAAAACATTATTTGTCTCTTATCTAGGTATTGATTCTTCATAGTTGTTCACAAAATGATTTTGATTAATCATTTTCATGTCCTAATTTTTTTACCGGCTTTCAGATATGAAATAGCCACATATTAAGTATTTTTCCGTTTACATTCTTTTTTTTCTTCTTTTTATTATCTTTTTAACACATAATTTTTCTAACTAACTTATTTGATATTCATATGAAATAATGAAAGTATTTAAATTTCACGTGTTAAAATTTTAAAATCTAAATAAAGGGCCACATTTATTTTTTGGAAAAAAAGGTAAAGCTACATTTTTTAATTTTGCCTTAAGCCCCCAAAAGTCTTGGCACGGCACTGAGACGACTCACCCAATTGACAGCTCTACGTGGAAGGGTGAGACACAGATCAGCCTTTACGATAGAAGTTCCATGCACCACGAATTTTACCTACTTCCAAATCATACTCGTTTATTATAGTATTATTTTATCACGGGGGCCATACCAAAACACTATTACGAAACAGCGACATTCCGACCATTATGGAGTTGGAGTACGTACGATAAACCGCATGCTAATCTTACTACTGCTAAACAGATTTAAAATTTTCCCCTTTTGCTCTCTCTGCTGAAAGTTCAAACATATAACGGTAATTATTATTTTTTGGCTGAACAAGTCAATCATCATTCATCAAATGTTCCATTTTCTTGTTTTAAAAACTTTTGATTTCTTAAGAAATAAAAACAAATCTCCTAATACTTTCACGAAACTGTACAAACAATACAAAATGTCCTTTTATAGTAAAAAATAAGTCAATACCTGATTAGGAGAAAAATATGTTTCTTTTATTTTCTCTGGCGAAAGACCCAAATTTTATCTCTTCTTTTGTTCCGGATAATGTAACATCACTAAAGTGCTTGTTTGATGTTAAAAAGGGGTAAAAAGAATATGCTTCTTTTTAACACCAATTTTCTTTTCAAACCAAAAAAATTGAAAAACCTTCTAGAAATGAAGATTGGGTAAAGAAATTAATTTCTATGAGAGAGAGTGGAAAAGCAACCAACCACCGACCACCGTTCAGGATCTTTAATTGTTTAAACTTGCTCGGTGGTTCATTCTCAACCATTCCCTTTTCTTATTTATTCACTCTCTTCACTGCTTCTTCCTTACTTGATTACTCGCACCAAAACCATGGCCAAACCCAGAGACTCCCACGTGGCAGTTCTCGCTTTTCCCTTCGGCAATCACCCCGCTGCTATCTTCACCGTCACTCGCCGTCTCGCCTCCGCCGCTCCCACCACCGTCTTCTCCTTCTTCAACACCCCCCAATCCAACTCCTCCTTGTTTTCCTCCGGCTACACAGATCTTCCGGCGAACATTCGAGTCCACCACGTCGCCGACGGTGTTCCAGAAGGACACGTCTTCTCCAAGGGACCAGGACCAGAGGAGGCGATTGACCTGTTTCTCTTGGCGGCGCCTGAGAATCTCAGGAGAGAAATCTCGGCGGCGGAGAAAGAGATCGGTACGAATGTGAATTGCATTTTAACGGATGCGTTCATTTGGTTCGCGGCGGATATTGCGGCGGAGACGAATGCGAATTGGGTTGCTTTCTGGGCCGGCGGACCAAATTCGCTCGCTGCTCATCTCTACACTGATCGAATCAGAGAAACCATCGGTGTCAAAGGTAAATAAAAATACAAAAATAAAAAAAATGAATGCTTACCAGATAAATATGCAACTAAAGGAAAATGAGAAAATCCATCACATAATGTTTTTTAATTCCTTTCATACCATTTTTATAAGGATTTATAAGTTTAAATATTTGAGTTTGAATTTAGGGTTTAAGATTTAGAATTAGGGTTTCTGGTTTAGTTTTCAAAGTTTATGGTCGTTTTAAGTTTCATGAGTTGAAAAATGGTATGAGATGGACAAAAAAACTAGTGATAGTATGAAAAGAATTAAAAAAACATTTTGATGGTAAATGTGAGAATTGTTCAGGGAAAATAGCTAAAACAGGACTAAGAAAATCTACGTATATTTCTTGCAATATAATTGATTTGTTTTCTCTCTAATAACGCAGAAGTAAATGCTCGTATGGAGGAGACATTAGGGTTTATCACAGGAATGGAGAAGATAAGAGTGAAAGACACACCAGAAGGAGTTGTGTGTGGGGATCTAGACTCTGTTTTCGCAAACATGTTGCACCAAATGGGTCTTGCTTTACCTCGTGCCTCTACCGTTTTCATCAACTTCTTTGAAGAGCTAGATCCTACACTGACCGATCACCTCAAATCGGAATTCAAACGTTTCCTAAACATAGGTCCTCACGCGTTAACATCTTCTAAACCTCAAACGGAGGAGAAGATTGTGCAAGATCCTCACGGCTGCTTGGCTTGGATGGAGAAACAAGCCCCTGCTTCTGTAGCGTACATTGGCTTTGGCACGGTCGTGATGCTGCCTCCTGGAGAGATTGTGGCGATAGCGGAAGGGTTGGAATCGAGGAAAGTGCCGTTTGTTTGGTCGATGAAGGAGAAGAGCAGTGTTCATCTACCGAAAGGGTTTCTGGAACGGACGAGAGAGCAAGGGATGGTGGTTCCTTGGGCTCCACAAGTGGAACTGCTCAAGCATGAAGCTACGGGTGTGTTTGTGACGCACGGTGGATGGAACTCCGTGTTGGAGAGTGTTTCGGGAGGTGTGCCGATGATTTGTAGACCGTTTTTTGGAGATCATGGGATCAACGGAAGAGCAATGGAAGTTGTGTGGGAGATTGGGGTGATGGTTGTGGATGGAGTTTTCACGAAAGATGGATTTGAGAAGTGTTTGGATCGAGTTTTGGCTCAGGATGATGGTAAGAAGATGAAACGTAAAGCTGAGAAACTTAAAGAACTAGCTCACGAAGCCGTCTCTGTGAAAGGAAGCTCCTTTGAGAATTTTAAAGCGTTGTTGGAAGCAGTTGTGTGAACGTTTTAAGTTAAACTGAGTTTGAATGAATAAGAAATAAAATATTTCAAGGGATTATTTGGATGCAGTTGTGTGAAAATTTTGGATTGAGCTTGTATAAAACTTTTAATCCTTCGTTTTTGGATGATATAGTTATGAACATTATATGGTTTTAAAAAGATTTGGGAATTTGGATAAATAAAAAGAACACGGACGACTAGCCCTCATACTTGCACAAGACGGAACTCATATCCTAAGTTTTATGAGTATTGACAGAACACAACTAAGAATGGTATTATTTGAACACAACTGAGGTAGACTTGATGACCTTAATTGTGAAGAGAAGCACGACGCTGTTCCTTCTTCTGCCATAGATGACTCTAAGATGGTATTTACTAGAGGTTATGGATTTGTGAGTTGAGTTTGTCTTGTTGTTGAATGGTATTATTTGAACGAGGAACCTCCTGACTTTCATTAGTCTTTGGAAATTTTATGAGTATTGACAGAACACAACTGAAGTATTTCCTGATTTACGCCGGCAAGAGAATTACATTGAGACGGTGAGCACCACAGATAATGTTTCAGGACAAAATCAAATCAAAGATCAGAGAAACACCGATTCCAAACCTATAAGCTCGGAAATTTACACTTTTCTTTAAGATCTTGAATTCCCATCATCGTTGCATCAATAAATGTATGTTGAACAAAAATAAATTAATATATAAAAGTACATTAGTCTCTTCATTTCTGGTTACTTCATTTTGAATTATAAACTCATGAAGTCATGATCCTCACATATTTTTAGCATTGAGGTACTCTTGTATAGTAGAAAAATAAACTAAATATTATTGAGGTAACCTTATTATATACTTCCTCCGTTTCAAATTAGTTGTCATTCTGGCAAAATGTATCTGCACTTATTTGGATGTATCTGAATGTTTTTTGAGTTTAATATATCCAAAAAATTGCAGATACATTTTGTTAGAATGACAACTAATTTGAAATGGAGGGAGTATTATTTTTTAAAATATCATACGTAAACCTTTTTTGTGCTAGTTTTTTTCTTTTATTCTCTGTTGAATCATCATGGTCTATTTGATACTCCCTCTGTCCCATATTATAAACAGTTAGACAAAATGTATCTGAAAAAAGTGGATGTATCTAGATGGAATTCCAACAATGTTGATCATATGGGAGAGGGAGTATAATTCTATTACAAATGATGATCAATTAATCGAACCTAATTACATGTACCTCTTGCGATTATGAGAATTAGTTCTACAGAAGGGCTCCAATTCATGTGTGCTATAAAACCAAAAAAAAAAAAAAAATCATGTGTGCTAGTTTGCAACATGTGGAAGGGGGCTAGAAGGCTCCAATAGCTGCAAAGTGTCAAAATTATAGTTTAGTTCTACTAAAGGGCTCCAATAACTGCAAAATGTCATAATTTGTGTAAGTAAATACTAAATATAAGTAATCTATTTTAGGCCAATTTTATATTTTTATTAATATTAGTTTTTTAATTTAACTCACTAAAACTATTTTTAGAGTTTTCTACTTTTTTTTAGATAGAGATGGGTTTAAGACTCCCTCTAAACTTAACAGATTTTAATCATTAAATTCACTATTATTGTACAGTTTTTTTTACTTCTTTATTTGTTTTTTTCTAATTCATAATTGGGAATTTCCTTGAATCTTACAAAACTTTAATTCCTTGTGAGATTTTTTTCTTTTTTAGCTACATTTCCAATAGCTATTTCCATTACATGTACTAATGAAAATTCTACACGTAGAAATAAAATGTCCTCAAATGCTCATATATCATTACAATGCATTGGTTTTCTTAATTCTTTCCTCATTATTAACAAGTAATAAAATCTTCTTTCTTTTTTTTTCCATTTATTTCATTTTGTTCCTCTTTTTCACTGACTTATAAAACTTAATATAATTTCTCTACATTTAGTTCATTCCAGCATTTTAAATTTTTGATGGCAATCAAGCTTCCTCTACCATGTGTTTATAAATTAGCTCATCTTGAATCTGTAACATCACACCTTCGAGCGACACTGATGGCGACTCTAACTCTAGAGCTTAACATCAACTCTGCAAGTAACCTTGCAAATGTCAATCTCATGTCAAAGATGGACGTTTACGCCCACGTCACCATTCATGGCGACTACACTCAAAAGAAACAGAAGGTGAAAACCGCCGTCGATCGCTCCGGTGGATCTAACCCGACTTGGAATCATGCCGTCAAGTTTTCCGTCAACGAGACATTAGCTCGTGACGGTCGTTCGTTAGTCATCATGAGATTGATCTCCCGTCGACTGCTAGGCAACAAAGATATCGGAGCCGTTAAAATTCCGTTACTCGAGCTCTTGAATGCAATCACACCGTCAATTAACGGTGACGCTAACGGCAAGGAGATGGCGTTTGTGACGTATCAGGTGAAATCTACGTCTGGGAAACGGAAAGGCTCTTTGAATTTCTCGTACCGGTTCACTACTCCACCGGTTAACTCGGATTTACCAGTGACTGTTAACCGGGCGGTGAGTTTCCAGGGAATCGCTAATCCTCGGCCGTCGCAAATCGAGCATTCGCGTTCGGCTCCACCAGAATTGACAACTAAGTATCGTCCGCTGTCTAAGCCGTCGTATCAGAAGGATTCAGGCAATAAGAAACATCAGATCGCCGTTAGGTCGATGTTCGATCCTCCTCTTCCAGTATCCTACGGCGCTGGTTCATCGCCTTATGAGAAATCCGGTTACGCGTACCGCCATGCGCCACAGTCGCAGTCTTACATTTCGCCGCCAGCAACAAGCCACCAAGGATATGCGCCGTACAGTTATCTGCCGCCGTCGCCGCCGGGATATGGATACGGATATCCGTCGAAGGGGATTGGGCTTGGGCTTGGATTGGGGGCTGGGCTTCTGGGTGGGCTGATGATGGGAGATCTTGTGTCTGACGTGGCAAACTATTATGATCTTTGATTTTTGTTTATGTTATTGTTGTTCATCGAAGGTGTTGGTTTCTTCTAATTTGTATCTTTAGAGCACAATATGATAAATGACTCTGGGCACGTGGTGGTACGTGTAACCGGATTTAGAGAAAAATGTGACAAATGACAAACCTTAAAAGAGAGAAAAAATTGACAAATGACAAATGACAAACCATAAATGAGATTACAACTTAACAAACTTATCTATTCAGTTTCATGAATACAAGACACAAGTGTTACCAAAGAACATGAATGGATCTTGATCAACTTAAGCAGCATCCAAGCTTCTTCACTACAAAAGCGTTGTCCTTGGCCCCGACATTGATACTCTGTCTGTCTGTTAGGAGACACCTTTCAGTTTTGTTTCATCTAATAGTCTAATACCGAGAGCCGTGCCAACGTGTATAGAGGCCATAAGCGAGTCTTTGAAAAAACAACAAAAATGCTTACAATTTTATTTTTTTAATATCTTAATACTTTATTTAGTTTAGTTTGAAAAAGTAAATTATAGGCTGTTCATAAAAATAAAATTACATCTTCCAAACTTGTATATACAAATAGTCTCAAATTAAATTTTAAATAATATCTTACATTTTATTTCTAAGAAAAAACTAGACGTAGGCAATGTTTGAAAAATGTTTATAAGAAAATAATTAGACGTAGGCACGGCCCTGCTAATACCTCTATAACCTTTTCGAATTTGTTTCCTTTGCACACGTGAATGACTGGCCAAGAGCGTATTTAAACTGCATATGACCACTTTTAACATTTCCCATGCATTCACGAACGACCATCATCGCAGTTCGCAGCATCAATTTCTCCAGTTTGACAAAGTCCCGTACCAAGGAAAAAAAAAGTAGGTGTACTCTAGGAACACATGACATCTAAATTACTTTGTTACGACATGATCTCTCAATCGCAATTCGCAAGCAGCTATAAATCTACCAATGATCTCTTTGATACTGCGTTATAATCTTGTTGTCAAAGTACTATTTATATCATAAGTCGTAACGCATAGAGAAGAAATTAATTCTTGTTTGGATTCACTCATTTGTTCCTCCTTTTCAGCAAAATTGACGTTTTCCCAAATTAATTTTTATTTATTGTCACACGTTTTCATATCCCAAAAGATCTTAGTGCAACTTCTCTATAAATTGAAGGCATCCTAAGAACAAATCAAAGATTTCCTCTACAATAATAAAGCGTTTCATTTCTTTTATTTTCTTCCTTTACACTTCGTTTTCATTGCAGCCATGGTGAATCAAACCTTAGAGCTTAGAATCAACTCAGCAAGTGACCTTAAGAATGTCAACCACATCACAAAGATGGACGTTTACGCCGTCATAACCCTTTTGGGAGACAAAAAGAAACAGAAGGCTAAAACCCCCATCAATCGCTCCGGTGGATCTAACCCTACATGGAATCACGCCGCCACGTTTCCCGTCAAGGAGGAGTTAGCACGTGAAGGCCGTTTAACACTCGTCGTGAACTTGTTCTCCCATCGACGAATCCGACGCGATAAAGCTATTGGTAAGGTCGAGGTTCCATTGCTCAACCTCTTGTCGTCAACTAACGGCAATGGGATGAAGTTTGTGACGTATCAGGTGAGAACTCCGTCGGATCAAATGAAAGGCTCTTTGACTTTCTCGTACCGGTTCAATGGTGCACCGGTTATTGCCGGTCAGGCTCATTATCAGGCGCCAACGTCTTGGGCTCCACCGAATCAGCAAGGTTATGGTGGACCGAATGGTTACATGGCTCCGCCAACTCCGCAGCTGACGAGGAATCAAGAAAGGCTAGATATTGTTGATACTTTTGCTAGTGTTGTTGATTTATTAAAATAAAGCAAGAAAGGAGGAACGAGGAAATAATTTGTGATTTTGATGGTCATTATTTATTTGATTTATTTTTGAAATGTCAGTAGCGAAGCGATGATGGCTGAGAATATTTTTTTCATAAGAATTCTCTTTGTGTTGGATTATGAATGAAGTTGTATAATCCACTAGGCTATAAAATTCTGTACACCTTTAAACTAAATCCCATATCCACTTTTCTACAAATCTCTTATGGCAGTTAAACTAAAGCTCATATAATTAACTAGCAAAAGTCCAAAGGAATTTGAAGTAATATTATCTATTTTGTTTTTACCCAAGAGGAGCAAAATAAGACTAAAGCTTAGATTTGAACAAAATGAAAAAAAAAAAAAAATGCACTATGAATGGCAAAAAAGAAGTTGAAAATGCAAATGACCTTTATACGAGCTTATTGCCTCAAATCCACTTACACTGTTTAGTGTTTGTTAATTGTGACTCTAAGAAAATGAAATCCGTGATTTACACTGTCTAATTCATCGGAGAAACAAAGCCAACTTCAAAAGCTGAGCCAAAGTGGAATTACACGATTGCTTTACAAGGATTTATGAAACTAACCACAGCCTGAGTTTTGAGAATTATGTTTTCTTAATTATAATTATAACATCATCAAACATAGCTCTGCTTTGAGCTTACAAAATCCAGATTAAACTGAAAACCTTGTTCAATCAAACCATAATAAAGAAACTTCTGAGCTTAGTTATCGTCAAAACATACATAACGCAAGTCCTGATCTAAGTTCGTCAGGTTAAAATAACTAACATAAAGCAACTTCTGATCTTAGTATCCTAGGAAAATAAGAGGACCTTCTTCTACATAACCCACCCCAACCTTGTTACTCTTGGTTCAACTTCTTGATGCAAAGATTCATCTCTAACAATTCACCGCGCAATAAACTGTTAGGGATCAACAAGACATTGTCTTGAGGGGTTTGAAAACTCACTTTAAGAATTCTCTTAACTTCTGGTGATTCGTAAGTCATGGTGTGTCCATCCACAGTGTAGGAGAGACGAAATGAGAACCTTCCTACTTCTGGAGCAGGTGGTGCAATGCAGCTTACAGTTACGTACACACCATAAGGCTCCCTGAAACACTGCACTGCAAAAGACAGCTTCACCTCTGAATCCCTTAAAATTACCATCATATCACTTATGTTCATTTGGAAGCTAAAGGGACTGCCTTTATTGAACCTATTTTTCCTGTACATTGGGATATAATCTTTCAGATGGTCAAGATTCGGTCCAGAAAAAAAACGATCGTTCACATGGGTAAAATTATAGTGATCGAAGATATCCTTGTATGAGCAAGAGTGAGTGCAGTCTTGTGCAGGGCAGGAGAATTGCGAGAAGATGCATTCTTTTTCATGAGTTAATTCTTTCCCATAAGGTAACTTATGGGTGCATCCAAACTTGGCGTTTCTGCATGCGAGAAAGGCTGATTCAAGAATACTCTCCATTGCTCTGCAGCGATAATGGCCGATAGGCAAAGCACATGCAGGACACTTATTACCAAGTTTGGGACAGCAAGACGAGCAAGCCATATGCCCATTTTCACACTGAAACGCAAAACCAATGAACAAAGAGTCAAACTCTATAATTATTTTTAACAGCAAAAAGACTCTAATAATTATATTTTTCAAAAAAAAACAAACTATTAAACTATATACTAAGAAAACTAGCAAACCGTTCTCCACTTGACATAACATCAACCAACCATCATAAGAACAAAAAAAATAGAAGCGTAAAAAAGAAAGTTTTAATGTTAACAGAAAAAATTATATCAGTTCTATGATATAACAGAAACAAACCCTAATGTAAGCTCAAAAAGAAATATCAGTTTTAACACTTAGTAAATGCCCTCAATTTTCAAAAGATCATATTTTTAACTCAAAGTTTGAACAAAAAACTTCAGAAACTATCTTAATCATCGATATAATATTTGAAATGTAACCTGGAAGATAGGAATAGTAAAAGGCTCGTAGCAAACAGGACAGTCGAGAACATCCATATCCAGCATCAACGAGCGTATTTTATCCTCTGTTCGTTGCTTCTTTGGCAAGTGATAGCCGCTCGAGTTATTTCCATTTTTAGCCATATTGATAAGCTTAACTCGAAATAAAAATGGAATCGATCTAAATAAGTTTATGAATTACGTCTCTATATATATGTAAACGGGAGAGATAATCTAGAATATTTTTTCGTCTTCAAAGGCTCTGATTTCCGATGAGTTGGAAGTAAATGCTGCAAGCGTGAAATCATTACTTGGACGTAATTCGAAGAGTCAAGAGGTTTGTGACTTTTATCTTTTTGCATGTTTAACACGTGTCCAACAGCGTAAAATTTGTTCTTATAGATTAATTAATTTTTGTCAACAAATCTGCAATGTAGCAAATACATGTAATGACGGTTGACGAATCATCTACCACATCTATAGTAGAACCTCTATAAAGTAATATTCGATAAAATAATATCTCAATAAATAAATAGAATTTTCAAGTCTCAAATTCAGTTTTTGATCTAACTATCTCTTGATAAATTAATAATCTTGCTAAAGTAATAAAATATTGTGGTCCCAACATTATTACTTTATAGAGGTTTTACTGTATTTATCAACGAAACACACCGGATGATATCTTAAAGTTAAACAAATGAGAATATAGCCTTAGTTTCTGTAAAGGTAATTTGCTGTAATAACATATAAAATGATTTTAAATAGCCAAAATATAAGTCTTGGTTAAAAAAAGCAAAAAAAAAAGGAAAAATAGCCAAAATACTCTATGGGAAACTACATTGAATATAAGAGTGTCAAAATGGGTCATTACCCATGAGTTGATCTTAATGATCAAAAATTTTAATAGGTTTGGGTTGAATTTTTTTACCCATATAAATAAATGGATTTTCGTGGGTTAGACCCTAATAGTTCATGGGTCTAATGGGTAAACCCATTAGAATTATGGGTTACCAATGAGTTTATCATAAAAACAAAAAGGTTATAAATATATAAAATATTTATAAATTTAAGGTTATATTTTATAATTTTATTTTATGTTTTAGCTAATTATGAGTATTTTATTTTATTTTAGTACACAAATATTACTATAAATTTGTTATTTGGCAGTTTTAGTTGAGTTTTCAATAATATGTAGTATATTTTTAAAAATTTATAATTAGAAAAAAACAGTTATTACTCATTTTTATATATGTGAGTACCCATATAATCCATTTAACCAGCGGGTATTAACATAAATGGGTTTAGGTTATAAATTACAGCCCAAAAATAGATGGGTCGGGTCATAACCCAACCCTATAACTTTCAAACCCGTCTTAGGGTCGGATTCGGTTGGGTTACCCATTTTGACACCCCTTCTGAATAATCACATTCTCAGCCATAATTTAGAAACTAACCATAATAATTCCTTGCCTAGAATATAGCTTATATATTTTATATTAATACCAATTTATACTATTTTAATTTTTGGTGAAAATCAAAGTCTATACCATTTTCTTTGTCTATATAGAACAAAACGAATTGTTTTTTTTTCTCACCTAGATTTGATAATTATGGGTTCAGGATTTATGGATTAGATTATGTGTTTTGTGCTTAGATTTAGTGTTTAAGTTATATATTTTTTGAGTTTTGGATTTATGATTTAGAGTTTTGAATATAATCATTTTTACTAGGACTTTTAGGTTTATGATTTAGTATTTGGATTTAGGATTTAGTATTTAGATTTTGGGTTTAGAGTTTAAATTTTGGGTTTAGAGTTTAAAATTAAGGTTTATGGTTTAGATTTTGGGTTTAGGGTTTATATTTTAGGTTTAGGGTGTAGAATTTGGGTGAGGGTTTAGATTTGTGATTTTGGATCTGGATTTTGAGGTTTAGGGTTTACGTATTAGGGTTTAGGGTTAATATAATAGGGTTTAGGATAGGGTGAACTATTTTTTTGCTATTCTTTGATATCAAGTGGTTAATAATTTCATAAAACTGTACTAATTTTTCTTTTAATGTATAGTAGTATGAACACTTTGTCTATACAGTATGGAACACAAATCTTTGAATGAGTAATCAAAAAGGTAATTTCGTCCACAGAAAAATTATTGGTTAGTTTGTACATATGGCTATATTCTTAAGTATAGTTGTAAATATGAATATTAAGCTAATTCATCCATACTCTATTGAGATTTTACAAGATGTGTTATTAATTTTCACTGTATTTATTTTCAGATTCTGAAAAACAATTGATAAGAAATCTCTTTTATACTCTACTGGGGGAGTTGCGCTTCGCTTGAAAATTTATATTGTTGCACTAATTTTTATTTTTTTCGAAAATTTAAATTATTTTTCAGGGTTATTATTATTTAAAAATATAATACACATAATAATTAAATATAATTAAGGTTAAGCAAAATTCTCGTCAATCTTGTCCTATTTTTTCCCATTTCGTTCGTTTTCATCATGTCTATTTTTTCTATCCCGTCCTCTGTCTTGTCCCGTCCAATCCCATCATATCCAATTATGTTATTTTCCATTTTGTTTTGTCCTAACCCGTTCCTTCTGTTTCTTCTCATTCCGTTCCCTAAATATAATTAGGGGTAGACAAAATTTTCATATAGTCTCATCTCGTCCAATTCCGTTCATTTTCATCTTGTCATGTTCATTTCCATCTTGTTTGTTCTGTCCGCCCCATCCAGTCCCATCATATCTAATTATTTTCATTTCCATTTTGTCTTATTTCTGTATCGTCTAAATATAATTAAGGGTAGGCAACATTCCCATCTCGTCCCTTCCCGTCCTGTTATATCCTTTTTCATTTTGTCCCGTCCAATCCCATCCCATTCCAATTCTTTTCATTTTTTTCCGTCCAACATTTATGTCTTGTCCTCTCTCGTCATGTTTTTTTTTCATATTTCCCATTCCACCCCTAAATATAATTAGATGTAGGCGAAATTTCCGTCTTGTCCTATTTTGTTCTTTTTGTGTTCCTTTAGATCTCGTCTCGTCACTTAATATCATAAGAAGTAAACAAAATTCTCCTTTTCTCCGATTCTATTTTTTTCGTCTCGTCATATTCAATCTCATCTTTTTTTTTCATCCAAAAATATTATAGAAAACAGTGTTCTTTGTATAATTTTCTAAGATAAATTTATCTCCCTCCTTTTTTTAAGATAATTTTTCTAAATTGTTTTACACATATTAAGAAAAAGTAGATTTTCAATCATTAGTGTATAGGTTTTTGCAATAAAACAACTTTCTATAAATTTAAACCAATAAAAATCTAACAAATCCAATTATTGTTTATTGAGAACTGAAAAAGTACTTCAAAAAGCTAAAATTTTTATCTTTGTCAAACGAAAAAAAAATGTCTAGAAAATTCATCTTAAAAAGACGGCGGGAGTATATTTTTTTCATTATTATTATTAAATAATATTTCTTTTAAGATTTAAACATAATATTTCTTTTATTTTATAAAAACGACTTTTCAACTTCTTGTAAAAACTATTGTAGTATTTAATGGTTATATTATTAAATGATCATAAAGAATTAAAATATAAGAAGAGAAAATATAATAAATTAAAATTAATAAATATTATGTTGACATGGCGAATTGAAGAATTTAGAAGCAGCCTTCTTCACTGACGTGATAGCACCGAAATATATATATTATATTTCCTAAATTACTTGTGTACATGTCTACATGTTTTTCTCTCTTTGTCTAAAACATATCTATATATTCGTTTTACAGCGCTAAATCAAATATATATTACAATATTCTTTTGTAATTGTATAATTAATTATGTTTTTGTTCCTGACTTCGCGTGTAAAATTTTAGCTTCGTAGTTAGTCAGATGAAAACTTACAGATTAGGTAAAACAGAAAAATAGATTTGTGTTTTCATAAGAAATTATTAGGACTTTTCTCTACGTAAACACACCTCAACCTTTATTAGAGCTGAAATTAGCATATATCTCTGAACCCATCACTATTAGAAATATCATAGAGGTTCAGCCTGACTTTGGGGATGATTGGTAGGGGCTGTGGTTGCTCTGCACAGCCATAAATCTCTCTACAGCAATACAAAATTACCAATCAAACTTTCATTCCATCTCTTTCCATTTTTGAAACACAGAGCAATTTTATTTATTTATGAAAGTTCCGTAGCTTTGGAAATCAATTTTTCTAAAGCACCAAATAAAGTGCTCTCAGAATTTTCTCTCTTCTCTTTCCTTATTATTCTTTCAACATTTATTTTTTAATCTATTATTTCTATATCTTAACTTTTTTGTTTTAATGTTATATTTAATGACACAATCTACAATAAAAAAATCTTACAGCACTAAAATCTACAATCACAGCCAAAATTTCTAGAGCATTAATTCTACAGCAAAAAAATTAAAGCTACAACCACAACAATCAGACCCTTTAGCTCTAGCCTCCTCTACAAAATGGCAAGTCTTAAGGAGAAAGACATAATCTTTGGGAAAATGTAAAGAAAGGCTCACGCCGGTTCGAAGAATGGAAGGAAATCAACGACAAGAGAAAGTTTTCCAATACGCTAAAGAGTAAGATATTCACCAAGAAACCGACTTATCATCACTATATAATGAAAACCCCATTCCTGAAGAAGGATCCAAAATCAGCTGCAAAAATCCTAGGTAATAGTAATCTTTTCTGTTTTCTCTTGTTATATCATTCATCGTCTTGTAAGTCGGGCTGGAAGTTGGCCAAGCTTGTGTGAAGAGACCAACTTCTTTTGTATTCCTTTGATTATCTTCGAGTTAATAATATCTTAGCTCCCAACAAAACTCAATCTTGAATATCCGTCTTCATGTAAAGTGTTAATTCACCGGAATAAACTAGGCTTGTATTAAGAAGAACGGGTTCACATACCCAGTTAAATAAGACACGAGTGTTTATAGTACGCGCTAAATCGGTTGACTGTCCATTTCCCTTTTCATAGTACGTGTTAAATCGGTTCTCACCCAAACTTTCCAGCGTTGTTCAATTTCACCCATTCTTTTTTTCGTTGTCGTGTCCCACATTTACGTTTTAATCCGCAAAATCCAGTTTTCGCTACAGTGATTGCTCATTTAAACACAATTTATCCAAGTGTCCATTCCTCTTCTATAGTACGCGTCAAATCGGTTCCCACCCAAACTTTCCGGCGTTGTCCAATTCTACCTATTCTTTTTTTTTTCGCTGTAGCGTCCCACATTTGCGGTTTAATCTCAAAATCCAGTTTTCACGACAGTGATTGCTCATTTAAACACGATTTATCCAAGTTTCCATTCCCCCTCCATAGTACGCGTTAAATTGGTTCCCACCCAAACTTTCCGGCACTGTTCAATTCCACCCATTCTTTTTTTCGTTGTCGTGTCCCACATTTGCGTTTTAATCCGCAAAATCCAGTTTTTGTGACAGTGATTGCTCATTTAAACACGATTTATCCAAGTGTCCATTCCCCCCCCCACAATACGCGTTAAATCCGTTCCCACCCAAAATTTCCGGCGCTGTCCAATTCTACCTATTCTTTTTTTTTTTCGCTGTCGCGTCCACATTTGCGTTTTAATCCGCGGCAATGATTGCTCATTTAATCACGATTTAACCAAGTTTTCAGAGTTAAACCTGAACTGGATTCCTTCTTAATTTAACCCGAATCCCTCTTAACCCGAATCCCTCTTCTGAGCTTAGTTATTTATCGTCAAAAGTCAAAACATAGATGAAGCAAATTTTCTGATCTCTGTTCGTCAGATGAAAACTTACAGATTAGGTAAAACAGAAAAAATAGACTTGAGTTTCCATAAGAAAATATGAGGACTTTCCTCTACCTAAACACACCTCAACCTTGTTACTCTTGGTTCAACTTCTTGATGCAAAAATCCAGCTTCAAAATATCACCGCGCAATTAATTGTGAGGGATCAACATGAAATTGTCTTGAGGGGTTTGGAAACTCACTTCAAGAACCCTCATCACTTCCGGTGATTCGTAAGTAGTGTGTCCATCCACAGTGTAAGAGAGATGATATGAGAACTTTCCTACTTGTGGAGCAGCTGGTGCAATGCAGTTCACAGTTACATAAACACCGTAAGGCTCCCTGAAACACTGCACTGCAAAACATAGTCTCGTATCTCTGTCCCTTAAAATCAGTATGTTATCACTGATGTTCAACTGTGCGCTAAAGGATCTGCCAAAGCAGAACAGTTTACGGAAGAGTGATGCCATGCCTCTCTTTTCGGGTGCAGTTTGAGCATTGAGAGAAGATGCATTCTTTCTCGTGAGTTGATTCTTTCCCATAAGTTAATTTGTAGGTGCATCCAAACTCGGAGTTTCTGCATGGCACAAAGGCTGATTCTATCACACTCTCCATTGCTCAGCATCGAATGTGGCCCACAGGCAAAGCACAAGCAGGGCACTTATTACTCAGTTTTGGACAGCAAGAAGAGCAATCCAAGTGCCCATTTTCACACTGAAACGCAAAAACCAATCAAGAATTACAAAGCAAACCTAACAAAGCATTCTCCACTTGACTTTACATCGGTCACAAGACCTAGTCAATGTCCAAATTTGTTTTCAAGGAAGCAGATGTAACCTGGAAGATAGGAACAGCGAGTGGCTCGCAGCAAACAGGACAGTTGATGACATCAAAATCCAGCATCAACGAGCGTGTTTTATCCTCTGTTCGTTGCTTCTTTTGCAAGTGAACGCTAGAGGAGCTCTCCATATCGATAAGCTTAACTCAGAATGGAAATGGAATCGAAACAGGTCTTACAAGTCTGCAAATATAAAACGGGAGAGATTTCAGGAAACCCCCACGAACAAAGAATATGAAACACCACAAACTCAAGTCTAAGTTGTTATCGCCAAAGCCAAAGAAACTAAAGTTAAACACCCAACAAGATTAGTGTTCCTAAAGCCAAATTAAAGATTTAACTACTAGTGTCATGGATTCTGAGTCAGAGTTCCGATTACAGAAAGTGTCACTTTCCTAAATTACTCAAAATTCAGTTCCCAATTTCACAACACAGGTACTGGACTTTTAATTGATTTCTTCAAAAATTGTCACTTGAAACAAAACATTCATATAATTTCGAGGCAGGATCTAATCTTACCAGCAACAATGACAGAATCCCAATCGGCTTCTCCAACTGTTTCAGATCCTAAGTCCCATTAACAAACTTGCATTCTGAAATTTGACAACCGTCGTGTCGTAGTGGTCGCAACACTCTCTTCACCTCCAACGCCGCCGTTTCCAGACGCAGAGGTGCTTTCTGATAGAGTAAACCCTGCAATATTCAATCAATCGGTGTTCCTTAAACACAGATTCTCTTATCACCAAAGCAAGAGCTTAGAATGAAGAATCAGCTCTAACTTTCAATGAAGAAAATAAGCTAGAATAGATTTCTTGTAAATTTCTGAAAGAATTATTCAAAGAGTGTAACAATCCTTATATAAGAGAAATAAAAGACTATGTCGGCTTAATGATTTGCCTACAATCTATTACTAATAAAAGTTGAGCCTATATGCATTAGAGGCTGTCCACCTAGGATTTAAAAGGTTGAATTTGATTGGTCCATGTCATTATTTTTTTTTTTTGCTTTTAAATTAATTTATGTAAATTTTCTATTTTAAGTTGAGCCTATATGCATTAGAGGCTGTCCACCTAGGATTTAAAAGGTTGAATTTGATTGGTCCATGTCATTATTTTTTTTTTTTGCTTTTAAATTAATTTATGTAAATTTTCTATTTTACATATTATTTATTAATTAATTTTCAGTAAAGATAATTTCTCTGATTTTACAATTTTCGAGAACTGAATTATAAGTTTCATATTCATAGATTATCTAAATTTACATATATTATTAGTATTAGTTTCTTTTTAGTGGAAAATTTACACATGTTTAAGTAATTATAGAAATAAATTTCCTATTCAGCCAAAAAGATGCTATGGTGTAGCGGTTATCACAATTGTCCTAAACTCAACAGGTATTGAGTTCGATCCTTTGCAGTCCCCTGTTTTTTTTTAAACCGTTTCAAAAATAATTATATGGACATTGCCATTAGGTTACCACAAAAAAAAAAAAAAAAATCAGACATCGGCATCTCCAAAACGGGATCTGCTACATCTTCTTCCCCTTTTTTCTACAAACCCTAAAACTGCATCTCACAAAACTCTCTCTCTCTCTCCACCGTCAAACAACAAAAATTCATTCTTCATTTCCAGATTTCGTAAATCGAATTGGATTTATTTTGCCCTAAACTCCCTATTTCGCATTGTTGCAAGTTTGAAGCTTCAGTACAACTTCAGTTGAGGGAGTATTAGACCAAAAATGGAGAAATTCGGAATCTATTACTAAGATAAGTCTTGTGATTTGACTGTACAATTCGGCTGCTTTAATTTCTGGCGAATATAAGATTGCTTCTTGGCATTTTTTTCTTATTTCTTCTTCCAAATTTATTTCTTGGTTTCATTATTTCGTTTTAGTCTAGAAGATTCTTGAAAAACAAATTGGATATTGTTTGATAAAGATTAGGATTTGGATAGTTCCTATTTTTGTAATTATCACTTCTCTAATTTCCTTATTGTACAATGACATTGATATACATTGATTCCTTTTTCCATTAGGAATAAGATGATCTTAAATCCTATATATATGTGGTCTTATTGCCACATGAAACCAAGTTCATAATATACATTCACATCTCTCAATCGATTTTTATAAGCCATGGCAAATTCATGCTCTTCTGTTTCTAATCAGTTAAGCCATACTTTGGTTTTCGATGATCTAAAAAAAGGTTTCAAAATAATGATTTGCTTGTCAGAGTCATCCACTTTAACTCGGTGACGTTATCGAAAATCATTTGACCAAAAAATCAAACCATCAATCGGCGATAAAGGGGAAAATTCGATTCAGAGCGAGAGTCGAAGGAGATCGAAAAGAAGAAGAAGCGTGAGCTCTCCCCTGGTAATAACAAGATTAGCAACAAAGAAGAGGGATCTAATGATGAGATGGTTCCGGTGGGAATAAGGAAGAAGAAATATTGTTCGATTGTGGTCGGTAAATGAAAGAAAAAGAAACGAAGCATTTCTAATTTCTATGAGATAGGAAAATCGAACCGTAACAAACCAAAAGAATTTAACCGGGAATTGGAAAAACAATTAAAAGATGATGACCACGGGAAGAAGAAGAAGCCATATGATATGGAAAAAGTGGGAATACATTTAACACGATTATATCATATGAAACAATTAAAAAAAAATTATTTTTTACTCCTGATCTTTCTGATTCCTTTCTTCCCGTCCTTAATGATCTGTAAAATACATTTATATTTTATTTTATTTTCTAGATATAAGACTTTTAAATACAAAAACAGTGATTTAAAAATAAAGAGATGAATTTATTGAATGGAATTAAATGCAACATAATTAAAATTACAAAAAAAATTAAGTATAAATCATAAATTCATAGCTGGAAAAGCTAAACAAATAAATAAAATTAAAAAATAAATTAAGAACTAAAATATGTATTAGACTAATATTGGATAAGTTTGCCAGATAACCTTTATTGGATATAAAAAAAATTGTCTAATGAATAGTAAAATTAAGGGATTAGTTTAAGAAATTTGAGGATTGGGCTGTTGTATGTTTTTATGACAAAAAATATTTTTAAAAGGTATCTTACTTATTATGACTACTTATAAAAATAATTAAATTGGTTAGGTAAAAAAAATTAAAAGTATATTACAAAAAAAAGTTTATTAAAAAAAATTATAAACAAAAATTGAAAAATAGTGAAGCATTTTAAAAATTTTTTTTAATAAATGAAACTATTATTTTCATCTCTTATCAAAGAAACAAAAAAAATTGATGACTCGAACTTGATATACAAATATTCTTAATTGAATCATACATTTTCTTAATATTATTGAATAAAATTAAAATAAAGAGGACATAAGATTTATTTACAAATATTAAAACGGAACCCGCGCGTGCGCGGGTAAAACACCTAGTAAATAAGTAAAACTTCCTATATCACTTTACGCTTTACCGGACTCTCCTCTGCAACATGCTTCAAAATCTTCATGGTGGTTGCAGAGACTGAATCCGTAGCGGGTGTGGTCGTACCGTTGTCGGAGGACGCTCGAGGGACGGAGATGAGAGAAACGCCAAGAGTCCGTCGGAGAGAGTGAAAGATGAAAAAGAGTGAAGAAAATAATAATATATTTAGATTTATTTATCTGCGTGGCACATTTATATTTTTTAGTTTTTACACATTTGTTGAGGTCTATTAGAGCATCTCAAACAATATCATTTTAGTGTAATTATATGATTACACTTTTTAATTTTTACACATTTGTTGAGGTCTATTATACTAAAATATTTTTAACACATTTGCTTTTAATAGCGTGATTAAATTTTTACACATTCTCCAAGAAAATTATTTTAGTGTAATTATATGATAAAATTTTAGTTTTAGAAAAAGAATTGTTAGCTTAATATACTGAAAAAATAGGGGAAATTTCAAAACTAGACTTTTTTTTATGTATATTTTCAAAGCTACATCTTTAGAGTGTCTATTTTCAAAACTACACTTTTTTATTGAGTAAAAGAACTCTAAACTCAAAATCTAAACCCTAAACCTTAAAATCTAACATAAAACCTTAAAATCTAACTTTAAACTGTTAAATCTAAATCTTAAACCCCAAAATATAAACTCTATTTAGAGATTAGGGAACTCAAACTAGGATGTGAAAAATAGTAAAAAGTGTAATTGTGAAAATTAGCACCCCAAAATGTGTATTTCTTAAAAATTATCATAAATATACCTATAATTCAATTATATTCCATGCGATTTAATCTAATTGCAGTCCTCCACCATCTTCTAAGCATATATGTGTAGAAGTAGAACATCAATTTATTTTCATAAAAACAATCTGGATATAATCATATTTAATAATAGTCAACAAGATGTGTAAGGGTTTCCACTAATGGATATCCAAATATGATTACACGAATATCCAAATTAATGAAATTACGTTAAAAAAACTATAAAATGACAGTTATGTTTTCGAATATCCACTTTTCATCATTGTATATAACACTATAATGTTAAATTTTACATATTACTAGGGCTTAGCCCGCGCGATGCGCGGGTTGTGACTATTACAAAATTTTATCATTTATATCAAAATATTTTACAACAATTTTGTATAATTTCTTTTTTTCCAAATCTGTAAATTCCTATGAGTTGGTTTAATATTACTAATTTTTTTCATAATTTGAAAACTAACCTTGATTTTTAAAATTTTGAAAACTAACTTTTTTAATAAGTGAAAAGACAATAAAACCATTATCATTTCCTATTAATAATGAGAAAAAAATTCTTATTTAATTTAGATATATATTTAATTTAGATATATATAAGATATTTTCGAAAATTTGTTTATATATTTTTTAATAAATATTTAAAAATACACATGTTATTTTGAAAATATATTCATATTTATCATAAAAATGAATCAAACTCTATAAATATATACACATAAATATCATTTTAGAACAAAGAAAAACTCACACTTCATTCTTAAAAAAAAATGATGGAATGTGTTAAAGTTAACTCATGTTCTATATTTATGACATGTTAAATTTCAAATAAAATTTTCTAAATATCTTTTTGTTTTCTTGTTGTAAATTTTATTCAGATTTTATAGGAATATCCCACACTAAAGTTTTTTTTAATTATATAAAATAAAAATAATTGTTTATAATTATCCATAACAGAATAACAGAATTTTTTTTTACAATTTAAATAATTTTTAAATAAGATAAACGAAATTTTAAAACAATTTTAATATCTAAAAAAATTGAGGGTATTTTAGTAATTTTAAATATTAGAAAGATTAGTTTACCAACATTTTAAAAAGGGGTTAGTTTTCAAAATATGATTAATTTATGTAATATTGGTCCAAATTTCCTCTTCTTTTAATTTAACAATAAAAGTATGTTTAAAATTTAATATTTTCAAAAAGAGCAAATGATGAATTATTGATGCTACACTTGGTAGTCAAACTCACGATTCCATTAAATGGAGATAACTCGACCGCGAAGAAAGCTGTCTCAGATGTCAAAATAACGTCGTTTTGTCCCAAAATAAAATGAAAAAAAAAATTGATTTTCTTGGTTAGACCATCTCCAATGTATTCCATCATTTTCTCCCTTATTTTAGTGTTCCCTTATAATAGTGTGATGTTTCTCTCCAATATATTCCCTTATTTTTTACACTAAAAATGAATATTATATTTTATATAAAAACTTTTTATTTATAATTTTTATAAATTAGCCCCACTTATTTTATTCTTTGAGAAAAAACCATAAATTAATATATTATTTAAACTAAATGTTTCTTATTTAAAGTAATTAAGCTACATTGTTAATTAAAAATATAAAGTATGATAGATTTTAGTTTATAAACTTTAATAATTATGATATAATTGAAATAAATATTTAAATATAATTTGTTTAGGTTCAAAATAAGAAAAAGTTAAATTTGACGGATCATTATGCAAATAAAAAGTATAACATCAAAAATAAGGGAGAAATAAAATCACACTATATTTGAAGGAAAAAATAGTGTTCCCTTATTTTGATGGGAAATATAAGGGTGGGTTGGAGAAGAGTTTTACACTAAAATAGTGTTTAAGGGGAAATATAAGGGTGGGTTGAAGATGCTCTGAGAGTTCAATTTTGGTTTGATTCCGTTGATTCTGTTGATTCTAAAACTAACTGATTATTAATATTCAATTAAATTCTTATTTGTTTCCCTGAAATAAACGTGAAATTTAATTTAACTTAAGTTATATGGAATCGGAAGCGGGTATGGTACACAGAATTGAAAGTGTTTAAAAGCAAAAGAAACTAATTTTTAGAAAAAAATAGAAAGTGGTAAGTGATTAAAGCATATATATATAGTAGACCTCTATAAAGTAAAACTCGATAAAGTAATAATCACTATAAGATAATAAATTTCTCTGATCCCAACTCGGGCCAATGTAAAAATAAGCAAAATGCGATAAGATAATAAGATAATAATATTTTTGAAACTCTTATGTAAAAATATGGTTCCAATTATAAGTTAAAGTAATAATTATATAAAAATATACATTGTATATGTCTAAGAAAATTATTAATCTATGAATTTAAGTTTATCTCTAACTTTTTCTTATATAAAAAACTCATTATACAATTTCTATGCATGTGATTTCTAAAGACATTATTTTCGACTTCATTAGTTTAAATTTTATTCTGTATTAAATTTTATATAGATATAAATATATAGAAGCTAATAATATATGTTTTGTTACGATATTGAAAAGATGTGTAATCATAATTTCAAGTTTATGTATGTCATATTAATAAATAAATTATTTTAAATTCTTAATATTTTTTCATATCGAGAACAATTTTCGAAGATTATTAATTATAATATATATAAACATTGAATTTATTCATAAAGTAATACCTCTATAAGATAATAAATTTTTAAAGTCCCAACATTATTACTTTATAGAAGTTTTACTGTATACTATTATAGACAATTTTATAAACGTATTTTATAAACGTATTTTCTTTCCCTTTAATTTTATGAAAGGCATCATTATGATTTACTTTAATATTAGGCAATATAAGTATAATACCAATCTATATAATAAAATAAACTAAAATAACACGTGTAACTTGAAAACCCTAATTCCTTCTTCTCCTTCGTTACTGCAGCCTCCTATTACATTATTGATAAAATATGTTTCTTGGCTGTATTATTAGATTGAAACTCAATTTCACATAATGCGACAGGAATTGAACCACCTATATGGTTACATACACAGATCCGATTATTTGACAAATGCTTTCACTTTCAATCTCTCTTCCAGAACGATCCAAACGATGACGTTTTCTCCTTCTTAACCACTCCCAACGAATCCGACTTCTCCTCGCCGACGACAGCCGAAGTCCACGCTTTTCAACCGGTTTTCCTACTCCTCAACATCTTCCTCCGCGATGAATCTCACCCTTCTGGTCCTTCCGTCGACGGCAGGAACAAACGCATCGACTACATGATCCAGTTCCTCGATCGGAGGCTCAGCGAGGACGGCAATTTTGACGGGATCGGAGTGGAGAACGGTGACGGCTCAGATTCTCTACCGGAATTCGTTGGGAAGTGTGGTGGAACGGCTCCGATCTTCAAGGGTCGGAAACTGTGCAAGCGATAGAAAACGGCGGAAGTCTAAACTAAACGATTTTAGGTTTATGTGTTAATTTTTTTTTAACAGGACACTGCCACGTGTCATCTTTATAGAAAAGAAAAGATTTGCCAGGTGTCAGCAAATTGGAGAGTGATATCCATCTATTATAATATAGATGTGCATGTATTTTAATGTTTAGCTTTTGTTTTTCTTTGCGAGGAACTTGTATATGCATATATAGTTATATTATGCCTAAAATATCATGACTTATAATGTTATGTTTGAAAGTGGGAAACCACTATACTATATAGTATATGCATATATAGATATATTACTATGTTTAGTTTGTTCTATACGTCTTAATTGGATTGAATTTGATAGACAAAGTGTATTCGCAAATCCCGAAGCAATGATCTATGAATTTCACAGGCTTATCATGGAATCGAACTTCATAGCTTTCCTTTTTTTCAGGTAAGAAACAATTTAGAGTGTCACCTTTTCCATGTAGCAGAAAGACAATCTTATTGGATATTTTGAATATTGTTCCTTTGTTTTGGTCTATGTGCCCTTTCACACTACCTATTCGGGACATAGTTATTGAATCGTGTAAGCGCTTTTCCTTTCATAAATTGATCAACTACTAATTACGTGAGCACCATGAACCATAACTATTAATCGCATCAAAATTTTGTACTATGTAACATAAAATCATTCTGACCAACAAAAGTTGCAAAACAAACAACGCCACTAGTACGTGTAAGCAATGACTAGCATAACTAAATCCTTTTGACCAATTTGATTTTACGTCATCATTTTATTTTTATACAAGTATTTGATAAGATTTAGTGTGTGTTATAATAGGATATCTACTCTATGACATTGTCAGTTTAATGTTTATAAACTAACGTTGACTCGAGAAATGATATCTATGTTATATATCTTTAACTAATAATTTTGTAACATAAGAAGATGTCTACACATAATTTGTATATAGGTATCTTTGTCTAGTTTACATTTGCCAAGACAGAACAATACTCGACTCACTTGAAAATGTCTTCACGACAGTTGCAAAAAGCCATAGAGAACCCAACTCTTGAGCTCAAAATTGTATCAGCTAGTGAGGTCAGCCATAACGATGTCACGGACAAAATGGACGTATACGCCGTCGTTTCAATCAACGGCGACGACACCACTCAACCAAAACAAGCGGCGAAAACACCCATCGACTACGACGGTGGTTCCAATCCGACGTGGAATCACACCGTGAAGTTCTCCATCAACGAGAGAGAAGCCAACGAAGGCCTATCGAATATTAAGGTCGAGTTATTTAGCTATTGGCTCGAAGGCAAAGATGATCTTTATCTAGGAGAAGTCAACGTCTCGGTTCGGGAGATTCTTGCCTCTAAACCGTTTGCTAACGGTAGCGTCAACAAAATGAAGTCATTGACTTGTCCTATCAAAGTCACAGAAGGAGGAAGTGCCAAAGCAACGATAAGCCTCTTGTACCGATTTAAACCGGTACCAGTTGAAGAACCGTGCCTTCCGGAACCGGTCAATTCTCCATCGATTGGTCAACCTGTTTATCCAAAACCGGATCAAGCAATACAAGGTCAGCCTGTAGTATTCTCTCCTCGGTTTCAATCTTCCACGGGAAAACTGATTCTTGAGGTCGTGATCAAATACGCCAAAGACATCGAAGATGTCAACGCTTTCTCAGTGATGGACGTATATGCATCTGTTGCCATCCTTAAGGACAGGAAGGTTAAAAATCGGATTAATACACCTATAGCTGTCTTCGCCAATACAAACCCAAAATGGAACCAGGCGATGAAGTTTTGTCTCGACGAGAAGTTAGCTCAAGAAGGACGTTTGATCCTCCTCGTTGAACTGATGAGCCACAGGCCTTTTCTTGGTGATAAAGAAATCGGTTTCGTTAGAATTCCGATTAAACAGCTCTTGAGCTCAAACCCATCAACTTCCTTGACCAACGGTGATGCTAACGGTATGAGGTTCGAGACGCACGCTTTGACTGGTCCTTACGGGTTAAAAGGTGTCGTGAGCTTCACGTATAGGTTCCTTGCGGAACAAGCTACGGTTTCAACTGTTCCACAACCATCTACAACGTCTCAAGTTCAACCATATATTATGTATCTACCGCCACAATCATACGCGTCGTCGGATCCGATTCAGGTGGCCTCGAGTTACATGACTGTTCAACCAGGTGGTTTAAATGCTGGGCCAAGCAACGGTCTAGTACCAATATATATGCCGCCAACATATCAGTCACATGGATACCAACAATATTCACCACGGCACCCGTTACCACCGCAACAACATTCGCAGCTTAAACCCCTGCCTCATCAGCCATTCCCTCAGGCACTACAGGATACACAAGAAGCGTAATATGTCGCACCCGTGACTTGTTCTACATTTAAAGCATTGAAAATACTTTTTTTTTTTTTTTTCTCATTTTGTTATATTTAAATGCATTAATGGATGTCTTTTTGGTTGTATTTTTTTTCTTGCATTTTCTTTCTTTGTTTTTCATTTTTATATGAGCAGTTGTTTATATATATATATATATATATATATATATATATATATATTTTTTTTTGGTAAATCACCGGGAACAAAGCTCCCAGATTTTATTACTTAAAAATATTACACATGAACGGCCCTGTTCGTTTGCTCATTCAGCTGATTCATCTGGATGATGCAGTTGGATGATGTTAGTTTAATACAAAAAAATGAGCATCATTCAGCTGATCCATCCAGATAGGTCAGCTGAGATTTAAAAAATTTAGGCTAAAATTTTAATATTCAGCTGATCCGAATTGAAGCATCTGGCTGAGCCATCTTCATTCCAAATATACAAATGACAAATATATCATTCAAAATATATTTAAACAAAAATAAAATTATAGATTTATTTATTCTTTCTAAATATAAAAACATCAAAATCATTTTTTTTTATCAAAACTAAGAAATCAAAATTATTCGCAAAATTCTATTTTATCGCCTCAACCGCAAAATTATGTTTTCCGTCTAAAAGCAAAAAATAACATTTTTCCACAAAAATCGCAAAATTGTGATTTATCTCCAAAACCGCAAAATAACATTTTTCCGCAAAAGCAAAAATAACGATTTTCCCACCAAAACCGCGAAATATCATTTTCCCGCCGAAATCGCTAAATTGTGTTTTCCCGACAAAAACGTGAAATAACATTTTTCCCCCGAAATCGCAAAATTGTGTTTTCCCGTCGAACCGCAAAATAACAATTTTCCCGCCAAAATCGCAAAATAACATTTTTCCGCAAAAGCAAAAATAACGATTTTCCCGCCAAAACCGCGAAATAACATTTTCCTGCAAAACCAAAAATAACGCATTTCCTACAAAAATCGCTAAATAATGTTTTTCCGCCGAAATCTCGGAACTGTGTTTTCCCGTCTAAACCGCAAAATTACGATTTTCCGCATGCCGCTAAAATCGTAAAATCAATTTTTTTCCGCCAAAATCGCAATATCACATTTATCTGCCAAAACCTAGAAATTGCGTTTTTTCTGGCGAAACCGCAAAATTACGGTTTTCCGCTTAAACTGCAAAATCGCGAAATTTTCATTGAAATCTAAAATCATATATTTTTCCCGCAAAGTAGTAGATTTCCGCTTAAACCGTAAAATCATATATTTTTATCGAAATCGCGCTTTTCCATTTAAACAAAAACCCTTTTTTCTGCTTAAATCCCAAAATCGTGGGTTTCTGCTTAAGCCGCAAAGTCACGAAATTTCCACCGAAACAGTGAAATTACGTTTTCCATTTAAAACCGCAAAATCACAATTTTCCGTTTAAAACCATAAAATCACAATTTTCCGTTTAAACCTTAAATTCATATTTTTTCTTCTGAAATCACAAAATCGTGTTTTTCCGCTTAAACCGAGAAATCACATTTTTGTTGATACCCCAAAATCATATTTTTCGCTTAAAACGTAATTTCGCGGTTTTTTGCTAAAACCGCGTGAAATTGTTTTTTCGACCAAACTGTGAAATCTCGTTGTTCTGTTAAAACCACGAAACTACATTTTGTTGTGTTCATTTTTTAGAATGGTTATAAGTTTTATGATTGTTGGAATTACAAGAATCTGATATGTGAAAATATTGGATTATCTTATTATATAAAGCTGGATGCGCACGACGTGGTTGCGACACGTAGGATTTTTATAAAATATAGGATTGCGACATGTGTCACTTTTAATGTTATATCCGTTAAGATCGTGACACATGTCTTCGGAAAAGGAAATTTTTATTTTAAAGGGTAAATTTTAATATCTTATAATAAAAACGAAATTTTATATAATAAAATGAAAATAATGTAATAAAAAATTCCTATTAGTGCATGGAATAGGTATGTAAACTAAATATCCTAAAATTGTATGGAATAGGTTATATAAACTCCTATTTAAAGAAATTCTATTAGTACATGTAATAAGTATGTAAACTAAATATCCTAAAACTGTATGAAATTGGTTACATGAACCCCTATAAAAAGGAAGAAATAATTAAAAAATGTTACATCCAATAAGAAAAGGAATAAAAAAACACATTCCCATTACGAAAATGAAAAAAAAAAACAATATATAACAAGCTATATTTTTTAAGTTTCTTTCTCATTAAGAAATAAAATTCATGTCTTTAAAAGTTAAAGATATCAATGAAGAATACTTAACTTTAGATCGATACATGTGTCTAATATTTGATGAAGTGATGACATGTGTCAACACAAGAAAATTGGAAAAATGTAGTAACATAAATAAATAAACTAACAAAATAATATTAAAACAACTAACTAATAATGAAAATGAAAATTTATAATGGTCAGAGGCAAAAACAAAATCGAAAAAGAAACAATATAAATAGAAAACTAACAAAATAACTATTAAGGAACTAAATAAGATTAAAAAAGAAAATTTTATAATGGACTGATCTTCTAATATTATATAGTTTAATTTTCCATGTTTTGATAGCTAAAACAATATTAAAAATAAAGATTTCATCATGGAATAATCAAAGTTTCATAAAATAATGAGTCGATTAGATTTAGACACATGTAAATCTTTCTATTTCATATCATGAATTCAAAATAAAAATGTAAAAGACTACATATCTTTATTTAGAGATTTGTTATCGGGTTTTTAATATTATTTTCTTATTTTTAAAATTGATCAAATTTTGTTTAATATTCTTCCGTGATTTAAAAAATAAAAATAAATAAACCCGCGTATACGCGGGGCCTAATCTAGTAGTTTATAAAGTTGTGTTTTTTTCTCTCAAATCAAAATAAGGGTATTTTCGTCATTATCTATTACAAGCAATTGAATGATCCATCTGACTGAAGAAACAAACAAGAGAATCATCTGACTGAACCATCTGGCTGAATCATCCGGATGAGAGAAAAAAAAAGCGAACAACATCCAACTGCTTCATCTGAATGGTTTATCTGGCTGAATCATCCAGGTGGAGCATCCAACTATGCAAACGAACAGGGCCGAACTTGCCGTGTTTGCGCGACTCCACAAAAGTCATCACGCAACACTGACGCTAAGTCAAGAGGAACTGAATCAAAATCATGCAAGCCCAAGGGCAACGAAAACACATAGGTTGCTAGTCCATCTGCCAGACGATTAGCCTCTCTATACACGTGAGAGAATCGGACTTCTCAATCCTTCAAAGCAAAGCCGTAGCACAACTGTACCAGGAAAGACAAAGGATGTGTATCTGAAATCCCTGTCGTCAAGAACCCAACCACCATTGATGAATCAATCTCTACCTCTAGGCGCCGGACTTGCTTCTCCCAAGCAATGCAAAGCCCATAATACACGCCCCACAACTCTGCCCACGGCGCTGTGCAGCGCCCAATGTTCAAAGCAAAGCCACCACACCACTGCCCATCCCCATTACGTAGCACTCCACCAGCCGTTGCTGCACCCGGGTTTCCATGTGATGCGCCATCTGTATTAAGCTTCGTCCAACCCACCAATAGCGGTGTCCACGAAATTAGGCGCTCCTGCCTATTGGTCGATCTCACACCATGTTCCCCGATTCTTCCGGCTGATACCTCTTTGACATATTCCTTCACAAATTTCACTCTGTCTCTCCAGAGAGTGTTATCCCCGAAAACGTTCCCGCATCTCCATTTCCATGCCCACCAAACTGTGACCGCGAACACCGTAGATCAAGCTCCATTTTCCGTCGTAGTGTTCTCACTGAGATTTACGAACAGCCACTCCAAACAAGACATAGCAAAGAATGCGTCTTGTTTTCCACGCGGCACAATCCGCGTCCATATTCCCAATATTGCCGGACAGTCACAAAACACATATATTATTGACTCCACACCGCCTTTGCATACTTGACAAATCTCTGTATCTCCAATGTGTCGACGAAACCGCTCATGGTTTGTCATTATAGCCTTGTTTCCTACTAATCAAAAGAAGACCCGTACTCTCTCAGGCGCTGTGACTCTCCACACTTGCTTAAAAAACGAACTCATATTCGGCTTATGTGAATTGTCTCAACACAAGAACCGGTATGCTGACGAGACCGTAAACCGACCATCAGGTGTCTCCCTCCATGATAACCGATCTCTCGCTCCTGTCACATTATCAACTACCACAGTTGCCAACTCTAATCTTGTCTCCTCCGATAAAAACTGTGCAATTCTTGACATGTCCCATCCGAGACCCTCCAACCATAGATCTGATACTTTGAGATGTCTCAATTCCTCTGGTAATTCCTCCACCAACACGTCAATAAGAGTATCATTCCCGATCAACTTGACTGTCCAGAAGTCGACATTTCGACCATCCCCAACAACCCACCCATGTCCCAGACGAATCACCTCACGCATTCCCACCACCACACTCCTCCAGGTAGAAGACCACAGACCTCTCACAGTGGTCCAAGCAACATCACAGATATCTCCAACTTTATATTTGCTCCTCAGCACTCGTGCTCACAAAGCTGTGTTCTCATGCAGAAGTCGCCACCCAACTTTAGCAATCAAAGCTTTGCTCATCAGGTTTGCTTTCCGGATCCCTAGCCCACCATCCGCCTTCAGAGAGCAAATCTTATCCCATCCAATGAGATGTTGTTTCCTTGTCTCCGGTGTAGACCCCCAGATAAAATCTCTTGACACACGATCCAGTGCCTTAGTTGTCGATTCCGGTAATCTGATGGAGCTCATTGTATGAACCGGTACCGAACCCGAGACTGCTTTCGTTAGTGTTATACGACCGGCTAAACTCAACATCCGACCCTTCCATCCTGCAAGCTTAGACGACATACGTTCTAACACTGTTCCGAATGTCTCTTTGTTGATCCTTTTTTGTAAAATAGGCATTCCTAAATATTTTTCCAGCTCCCTTGTTGCTTGGATCCCACTCTCAGCACTCACTGCACTACTCAACTCTCTAGATACATTCTCAGAGAAAAAAAACTTTGATTTCTCCAAACTAACCTTTTGACCTGAAGCTTGACAAAACTTCTCCAAAATCCGCCGTATTACTAGTATTTGCGCTACAGACGCTTCAGCAAACAGAATCAGATCGTCGGCAAAGCAAATGTGTGACAGCTTCGGCCCTCCTCTTGACAGACAAATCGGTTTCCATTCTTTTGCATCAATAGCTAGCTCAATCAAATGACACAGTCGCTCCATGCACAATACGAACAAGTATGGTGATAACGGGTCACCTTGACGTAATCCCCTTAAAGGTTTAAACGGCTCTGTCTTTTCTCCATTCCAAAGTAACGACATAGAGGGCCCTGACACGCACTACATAACCCATTGTACCTAACTCTCCGAGAAACCAGCAGCTCAAAGTGAATCTTCCAAAAAATCCCATCTGATTCGGTCATATGCTTTCTCAAGATCAAGCTTCAGGAGCATCCATCCCTTTCGGCCTTTCTTCCTCCTCATTGAATGAACTGCCTCCTGAACAATCACAATATTATCTATCCTGAGTCATCCTGGTATGAAACTCGATTGTGCAGGGCCAATTAACTTCGTCATAACTGGCTTTAGTCTTCCCACCATAGTTTTAGTAATAATGTTAAACAAGACATTACACAAACTGATCGGGCGAAACTGTTGGATCATCTCCGGACTCGTCACGCTAACAACACCACAATCGCATCGTTTGTATTTGGCAGCAAAACTCCTGTGCGAAAGAAATCAAGCACAAATCTTGTAACCGAACCACCAACCTCCTCCCAACATCTCTGGTAAAACACCGGTCGATAGCTATCAGGTCCCGGTGCTTTGAAACGGCCCATAGCTCTCACTGCAGTCGCTATCTCTTCTTCTGTGGATGGAGCATTCAGTATTCCAATCTCCCTCTGCGTTAGCTCCATGAATCCCTCCGGCGATAACTTCTCTACGATCTGGTCCACATCCTCCAGAGAGTATAAACGTCGATAATACTCCACCGCCATTGACTCGAGTGCTTGTGTATCGGTCAACCAAGTTCCTTCCGCATTTCGGAGCATCTTTGTACGGTTTCGTCTCCTGCGGATGATAGTAGACGCATGGAAGAAGGTAGTATTTCTATCTCCCTGTGTTACCCATTTTTCCCGAGACTTTTTAAACCAAATCAACTCCTCTTGTTCAAGCACTACATCCAAATCTTTCTGAAGCTCCCACTCCCTCTGAATTAGTGCATCTTATTGCTGCTGTTCAATGTCTTCCTGGACCCTTATCAACTCCTTTGCCAACTCATCCTTCCTTCTTTGAACATCTCCGAACACCTCTTTATTCCACCTTCTCAAAACCCGCTCAACCTTACTCAATGCATTCCTAGTATCAATGTTGGGGTCCCAAGACGCCGAAAGGAGCTCCTTGAAACTGTCATGACACAGCCAAGCCGCTTCGAACCTAAAAGGTCTTCTGCTCGGATCCCCTGTAGCCGGTGGAGACAACTGTAAGTACAACGCCGAGTGGTCAGAGGCTAAGAATGGTAAGTGGGTAACCCTAGCTTCCTGCCACTTCAAGCGTGTTTGAGCGCAACACAAAACTCGATCCAGCCGTTTTGCGATGAAGAATCTCTCCTCTCTGCCCCTCTTCCAAGTAAACTTGTTGCCTTTATACCCCATATCAATGAGAAGCATCTCGTTGATCCAGTCGCCGAAAGCCAAATAGTCCGATGAGAGACGCCCATTACCACTCGTTCTCTCATACAGTCTTACAATCATATTAAAATATCCTCCTATAATTAACGGATCATTGACCTCACGGATTTCATCCCGTAATTGATCCCAGAACCCACTTCTTCAATTAGCCGCTGGCGCTGCATACACCACAATGATGTGTATAATCTCCACCCCTTTTTTCACCCTCACATGAATAAATTGGTCCGCCGATTTCAAAACCACTACTTCCCAAATTCCATGTCTCCAGAGTATCCACAAACCACCACTCTGCCCCAGTGCATCTACACGAAACGAATCCTCAAATCCTAACCCCTGACAAATACGTCCGGCATTCTCTGCCCCTGTGTGCGTTTCGAATATAGCCAGGATGTCCGTCGGTCACTTCTTCAACATATAGCAGATCGATCGTCAGAAATTGGGTTTGTTAGCCCCCCGGCAGTTCCATAAAAGACAATTCATCATAAACTTTTGATTCAGCACTAGAAATACCGGGGTAACTCCTCATGCTTCATTCACCGCAATCGGACTTCCCGAAGAGGACCCAATCGATGCCTATTCTTCCGCCGACAAGCTTCCCTCTTTACCCATTTGAGCATCCATCGTCTCAACAAGTGAATTCTTTTCCGGTGCATGATTCTCCCTTTCAAATGTCCTCCCCGTCACGATGAAACCACCAGATCTACCAACAGCTCCTTGCTTGACTCGGAGTCGTTTACCACTCGTCGAGAGCTCAAGTTCGCCTTTCGCCGGACCAAACACTAATCCTCTGGCGGGCCTAGTCAGATTTGCCTTCTTGGGCCGACCCGACTCTGCACTTTTTCCATTCTCATGCTTCTTGTTTTTCGAGCCCAGTCGACTAGGATTCGGGTGTGGGCCTGATGAAGCTCTAAACACAAGCCCACTAGCATTCTCTCCATCAATTGCTTCCTCAATAACGAAGTCCGGCGCGATATTCTCCTTATTCCCGCTCCCGACATTAACCTCCATTCCTTTCTCGTTCACACGCGATTCACTGGCTCCGACATCCATGTACGTATCTAATCCCTTCCTTAACTCACCTGATTCCATATCTTCTCCAAGATTTCCAAAACTGTTAGACAACGCAATATTCGGCAAATCTTTCCCTTTTCGTGATTCACGTACTTTATTTCCCATATTGTTCTGATCGATGACCTCCATCGGTCTCCGGCCACCACGACTGACTGTGGTGAAACCCTCGTTCGCCGGAACAATTTATTTCCCACTAGCTTGTGCCGGGACCACTTGTCTTTCTGTTTGGGTAACATTCTCGTGAACCTTCTTTGAGCAGGTATGAACTGAATGACCGAAGAGACCACATAACGAAGAAATGTTAGATAGCCCCTCATATGAAACGAAGTATCTTTCTCCATTGACCATCACCGTCCCTTTCAATGGTTTCTTCAAATTCACCTCCACTCACACGCGTGCGAATCTAGCCCTCTCAAAGTTTAGAGTCGTGCCATCCACTCTAACTGGTGAACCGATCTCTTTTGCTATCCCCATCAAGATGGACTTGTGATAAAAATTCACCGGGAGATTCGATAATCTCACCCACACCAATGTCGTTTCTATTTCACTTCTCAACGGATCAAACTGCGACAACCAAGCTTGGACCATAAGTAAACTACCGAACGATGTAAGTATATTTATCTCTCAACTACTTTGTTATAATATTCTTTTTAGTATTTTGTTTAAATAAGATGATATTATAAGTATAACACATTAACACAAGAAATAGTAACATCTTATTAGACAGTTAAAACATGTTTGAATCAAATTTGTTTACGGATCACGGTAAAGTCCGATTCGAGTGTACAAGTCGAATTTACATAAAAGCTCATGCCGTTGCCTTGAAACCCTTTTAAAAAGGGTAATTTTATAGTCATGTCGTACGTAGCCGACCTACTCAAGCATCGGAAACGTGAGTGGGAATGCCACTAAATTTAAAGAATATATTTTTCTTAGTTTGATTCTCATAACTTTCATAGAAAATTAAGTAGACAATTAATGTATGCCAAACAATACTTTTTAACTCATGTCAAACAATAGTTTTTATTCATTTGTAAGATCATAAATTAATTATTTTATGCTTTTGGAAGTGTAGGAGGACACACGCAGTAACAACCGATACCAAAACACAATGGTTTGCAACCTGGCCTACAAAAACTAGTTCCTTTTTCCTCAATCAGTGAAGCTTCAAGTTGGAGAGAAGTTTCTTCATGTAACATACGTTTTGCCTCAACAATCTGAACTGTTACGGATATCATCACTGCAACCACAATAATTAAGCATAAGTAACATAATCTAATTGTTTGCCATCACATAAACTAGATATGTATCTAAATAAATATTGCATAAGGTTTATGTAATAGATTTAGAGGTACATATTATATAAAACACTAATTACTTACCAGTAAAAGCTAAAAGAACGAGGAAAGCAGAATTCATTGAAAATTTAACCATTGTCGTAGAAAGTTTTGTTTTATTCTCTGATAATCTTGTAGAACAACAAAGACAAAGTGATTGATATGTCTATGGACAATGTACAACGTTTTTATAGCAGAGACGCTGTCGAGTACATGCTAAATTTGTATATATGGTAAACACAATTAACAGATCAAATATCCTCAAAATAGTAGTATGTACACAACAGCACACCTCTTATCTTCCTCTTATCTGTTAATTCAAGTGGTGTGCTGTCGAGTACAGGCTAAATTTGTATATATAGTAAACATAATTAACAGATAAGAGGAAGATAAGAGGTGTGCTGTCGTGTACATACTACTATTTTGAGGAGATTTGATCTGTTGATTGTGTTTACCATATATACAAATTTAGCCTGTACTCGACAGCACACCTTTCTCTGCTATAAAAACGTTGTACATTGTCCATAGATATATCAATCACTTTGTCTTTGTTGTTCTCCAAAATTATCAGAGAATATAACAAAACTTTCTACGACAATGGTTAAATTTTCATTGAAGTCTGCTTTCTTCGTTCTTTTAACTTTTACTGGTAAGTAATTAGTATTTTATATAATATGTACCTCTAAATCCATTACATAAACCTTATGCAATATTTATTTAGATACATATCTAGTTTATGTGATGGCAAACAATTAGATTATGTTACTTATGCTTAATTATTGTGTTTGCAGTGATGATATCCGTAACAGTTCAGAATGTTGAGGCAAAACGTATGTTACATGAAGAAACTTCTCTCCAACTTGAAGCTTCATCGATTGAGGAAAAAGGAACTAGTTTTTGTAGGCCAGGTTGCAAACCATTGTGTTTTGGTACCGGTTGTTACTGCATGTGTCCTCCTACACTTCCAAAAGCATAAAATTATTAATTTATGATCTCGCAAATGAATAAAAACTATTGTTTGACATGAGTTAAAAAGTATTGTTTGACATACAATAATTGTCTACTTAATTTTCTATGAAAGTTGTGAGAATCAAACTAAGGAAAATATATTCTTTAAATTTAGTGGCATTCCCACTCACGTTTCCGATGCTTGAGTAGGTCGGCTACGTACGACATCACTATAAAATTACCCTTTTTAAAAGGGTTTCAAGGCAACGGCATGAGAATTTATGTAAATTCGACTTGGACACTCGAATCGGACTTTACCGTGATCCGTAAATAAATTTGATTCAAACATGTTTTAACTGTCTAATAAGGTGTTACTATTTCTTGTGTTAATGTGTTATACTTATAATATCATCTTATTTAAACAAAATACTAAAAAGAATATTATAACAAAGTAGTTTATATATTTTGTTATAGTGGTCAACTATGAGATTGTTTAATCTATTTTCATATATTTTTGTTCCTCTGTAATCTCCGTTATCTTTAAAATAACAAAAGGTTCGTTTTTTTTTTCACTTTCTTTTGTTTATTCATATTTATGTCTTTTTCTCAGTTTTCCTTTCTAATTTTAATATACCAGATTATAATTAGATTTCAGTTTATTTCAAATAAACATCCAATAACACCACTAAGTTTCCAAACATGACAAAGAAAAAGATTGATCTTTCAGATTTCAAATTACAATAGAAAACCCTTATGGTACATTGGGGTTACACAAAGACACAAGTTCTTCTTCCCACTGCTGCTTAAGGATCAGTTATCAACTTATCATTGATTAGCGTCTGGCCAATGGGGCATTGATGACTTATATGCCCAATAATGTTCAAGGCAGGAATGCCTGTTGCAACTACAATTCCTACAACACATGAGCCAACTATGAAAAATAACTTTTGAGCATTAATTCCATAGGGGATACTCCACATGGAGCTAGATCCCATTTTGATAACCAGTCCAATTAAAGAGGTTACTATGGATCTGGTTTTCCAGTCTCTTATAAACCCCCTGCCAATGTTGGTATGCCTCCTCCAATAAGGATCCAAGGGTGTGAGTTTGGGGTTTTGGATAAACTTGAAACAATTCTAGCGTCTTTTTCCTATAAAATTAAAAACAATGACTAAAGATTCTAATGATGTTATATTATGCTTACCATGGATAAATAAGTGACAATGTTGTTGAACAACTTGGCAATTAGTGTCCCCAACAAAGCAAAAAATGCAATACCGGCTGTGATATATTTGTCTATGTTGGAAGATGTTACCAATATTGCAGTAGTGGATACTAGAGCCCCATCAAGCTTCCTGTGTTTGTTGCGGATTGGAAATTAGAATACTTCAAAGGGAAAATTGGGATTAAAGGATGTTTCGTATGTATGTTTGGTGATCTTCCCACCTTTTTCCTACTTTGGAGGATTAGTCCTTATATGAGTTTAAAGTACAAATATACCCTAACTAATAAAAAACTAGAAATTGCAGTTTCAATATACATTTAATAAACAAAATATATAAAATTTAGGGTTTATTGTATGTGAAAATTTTTACAGAAAAGAAGAGATGTTCAATTCAAAAGAAGAGATGTTCAGTTCAAAAGAAACGTGATGAGAAGGAGGGAATGAGAAAAGAAGGAGATGACGATGGAGGAAATGGGAAAAGAATGGAGATATTTTGACAGATTTTTTGGAGATTTCGTTTCCTAATATTGATTTTCTTTTATTTTTAGAATCTAGTGACATAGAAGGTGCATTCTAGAGTTTTTAGAACATGTGTAATCTCTAGAATTTGCATTCTTAAAATCAAAGAAGACGCATTCTAAAAGTTTTAGAATATGTACAGACTTTAGAACACGGATTCTGAAAATTTTAGAAGGGAGAATACGCATTCTAAAAAGTTTAGAATATGTACAAATTTTAGAACATGCATTCTAAAACTTTTAGAATATGTTCAAACTTTAGAATTCATATTCTAAAACTTTTAGAACGTAGAATGCGCATTCTAAAATATTTAGAATATGTACAAATTTTAGAATATGCATTCTAGAGTATTTAGAATATGTTGAAACATTAGAATTCATTTTCTAAAAAATTTAGAACGTAGAATGCGGATTCTAAAAAATTTAGAACGATAAGTAAATATTTTTTTTTTCAATTTTTGTTGTTACACTTAAAATTATAAAAATGTTACTATGGTGTTTTCAGTTTTTTATATATTTTTTCACATTTCACTGAATTTTTAAAAAATGATTTGATTATTATAATAATTTAGATAAGGCTAATTTAGTCAAAAAATGAACAAAATACTAAAAGGTGTAGATTACCAAACATAGATATGAAACGTCCTTTAAATCCAATTTTCCCTAATTCAAACTCTAACATTTTAGTTTTAATAAAAACAAATATAGGTTTTGTTCCAATTTGTTGACCCTCAGCCACATAGTCAAACTTTTACAAATCTTCAAATTCTGTTCAAAGTCTGAATATTACGAAAATCAATTATCATTGAGCAAATTCTGTTCAAAGTTTGAATGTTATAAGAATCAATTATCATTGACGAATGGGACACGAATGCATGCGGCAATGACAATTCATGAAACACCTAAGCGTGAAAAATAAGTTTTTCATACAATGTTTTATTTTCTCTTCCAAATCTACTTTATTTTTCTTTATTACATGTTTATGTCTTGTACAAGAAGCAATGATTTCTGTAATGATAGAGGAGCATAAAACTAATAATCATTTAGAAAGAAGTGAAAGTTAAAAGATAAGTACAACATTTTTGTGGCAAATTTATTGTG